TCAAGTCAGTCTAGAAGAACAAAAGTCAATCGTTCAGAAGGTAAGCCATCCATATCTACATCTGCTATGAACAGAGTGAAGCTCAGTTGTGTTCAGTTTGATCGACACTTGTTGCCTCTCCTTTGCGTCTTATATATTCTGTCATACTTGGATCGCGGTAAGTGTACCATGTCCCCATGGACAGACTTCACATTGCTCATTCTCTTTTGAAGGCAACATCGGCAACGCCAAGATTGCCGGACTCCAAGAGAGTCTGCATCTCAATGATTCGGACTGGTCTTGGGTTCTGAACAGCTTTTATCTGTGTTATACCGTCTTCGAGTGGACCAACCTTCTATGGAGACTATTTCCCGCACATTACTATGTGGCAGTGTTGTGCATTTGGTGAGCAGTCCCCTATATCATTTCATGGTCATACAACAGAGGCTAAAGTATTGTTTGAATACAGCTGGGGTGCCGCTGCCATGTGTAGCGGCGCCGTCCATTATCTCGGCGAACTTATCGTGTGTCGGTGCCTGTTGGGCATTTTCGAAGCTAGCTTCGGCGCTGGGGCGCCTTATTTCCTTTCCCTATTCTACCAACGGCATGAACTTGGGCTCCGCGTCTCCGTGCTTCTGGGTATGTCTCCAATCGCGAACTGCTTTGCGTCTGCATTGGCGTATGGTATTACCCAGATCCGAAAAGGACTCGAGCCATGGCAATATCTGTTCCTCATCGGTGAGTGTTTCTACCTCTTACCCGTGCCTCTTGATTCTAAGAAAGTGTGTTCCAATGTAGAAGGTGCACCCACCGTCATAATATCCATCGTGGTCTTCTTCTTCCTTCCTGACAGCCCCGGGTCGGCCTGGTTCTTGGATGATCAGCAACAAAGAGATGCAGTTGGGCGCTTGACAGCGCAAGACCGCACAGCGAAAGACCGCGTGCATTGGAAGCAAGTCTGGAGTGGCCTCCTAGACTATAAGAACTACGTGCACATGATCATACATTTTTGTTGCAATTATTCCTTTGCGGGTCTGTCCAACTTCCTGCCCACTCTCATTGAAGATATGGGCTACGTTTCCGTCCACGCTCAGGGCCTCACAGCTCCTCCCTATCTGGGTTCTTTCGTGTGCTGTTTGGCAGCCGCCTTCCTGTCGGACCGTTTGGGCAACCGAGGCTTAGTAGTAGTAGGCTTCTCGACGATTGGATTGGTTGGTTACTTGATGCTGGCCTGTGTACATGATGCTAACGCAGATGGGGTACGATATGCCGGGATTTGGCTAGCTACATGTGGAGTGTTTCCGTCTCTGGCGATTAACATCACCTGGTTACTGAATAACCAGGGCGGCGACAGTAAACGAGGAGCGGGGATGGCAATTCTAGCAATCTTCGGGCAGTGCTCCAGCTTCGTCAGCAGCTCATTATTTCCTGCAACTGATGCCCCCAATTACACACGTGGGTGTGCTGCGGGCGCAGGTTTGACGGGCCTGGTGGTGGTTCTTGGCGCCGTGCTGCACTGCAAATTGAGACTCGAAAATGCTCGACGAAACCGGTTGTATGGTCGGGTTACTAGGGAGCATGCTATTGATGTGACGGAGGCTGGGGACGATGATCCTAATTTTCGGTATATCACTTAGTAGTGAAGAGCAGGTGCTGTAACTAGTCTGCTAAACCTTGAGTGGCGTGGGGCAAGAACACCCGAAATCAGGTTTAGTGCAATATAAAAATGGGCGGGTATTTGGCAATTGCCGAGCTGCGGCTTCCTTTTCTCCTCCAACATCCTCTCGTATACCGTCATCATGGAACGCAAACCCACCAGACCCTCTCGCAGCCGAGCAGTAAGCCAGTACCAATATCAGAGAACATATCAAGCCTGCATAGCTTGCGCGAAGCGCAAGACTAAATGCAGGCGCAGTGACATCGGAACTTCATGCGAAAGGTGCGAGAAGAAGGGCATCCGGTGTATGTTTAATAGCAAACAACCCTGGTCGCGAGGCACCTCTAGAGGACATAAAGAGAATACATGTTTACCATCAGCCACTCCTAATGCCCCTTCTAGTCCGGCACTCAGTATGAGAGGGGGCCATGATATGGACGGAGCACATAGTCCACCGTGGGTCCCGTCTTGACAAATACCCGGTGGGGAGTAGTCGCTAATCCGAATAGTACAAATGAGACGCGAAAGGATGACAACCTGAGAGTCGATAATAATTTGCATCTCGAACAAATTAATACTGGGAATGAATTATCACCGTCCATGTTGGAGACGGTGGTGTCGAACGAACAGGATGCCATGAGATTGCTATTCAAAGCGGCGGCCCAATCCCAACCTTCTATCGGAGTCGCTGCACCGCAATGCTCGAGCATTGAGGACAATGAGAGCAACTACCCAGACGCTCTTCGTGTGTGGAATGCCTGCCGCTTCGTTCGGATGGGGTGGTTTACAGCTCAAGAGGCCATATCTTTGATAGAATGGTATGTCGCCCTCCTCAAAGAGACAGACTGTATCCTGACAGCTTGAAAATGAACAGGTTCTTCACTCATCTCAGCCCACTTTCGCCAATCCTGACAGATTTCTATGCTACTATCTCAAACCAATTCTGGCTTGTGACTCAAGAGCCCTTCCTCTGTTGCACAATCCTCCTCCTGGCCTCACGCTACCACATTCTTCCCGGTCGGGCTGGGCGAGTACGATCCTCGTTTATTCATCACCGTCTCAGTCAGCACTGCCAGCATCTCTTGCTACGAGTCATGCTCGGGCAGGAAAAGATTTCCAAAGCCAAGACACGAACCCTAGGAACAATCGAGGCATTATTGTTACTCTGTGAATGGTATCCCAAGTCGTTACATTTTCCCCCAGAGAGCGATGGTTGGGACTCGGATCTGATCTTGACAAACCCGGATGTGCGCGACCCACAGCTAGACAGCGAGCATGAGCCCTCTGTTTCAGTCCAGTGGCAACAAGAAGTTATTGAGCCGACGAAGCGTCTCGAGCGTATGTCCTGGATGATACTCAGTGCGGCCGTTGCGCTTGCCCATGAGTTGGGCGTGTTCAAAGATAATTCAACCTTGGCACTAGCAGAGAATCAAAATCGATCAGATAGCAGAATATATCTTGAAAATCTGGAACTGAGGCGACAACGACTCCCCTGTCTGCTACTGATCTTTTCAAATATTGCATCTACACGAATTGGGTGTGACTCACTCATTTCCTTGGGCTCTAGCTCACCGAGCAGTCTCCTGACTGCAGACGCCAAATGGTGGACTCCTATGGAGCTATGGGTATGCCTCATGCATATCTTCAGGTCAATAACGTCTAGTTATGCCGCCATCTTGAGGGAGGCTAGAGCCGATGCCTCAGTCAGCTCTTTGATCAATGAGAAAAGTCAAGAGCTCTCCAAGTGGCGATCCAGCTTCGAGGCCATCAACGGTATGCTCGTTTAGTCTGCGAATCGCGATCGCTTACTTGGTAACGCGCTGTACTAACACGCCTATAGTAGAACAACAAAGCTTCAATGACACTCTTTTCATCGATTACCAACATGTATACACCATACTAAACTCCATCGGCATGCAGCACAGGCTCGATCATCAGTCTTCGCAAGACAACGCTGCTCCCTGCGGATACACGGATGCCGTGCTTGACGGCTGCACCCAGATCCTCAATAGAATATCTAGCTTGAGCCGAAGAGGGCTATTGCAGTATATGCCCGTTCGCCTCTTTTTCCGGATGGCTAGTAGTTCGATATTCCTTCTCAAGGCTTTGGCTCTAGGGACCACCCGTGTGCGACATTGTCAAGCTCTTGAAGCACTAGAGTCAACGATCGCAAAGTTACAGGAGGTATTAGCCGAGGATGAGCTTCATCTAGGTGGTCGCTATGCAAAGCTTCTGGAAATTTTGGTAACCCGTCTCCGGAAAAGTCTCCTTGATGCATCGCCCTTCGACGAGAGTCCCAGAACAGCGCAGGGCAATGGCACCAGCAGCCAGCATTATATGGGAGATCCGAATACAGAGGCCTTACCTATAAGAACTGATAGTACGAGTCCTGCCGTACAGGGCCTGGATTATGACGGTCTTGACCTTTTGAGCGACGACCAGTGGCTCTCTCTTCCCTTTGACAGTTCCATGGCGCCCTTTGGGTCCTTAATTGGGGATTTAGGAGTTATGCCTGATACTATTGATACGGAGCTCGATTTCTTATGGAATCTGCCGCCTTGATCACCGGCTCATCTCATTTAACAACACACAGTGAATTACCTAGTCTCCTAGAGATCTGTTCACTACATTCACAAATACTTTCCCTTCCATGGCCGTTGAAGTTGTGGGCCATTATGCGCAATAACCTCCCGTTGTACTGAGCTTGAATTTCCAAGTTATGATGATAAAATTCCTTCCCGTCCACAACAGATGGTTCTCTGGCAAAGGCTCGGCATCTATAACACCGTGTGCGGCGTTAGAAGACGTTGGGTTTCTGACGGCCAAGGGGGGTTACTCAAGGCTTCGTGCTCTGGGTAATCAGCTCGTAGTGTCGTATTAGCGATTGTTCAGGAACGTATAAGACAATATATGTATCTTCAAGTAGGCTGCTGAGTATGCCAGGATAGACTTGATCACAGGAGGCGTTATGGCTGTCGGTTGTCAAGAAGCCCTTGGATAGCAAAGTATGGTTTGCCGTGGAGGAATGTAATCGTGCTACACACAGAAAGGACCAAGTTCTTGGAGGAATTACATCTACTCTCCTTTCTAGGGTCTATATCAATACAAATTTGCAGGATGAATATTCATATGGAAAGTAAACTCATGATCCAAGTTGAAACAAAAGACGCGGCTGAGTAGAAGTGGCTTTTCGTTCCCTCCGCCAGACATAAATAATTACGCTACATTTTGCGTAGTTGTCACTCAGCCGGTCCTGGTTAATTTCCTAGACTCTGAATTCAACATCTCAACCATTTACAAGGCTTCTAGTAACATCCAAACATCGTCTATCGCATTAACCTGCCTACTGCAGCTTTTGGGACGCTTACAGACTCGCCTTTCCCCTTCCACTCAAAGCCTTCACAACCTCTGCGGCACCAACCTCTCCAGAACACAGGGCTCCCTCCATATATCCCCTCCACTCATTACTATACTCAGTTCCGACAAAATGTAAGTTACCCACAGGCTTGCCATAAACATCCGCGAACTGCGTCATATGGCCCAGTGCAGTAATCGGCGCCAGCGCCCCACGACTATACCTCTCGTGCTGCCAGACCTGGTCAAAGACCTCAATCGGCTTGTACACCTCATGGTCATTGTTGTCGCCAGCGTTGAACACCTTAGCCAGTTGCTTAATGACTACTGCTCGTCGCTCATGAGGAATGAGCTTGCTCCACTCCCTTCCGGCCTGGCCGTTTACGAAGCAGGTTAGAGAGTAATGCCGGACTTCATCGACGGAGGTATCTCTAGCCAGAATTACCGGACCACTGTAGGAGGCAAAGTAGCCGTTGAGCCCACTATCCCGCCACCAGGGTCGGTCGTAGCAGACGATGGCTTTGTTGTAGTCGCCGAGCACGGTGGCGTTTGTGACTTCCTGCACGCGCGGCGGGAGAGGAGGCTGAATGTTGAGTTCTTTGTACATGGTGCTGGGGATGGAGAGAATGCATTTGCGGGCTGTGAAAGACTTTCCAGTCGTCGTTGTTACAATTGTGTGCGTGGATAGATCCTCGATAGTGGCGATGGGGGAAGAGAGGTGGATGTTGGAGGGACCGACGAGGGATGCGAGGGCGTTGGCTAGTGATTGGGAACCTGCATGATGTTAGTATTTGTCTAATCAGCTTTGTTGTTTCCAATATTTTTCGGGCAAATTGGGTCTATCACCATCTCTGAACCGAAGATGCTGCCCACCACTCGAATCGTCCGCGCGAATAGCCAAAAGGCCGTGGTTGCAGCGACAGTAATCGATGAACCAAGCAGCGGAGTATTCGGACGATTCCAAGCCATGCATAACCCGCGCCCAAAGATTGACCATCTTGATTGTCTTCGGCCCTGCTCCGAGATTACGAATGTATTGCTCGAGAGTGACATTGTCGTCCTCAACCCGGGGTGGACCAGGCTTCAACGACTCGGCTTGGATATGATCTCGAATCTTCGCCAGGTTATCCTTCTCCTCTGTTGTCCACTATTGCAATATCGAATACAACACATTAGTTATCGATTGTTAAATTGGAGCATGACATCCCATAGCGATGAACAGAGGGTTTACTAACATCAGACGGTGCGACTCCAAAGGGAAACTCGAACCTCTCGTTCACATCTTCCTGCATAATCGCCCTTCCTTCCAACCGCTGTTCTACCGTCTTAAGACCAAATTTCTCGATGTATGCGCCCACACGCTTTTGCAGGTTGACATTGATCCAGGCACCACCCAAATCAGCGTACCCGCGACCAGTGGCAAGTGGAACACTCCAGATCTTCCCGCCAATACGATCGCGTGCCTCGAGGACGACGACCGAAAGACCTGCTTGTTGAGCTGTAATGGCGGCTTGAAGGCCAGAGAAACCGGCGCCTACGACAATGAGGTCAAACATGATGACGGTAGAGATGTATGGATAGAAGGGAATATTCTGGAGGAATTCAGAAGATGCAATAATCGGCCTGGGAAATTGAGTGTTTTATTTGACATAGAATCTTGAACTGATCGGAAGGTGCTATAGCAGTGATCATTTGGAGACGATAGTACTATCTCTTGTCTCGGAACCACCATTCATCTCGGGTGTCTCGACCCGAGCCGAGCCGAGGGGTCCAGCTAGCCAACTTGTCACGCGTCACTGTGCATACATCCAAGACGCGACCTGTGAGAGAGGTGATCCCTGGTCTAGTAGGTGCACTAAGCTGCTCGTAAATTGTCTGGGGTCTTAAACATCTTCTGTGCTACAACCAGTGGGGTCCTATTGTGGTTATTTGGTAAACCTTGTAAAAGGGTGGGATCCTCTCGCTAGCCCTACGGCTGCGATAGACGTAGGATCCCCCGGTCGCATATGAGTGCTCCGGGGTGATGATCGATAGATAAGATAAAATGGAGGCTTCCAGATCTATCACGTGTGACGTTCTGTCTAGAGCGCTCGTATCTTCCTTAGTCCCTAAACAACTAGAACCCAACTTGGTGCCCTCCACGATCTTAAACTCAATTCCAGCGGAGGGGTGTCTTAACCGAAATAAGTAACGCTTTCCCCACGATTTCTGAGAAGTGCGGGGTTAAGCACAGCTCGGCAAGCGAGATCTCGAGTTGGCGCCAGCTGGCGATAGCCCATAATCATCTAGGCTTACCACTCGATCTTAGCACTTTCCAAATGTCTTGATCGCATGATCCATTCTATCTCTCGTGCTTGAGGCTCTTCTAAGCGATGGCAGATATTCGGAATACCTCACGGAAATTCAAGCGGACGTCAAACGCGTAAGGCTCATCCTTTTACCCCTTGCAAGTTACCCAGAATTATCTCCGACCAGGCACTGCGCGTTCCTATCGCTAAACCTGGAAACACATAAAACAGATGCATTGCGTGCCGTACGAGCAAAATCAAATGCACCGGTGAAGAGCCATGCGCCAACTGTCAGCGCAGGCGTGTCGAGTGTCGTTTTGTAGAAGGTGTGAATAAAGTCATTGTCACTGAGAGGTTCGTAGGTTATCTTATTCTACGACATGCGACATCTAAAACTGACAATGGGACTACGAGGATGGACAGATATCTGCGAGAGCTACAGGGTAGAGCTAGCAAGCGCCAAGGGCAGGATACCGACATCCAGCCGGACAGACAGTCGATCAAGCGGACCTCAGCATCGGCCTTCGGGTCGGATGCAGATATTGATGGTACGATGCCAAATGAGACCTCACAGGCAAAAGCACCCTCAATATTGCTTGGCTAACCCCTGCAAACTCAAAAGTTTCTCCGTCTGCAGAAAACCCGACACAACTGTATACGGCAAGGACGATATGGACAAGCCCATTTACGCTCCCATCACGAGTGATAAAAAAGAATGATGGTACCAAGCGAAAATGGAGTACGTCTCTCATCCCCAATACCGATACCTTCTTCAACATGATTAACACGATAAAACTATCAGCCTGGCTCGCTCCGACCTCGACGTGGTCATTCACAGAGCGGTTGAAATTCATGATCGCCGAGAAACTCCAAATTGTATCGCACTGCAGCGCGCCAGATTTATTTGACGGCGATCTGTACCCTATTCACTGGACTCCCATGTCGGTGAATGAGCACCCTGACGTCAGCAATCTTCCGTCAATGGACTATGCACTCTACCTGTTTAATACTGTCAAGTTCCATCTGGGTCATAACTTCCGTCTTCTCGATGAAGCCAACTTTGTGCATCATACCCAGCAGTTCTACCGTGGAGACGCGGCAAAGGAGGCAAGTAATAACCGGTTATGGTTCGTTCAGTTTCTACTAGTCCTTGCGTTTGGGAATGCATTCCTTTTGCCCATGGGCTATCGTTCAAGTGGCGACAACAAAGAGCCACCAGGGGCAAAGTTCTTTGTGCGGGCTGTGAGTCTAATGCCTGATCCGACAACGTTGTCCCGCAGCGGTTTCGTGGCCATTGAAGTGCTCGCGTTGACAGGGTTGTATCTGTATTGCATCGATCATCGATCGTCAGCATACTCTTATGTGAGTTTGTCTGCTCATACGGTATTGCTCTTCACCATCGTCATGCTAATCGCTCTCTCGGTCAGATTGGGCACGCCATTCGTATAGCACAAATGGATGGTATGCATACTCAACTCCCCGAAGATGAGCTCGGAGCGGAGACTGTCGCCCGATCGCGGGATCTTTGGTGGACGCTTTACGTCCTGGACCGGCATATCTCATCATCAGTTGGTGCGTCCATGACTCTTCAGGATAGTGATATCACCACCCTCCTCGACCCACCTGGGACAACAACGCAGAGCAATGCCACGCTTGGCCTTTTAGTGAGATTGTCGCATCTGCTTTCTTATATCCTCTCTTGTATGATATTCCCCGTAAGGAGGTCATATCATATAGATCCGACTAACCGCTGGCAGCTATATACAAATGCAGTCAAACCCAGCTGGGGACGTTCCTCGAAACCACCCGATCGATCTTACAAGTCCTTGCGAGCCAAGCCCAAGACATCGAGGGCATCATTGAAGTGAATTTCCAGAATTCAGTAGACGCCATGTCGAAAGGGACGAGGCATGTCACGCTGCTATATCACCAGGTTTGTATACATGTCCGCACTTAACTACCAAAACTACTATATGTTGACGGCTTGCAAATTACAGTGTGTAATAGTAGCCACGCGCCCCTTGCTACTATCAGTTCTGAAAGAGCGACTGGATCGGCTGGGTCACGGACCGGAAGATTGGCAGAGCATTGTGGCCCCTACCGATGGTCTGATTCGGGCGGGTATCAAGTCAGCAATCAAAACGCTGCAGATACTCATGGATGAAGACAATCTACTAGGTGCGATTACACTCTCCATAGCGTTCGAAAAAGCTCTTGGACAATTAACCTAACACAATAAACTCAGACGTTTTCCTACCCTTCGACATGGAATTTACCTACGGCGCAGCAATGCACATTGCCATGGCTGGTGCCGTCTTTCCCAACGTTACGGAGGGCGAGAATCAAAATTGCATGAACGACGCACACTTGATTCTTGACCAAATGATCCAGCGCGGAAACAAACTCGCCGCAGCGCGCAAGTCCGAACTTGTCCAGCTCGAAAAGCTCTTCCGGGAAGTAGCAGAGCGGATCGAGAGGCGGGGACTTGAGACACTTACTCTACCCACTTCTTTGGCTGCGGTGCCACCGCAGTCTGAGCTAGGCTCGGATTATCTGATTGCGGGCCGTGTCGAGCGCTCCCAAGAGCCGGGAGATTTGGCAGCTTGTCCAGTACCATTAACTTCGGTCCCAGGGTCTCCGTCTGTCCTGGCTCAAGCTTCTAGCCTCGGCTTTCTGGACAGTATCGGGATTTCCTCGTACGAGTTTTTCTCGCTGGTAAATCAGATTGGGCAGACGGAGGGGTGTAGCGTTTTGGATCCAGGAGTGCCACAATGGGATGGATGAATGCAGGTGTTGATCACGATTGAAAAACATTTTTACTCCTTGGTTGGGTCGGCGTCTATGTATGTAATATATATACCCGCATATGGTGACCTCCTATATATATCTTCTGCCTTCCGGTGAGAATTAATTGGTGTTCTGACAAGTGGTTCCACTCATATATTGAGCTTAATATGTAGTATGTCTTTAAAGTGATTTCCGTAGTAGACCCAGTATCGGCCTAAGCGCCCAGCTCATTTTGACCGCTGTAGTTGCAGGTACTTGAACAGAAGCGACAACCCCCGTACTATTATCCGATTGGAGCATTCCAGCGATGTATCCCTCGCGTTCGCGACTCCACCGATCGGATTCCCCATCCGACGGGCCCGCAGTAACCGAAATAATCTAGACGCATTCCCTACATCGACTTGCCCGCAATCGGGGTTTTCCTAAATCAGATATTATCCATCCTTCGATATTATACAAACATGTGGCATTGCACTTTCTACCGTGGTGTCGGTTCTCTTGGGTCTTTTGTATATATTGATCTCAAAATGTTTCTGAGACATCATATATGTTGATGCAGAACTTCGGGTGGGTCAAGCAGTCGCATCGGGTTTCAAACCCGAGACTCGACATCGGATTCTTGATAGTACCGACGAACCCGAGCCGAGACAACCACTACCCGAGGTAGTTGCATCGTTATTAGTCTGATGTCCTCAAAGCTGAGGTATCTCGTTTAATCTGTACCCACACTTCCGATGCAAGTTTACGAGAGGTTCCCGGGGAAGCGGGGAGGAAGAAGTGTCAGGTCACAAGGTATGATGAGGACTAATTTGACGTTCTGTTGGTCTCTGTGCTTGAAGCCAGGTGGGGGCTTTGCTAGTACGGAGTTGGTGATTTTCGCTAAAACTCGCCTGTTCGCTCTCGGAAAGCTTGAGGCTCGAGTCTGGGATATGGTAGAGAGATAGGAAATGTTCGCGGTCTTGTGATTGTGACTGTTAGGTGATAATTGACTACGGATTTTCGCGGTGAGTTTTATCACGTACTACGCTATATTTGATCAGATTTATAGGCGGGGGTGATTAAGAAACAATGCAGTTGAGTGAGGGGATGCTTCCTTTCTTAAATTGATCAAGCCTTCATTTCATTCGTTTTATCATTTTGTATGAAGACTAGACGAGAGATATTTTCGACGCAGTAACATCAAAGGTAGGGTGGCTTATGCCAATAATTAGGGTCCTAATATACTGACATAGAAGCTCTCAGAGCCATAGAAATTATATAGACATGAGCAGACACTTGGTAGAAAGCTGAGAGAAGTGTAGATTTGCTCACTTGCTGTATATGTCCCCATTTGCTGTCAATCTGGCATATTAGCAATGTTTACTCTGGAAGCTAACGATCCAGAGCTTACAATGGCAGGTGCAAGCTTTTCAGGGTACATCTACTGCTATAGTCAACCGTCATGTTCAGTGCTCTCGTTTCTGATTAGGATCGTTTTCATGGGGCTCCAGGTGCCCTGGAAGAAGGGTACCTTAAATAAAACAGAATGGTTGATATGGCAATGAGGGGTCGCTACTTATATTCGAGTGATAATAGGGGATCTTAGATCTATCCGAGGACGAAAATTGCTGGTTGTTGACACTTAATATGTCTGATCAAGATCTGGGGATGTGCCTATTCTGGAGTGTGTTACGTCCGCATAATGCGCTAGGACTCGGATCGAGTGCATATACGGATCACTATAGGGGAGTAGGAAACAACGTCGTTATTGTGGACGATGCTTTCAGTGTTCGCGATTGTAAATGCTAGGACCGTCTACGCTTACCGATAGCCCTCACGTCGGGAGAACAACGCGGTATCTCGGTCCGCTACCGATTGCGCGTGAACCGCTGGCCCTATCTTTCCGTGGTCTTTCTTGTGGATGTCAGTCCGCCTACCACTAGATGGCTATCAACACTAATTGGCGGCAACTGCGGCAAGCCCATTGATTTCCCTCCTGCATCGGCTTCGTGCGGCCATATCCCCATGTGGAGCGCTCTTCCAGTCATAGATCATGAGAACTGAAGACGTAGGGGGGACTTCGAAGGTGATAGGCAAGGCATCTGCAACGCCTGCCTTCCACCTATTGTCAGCATCTGTGGCTTTCAGTCATCCTTTCCTCCATTTGGAAAAACTATCCTGTCCAGAAATCCATTCGTCCAAACCAGTCCGGTGAATGAGTCTAGATCCAAGTCGATATGTGCGGAATAATCAGCTGGACTCCGGCTTGCAATTCCGATTGATCAGCCGGCATTATCGGGATGTAAGACATGCAGGGCTCAGAACATAGTATCATGATTTCCTCCCAACACCACTATCGGATGCCGGCAATAGCATGTAGAAGCATATATTCATTGGCCATCTGAAGATCCTATCTCCTATCTGGTGCTAGAGCACATGCATGTTATACGTCCCATGACAGCTCGGGTCTTAAGCTCTCCGGTCAAGCATACCCCGGACTTGACATATCAAAACTTGCTTTTCATCTATAAGTATTCAGAAGAGATCCCAGACATAGACAGTTCTATAACCCAACGCGATCAATCGCATCCAAAACAGTATTTTCATTCATCTTTCAAATATCTCTATACGCATTGGAATAACATCTATCTACAACCCACACAATGGCCCCAGCAGCCCTCGTCTCAACCTACACCCCACCCCCGGTTTCCGGACCCAAAACCAAGAAGGCCACCCGCCCCACCAAGAAACTCCCCAAATCCCTCATCGAGGGCGCCAAGGTTGGCCAGAAGCGCAAATTTGACCCGAGCGAGCATCTTATCTATCAGCCCCCGGAGAAGATCCATAAAATGGCCGACTTTGGCCTCGACAGAGCAGGCATCTCTCCCAATGCCATCTCCGAGCCTTTCCGCCTGTTCACGGCCGACGCGATTAACCAAATGCGCGCTGAGATCTTCAGCGAGCCCGTGCTAAAAGATTGTCAATATGCGAGCGATTTCTGCCCAACCATGGTTAGGGGCATGGGACACAAGTATGCCAGTACCTTTTCCATTGATATAGCTTTCTCTCTGAAAACACAGTGGAAGACTAACAATCCTTATAGACGAGCCCCATTCACCTACGACGTATGGAAATCTCCAGAGGTTCTATCTAAAATCTCCGCTATCGCCGGCATCGACCTGATCCCAGCCTTCGACTACGAAATCGCAAATATCAACGTCGCCATCAAGGATGACGAACCGCCTGCATCCCAAGCCAGCAACTCATCCACCAAGCACCCCGCAGATGACGATGCCCCGGCATTCGCCTGGCACTACGACTCCTTCCCCTTTGTCTGTGTCACGATGCTCTCCGACTGTACTTCCATGGTCGGCGGTGAAACCGCCATCAAGCTTCCCAACGGCACCATCAAAAAGGTTCGTGGACCTGCTCAGGGATACGCGGTCGTCATGCAGGGACGGTATTTGGAGCATCAGGCCTTGAAGGCTGTTGGTGGCCGGGAGAGAATCACAATGGTGACGCCGTTCCGGCCTAAGGATGCAGAGGTGCGCGATGAGATTTTGCTCACTGGCACTCGGGGAATCAGCAATCTGGAGGAGATGTACCCACAGTACTTCGAGTACCGCATGGAGGTTCTGGAGGAGAGGGTTCGGGCACAGCGCAAGAGAGAAAGGGAGAGGGGTCTTACTGGACGGCCCTTTAATGTCGAGGAAACAAGAAGGTGGGTGGCGGAGCAGAGGGACTTTTTGGATAGTATTCTCAACGGTATGGTTGTTGTTGAGTAAGAAGTCTGTAAGAGGTTCCTTCTTCATAATGTTCGAGCGGAGAGTATGATCACTGGGTTATAACTTATGGAGGAAGATGTTTCATCTATCGTGCTCTGTTTGGATTTATGAATTCTATGACAATATGATGTTCTCTCTTCTTTAAGAAAACTAATCTACCCGCTCCCTGTCTGATTGTAGCGCCTCAGGGTTTCACAATTGACCCTTGATCCTTATGCCTTCAGCAAATCCTCTAACACCTCGGTGGGCGTCCGTCTCGGAGGAGCAATGTCCAAAATCTCCTTGCTAGTCGTCGAAGCATTGCACTTCCCTTCCCACATGGTCAACGGTGCATACTTTATTGACTTTATAACAGTCATAGATTCACCCGATCCTTCATATTGACTGCCTAGCATCGCATCCAAAAAGCTCAGATCTTGGTATTTCACATCCTTCACCTTCGTATCAATATGTTTCTCCACTAAGCCGACAAGCTGTTCGCCAGTGATATCTTCCGGTCCATTCAAGACATACTTTGCCCCGCTGTGTGGGCTAGGATTATCCAAGGCCAGGAGATGAGCAGCAAACACGCCGACTTCATCTGGGTGGATAGGCGCAACAGGGGCATCTTTGGATGCCATCAGCTTCAGCGGACCCAGTTCGCCAGTCCGCTTATATTGCTTGATGTACTCAGCGACGAGGGCCATGTAGAAGTTTAGAAACACGTTTGGCTGAAGGGAAGTCCATTTCAAAGCGCTGAATTCCGCCGAACCAAGCATCGCCTCAATAGCCCAGTGGCTCCGCGGGTACTAGGCAGCATAATCCGGACGAACATTCGGTGCGGTGGTGGAAATGCGCACAACGTATTCGACACCAGCTCCAAGGGCGGCGACGTGGAAGGCAGACTCCTCGGCAAACTGATTTGGTGCATTGTGAGATGCGATGAAGGCTCGGACGACTTCATGTTCTCGGAGCCAGTCGGAGGTAATATCGGTCCAGTTCTTTTCGATGATTTCGACGCCGGGGATTTTTGCAATCAGTTGGGCCGAAGAGCTAGTGAGAGATCTTGTCAGGGCAAGTACTCGATGGTTCTTGAAATTCTCATTGGCTTTCAGAAGGGTTGGAAGAGTTTCTGTTACGGCTCGGCCGGTGTTGCCCGTTGCGCCGACGATGAGGATGGTTGGAGCCATGATGGTAGTCAAGTGAGAGTGGTGTGAATTGATGAAATTAATGACAGACTACATACGAGTGTCATCTTCGGGGTCTTTATACTCAGAAGAAAATTGCACAGTAGGTAATTGTTTACAATGAAGATTAGAAATTGCGAAGTTCATTTGTGAGCATCCCTTGGCGATCATCTTTGGATCGGGTGGAGGCGCCGGAGGTGGGAGGGCCGAGATGTCGGCGCTCCCACCCTGTGTGTATCATTTGGGTAGAAGCATTTACTAGCAGCCGAAAGCGGCTTGGGCTGTCACTTCTCCGAAATTCGATGGACCTCAATCCTTGCAATCAACATTAATAATGGGCTTCAATTATAAATCAAAGCCGGTGGAGATGGTTTTATAGAGCTACCAACCTAGTAGGAAAGAATCAATAAACGAGCCACAACCTAGAGAACACACAAGTAATTATTCATATTCGGTTTACTGAACATATGCTGTCCCGTCGCACCTGCTCATGACAAAATGACACTGAAGTATCTCATCACTGGCGCCACTGGCGGCCTAGGACAGCAGGTCTTGAATTACTTCGTTGAGAATGTTGCTTCCTGTGAATTTGCGGCTGCGTCATCCAATGCCAACAACAAGAAGCTATTTGAAGATCGACGAATTGCCTTCCGTCATATTAACTATGATGACCTTCATTCGCTCGAGACCGGATTTCGTGACGTCGAGAACTTGCTCTTTGTCAGTACAAGTAGTGCGACCAGAAGCGAGCAGCATGCCAGGGTCATAATGGCCGCTAAGACAGCGGGAGTAAAGCATGTATGCAACCCAATTCTATAACTGGCAATATTAAGCTCTAATAAACCCTAGGTGTGGTATACCTCACTTGCCTTTGGTGGGTTCACGGACGACTCCAAGGCTCCAGTACAGCAGGACCATCTTCTTACCGAAAGACTGCTTAAAGAGTACGTTGCGTCCTCTACCTCTACATGAATATTCCGACAGGCTCAACCAATGCTAATTACATCAGGTCTGGTCTGGCATTTACCTCTATCCGAGAAGGTATATACGCGGAATGCTTCACCGTCTTTCTTGACTGGTACCCCGACAGAACGACAGTCACGCTTCCAGCAGACGGAGAGGTTGCATATGCTCAGCGTGCAGAGCTAGGCGAAGCAACCGCGCGCATCATGATACGAGGTGGGTATGAGAATCAGATTGTTCTGTTCACTCCGGAGGAAACAATCACTGCCAAAGAAATAGTAGACATCATCAATGAGACTACTGGTCGACAGGTCAAGCTTAACGTGATCCCACGGGAGAAGTACTTGCAATCAAGCAGTGTGAATGACCCGCGTGGCAAGCCGAAGGAGCACTTTCAGATGATTGCAACGATATGGGACGAGATTTCAGGGGGCTCCCTACGCACAACAGATCCGTTGATGTGCGAGATTCTCGGAAGAAAGCCTACCACACCTCAGGATGCTGTAAAGAAACTGTTGAAAGAAAATAGGGATTATGTGTTCATCTATTAGGAGGGTCTGCAGGATGGATGAATTGGTCGAAGCCGCCGCCTTTTTGATATATTCTTTTTGAATAGAGATTGTTGTATATAGCTTTGTGTATCCATTGGCAACCCCCTGTCAACAGTAGAAACATAGAGGCGCATTGAAATATCCTTCTACCTCTGGGTTTAAAAAAAGCGTTATTTAAAGATAAACCAATTATTAAGCACTGCCCGAACATATATATACTCTGAAATGACTGCTAGAAGCAATCATTTGTTGAAACCACAGACGTAGTCTGCACGCCGATTAGGGATTCAGCTGGATACTTCCTGTGGGTCTTGAGGGGGAAGAAGCCAGGGATCAACAAGCTGGGTCTAACCCGTTTGGTAAACACTCTGACTAATCTAGAATCGGGGCAAGACCCAAGTCCATCCATCCAGCCGAAATGACCCTTCCATTGTACAGGCCCTTTACTCCCTAAAACCGCAGAATAAAGTCGCAACATGCCTCCCAAGACATACTGGTGCCAAGCGCCCGGCTGCAAGGCAAGCTATCAACGCAAAGAGCACCTCCGTCGCCACGAGGCGCAACATACTCAACACCAGCTTCGTCAATGTACTGCTTGTACCCAGAAATTCAGGCGGAGGTATAACTGGACTCTTGCCTTACCAATATCTATATGAAGCAACGTTGCTAATCCTGATATTCTAGTGATACGTTACGGCGCCATATGCAGAATGTACATGGAGTCAACGATATGCCCGACAGCAAACATGCGTGTGCCCACTGTCGAAAACAAAAGTCTCGATGCCAAGGAGGACCGCCATGTAACAAGTGCTTGCGCCGCGGAATCCACTGTTCCCTGGAGCGGCGGGCGGAACCGCATCCGGCTGATCCCCCAGACCCTCCAAGGATGCTTCAACCCCCTCCCGCCCAACCTGAGACAGATGATTCCGACCAGGAAAGCCATTATATAGGCACCTATTTCAACGTATTCCACCCCCGTTGGCCTTTTGTTCATCAAGGGTCATTCGGTAATCATGAGGCACCATTGCTTGTCAAGTCAATGCTTGTTCTTGGTCTGTGGATGAGTAAACAGAGAAAAGCCCAATCAAAAGCCATTGAACTCCATAATGTCTTGGGCTTGGCCATACGTCAGCAGACTGTACGTAGGCATATTACCCCTGTCTCTAGCTCTGTTCGCTAATGAAAAGACTGCAGGACGCATGGGATGCCTCTATAGCAGATGCAACTAGTAACTGCAAATGGCCTATCTCGACATATCAGGCTATATTGCTCCACATAATATTTGCGGGTCTATATAGGGGCGGTGGGGAGCTCGACCTTGACCTGAAGCCTTCTCTTGCCCCAGCAGATGCCGATCTCCTAGAAAGGCTTGTCGTAAGCTGCAAGAAGCTAGGAATGTTCTTCTACCCAAACATACTGGAGCATTATTCCAACAGTATATTGCCTGGGTTTTCATGGGTGAGTATTGAGGACGCTAAGAGATTTAATCTGGCTTTATTTAGAGTCTGCAGGGCTTTCGGGATCTTAGACAAAGATGAGGGTAAAATTATGCCAGGAACCACAAGTGGGAGGCTCCGTGCATGCGACCTACAATTCCCGCCACCAAAGAATACTCCATTATGGAATGCTGTAACCAAAGATGAGTGGGAATCTGCTGCTACAGCGGATATGGACCGCCATGGCATATATGATCCTCTGCCACAGGAATGGATCTCAAACTCCGCAGACATCGTGGAACTGGTTGTCACTGGATTTCCCCTGGATTAAATTGGTATCAGGGTAACAAATCTCGGACTTCGCACTATGAATGCTGAAGATAATAGAGCATAGTATTCAATATTGCTAAAATTCTATATCTCAGAACGTTGTTTACGAAGACTGTATCCTAAAACTGTAGCCAGGAAAATGCATCGGTCGCAAGTATCCACGCCCCTCCGTTATGAGGTTTTGAATCATCTTCTCCGTAAACTAGAATGAGAAAGATACTATTCAACTGGTTCGTAGTAATTTATTTAAGATGGAATAGGGTTGGTAGTGGCTCAACTGTACACGGTCTCAACCAGTCCACTACCTGGAATACTAGAGACAAACCCCCAAGTACTTCAGCCACAGACCTCTACAGACATCCTTAATGTCCTAGAAGAACTTATTGTAACACTGTTACAAGAACTGCAGGCAAGATCTGTGAGCATTGTACACATGGGGACTGCTCACAGTGATTTAGTACGCAGGGAACTGGGTTGGTTATGCTAGGACAGGCACATTAACATTAACTTGCACTCATGATACGTTCGATATTACGCACTACTAGTATGCATTGGCTCTTTGCAGTTTGTTTCACTGGATGCGGGGCTGGGCATTCCCCAACCCCACCTCTTTTCACCTCATCTCACTTCATCTGCCAGTCAGTGTCAGTGCTGTCACCACCAATTCTAACCTCAATCCCAATATCTGTCTTTGTTCACAGATACTTGTGCAATTTTTCTCTACTCCGCTTGTTCGTGAGGATCTAATCAACCTTTCAATATTCCCTGTACACAACAATTTGGACCAGTATGCCCTTAGCGCCCGAAATTCAACAATTCATTCTTGGCTTCAAAGCCCAGTGGGATGGGTCAGTGAACTCAGCTTGCCAGGACTTTTTTGAAGCCCGTCATGCGTCTCTTGAGTCCGCCAATCCAAATCCTTCAATTCAATGCGAAAATAATGTGAAGTACGGCCCAGATCCACGGCATCGCCTGGATGTATTCTGGCCAGCAGATGCCGCCTCAACGGACGCTACTCTCCCGGTTGTCGTCTACTTTCACGGCGGTGCATTCAAGCTCGGAGACAACACCATCACTCCGCACATGCACGCAAATATTGGCCGATTCTTCGCATCAAAGGGTATGGTCGGCGTCTTGGGTACCTATCGTCTACTGCCAGAAGCTCGATTCCCAGATGGACGGGAAGATATCGCTTCTGCTCTCTCGTGGCTACATAGCAATGTGCACCAGTATGGAGGCAGCCGAAACGCCATCTTCGCGCTCGGTCAAAGCGCCGGTGGAGGCCATCTGGCCATGTCACTTTATTCGGGGAGACTGAAGACGAACGAAGAGCAGGGTCTGGTGCGCGGCGTGTTGCTCCTGAGCGCGGCGTTGAAGTATGATCTATCCAAGAAGGGTCGGCGCGAGAGCATGGAACAGTACTATGCAACGACTGATCACGCTATTATTCATTCCCGATCGGCGTATGGCATCTTTCACTCTTTGCCGCCCGTTGAAGATGCAGATGTGGTTGCTGTGCCGACACCCGAACTCTTTTTGATGCTAGCGGAATGGGATTTCGAGGAGTGTGTACGAGGAAATTTGGACTTTGTAAGGCTCTATGCTGAGCGTCGCGGCCACCTTCCTCGATTTGAGGTGTTGCCTGGCCATAATCATGTTAGTTATGCATTGTCTATCGGCTTGCCAGGAGACGAAGTTGGACCGAAGATTGCGGACTGGGTGATGCGGTGCTCTGAGGGGGCCTGATTCCAGATATCGAGAATTCTAGTTTGACTTAATTTCCACATTCTCCATGCAGTAGACTGCCGAGTAGGATGGCAGATTGGCATCAAAATCACACTATCAACTAAATATCCGCAACTCTCGAACCCTTAACAGTCTCTTTAGGCGTTCGTGATACATCCTGCTCCTTTATGTTTCCACAACTGTGCCAATGGTTGTATTCAATCTGAAATCTCTGGTTTCATTCTTGGTCTCAGATATTCTTGGAATCGTCGCTGACAATGCCCACATGGTCATGAATCATGCAGGCTGTGCTGCTGTGAACAGCTAAGGATCGTGGTCGCTTTGGAGCAGACGTATACAGTGACAACCTCCGAAGTAAAAGCATTGTGATGCATATTATTCTGCCTCCAGACCTCCATGGCCGATCAGCCACACGTTGAGAAGAGCTGTATTCTGCTGGCTGAATGGATGCTGAAAATCGAGCCCATCCATGATATCTATACTTCTTCCGAATCTCTACTGCAGTCGCTGACTCGGTCCTCCTGGGGTGAAGAGGCTAAACCGTCGCATTGATAGTAGAGGTAATATGTAGATGGTCACCTGATATTCCGTGATAGGCTTCTATGACGTGTCATGACAGGCTGGCAAAATGACAACCCTGGGCGCTTAACAGGGAGCGGGGTAGAAATTTATCAAGTCCAAGATGATATACGAAATTCGAGCAGTGTAAGAACTGCCACACAAGTATTGGTTACCTTCTCCGTGAGAATGCCCGGCACAGAAAGCATGGTACTATTCCCTTCCCCATCTCTTTCCCCGTCGTCATGGGCGCACGCGGTAGAGTGGATAGCACGACTGACATTCCTGATAGCAGCCAGTACCAAATGCAAACTGGCTTAAAAAGGTTGCCTCTCCACCGAATGCCACTCTGGAGTGAGTTTCCCGACCTAAAATAATTACCAAACGGCTTACCTCCACAAGCATCGTTGCCGTTCATGGAATCAATGTAACAAACAGACCGGATCATGCAGAAAATACCTGGACCGATCAGGAGACTCAAACAAACTGGTTGAAAGATCTTCTCCCAGAAAGAATCCCCTATACCAGGATTCTGGCATTCTGCTATAACGCAAATATCCTGTTTGGGGCATCGTCCGCTGGGATCAAAGAGCAGGCCGAGAACCTGCTTCTTTGCCTATCTAAGGAGCGAAAGGTTCGGGAATGACCACCAGTCAACGCCTGTTTGGCATGCTGATTGAGTTGCCGCGAACTGACTGAGAGACTGGACCTAGGAAGCCCCAGCACGACCGATCATTTTCGTCACACACAGTATGGGCGGCATCCTTGTGAAAGATGCTCTGGCAATCGGTTATCAAAGCAATGACGTCTATGCAGTTATACCAACAATGACCTACGGCATATTTTCTTGGCGTTCCTCACTATGGATCGTGGCACTCGTCGTGGGGGCAGACTGCTGCTACGATTTTCCGTAAGCTCAATATTCGAGTCAACGACTCATTTTTGAATGCCATCGAAGCTCGATCAGCGTACAATGATGAACTCAACTTCAGATTTGAGCCTCTGTTGAAGATGTATCGGTTTTTCACAATCTGCGAGACAATGGATGAGGTCGTTGAAGGCATAAATATCGGACTTGTAAGCCTCGGGTTCATTTCCTCCATGCCGTGAAAGCTGGGTGTCTGACCTTGCCAAGATCGTCGATAGTGACTCGGCGATCCTCAAAGAATGTCCAAGGCAACAGGTGGAGTATTGGCCGAACCGCACGCATAGGACTCTGTGCAAGTTCGCAAGCACGGATCCGGAATGGCAGCTTATATCAGAGATGTTAGTCGATGCGGCGAATCATTCGGCTAACTGTATTTCTTATAGCCCGCTCAGTTCCAAGTGGGGGGAGATAACACAAAGTCATTTGTGGAATTCTCAAGGTACGCAATGCCATCATTATTACATACATAAACTCGAGTTATTCATTGAACGGAACATCAGAATCATCTCCTATTCCGCTATCGGAGGCTATCGTAAAAGCACAAGCATGTCACAACATTATAGCCCAAGACTCCCAGCGGGATGGACAGCCGTATCGTCGCCAAGAAGAAATCAACCGGCTCAACGGTGATGTCTCAACATCTGTTCAATGGCTTTGGCCCATTGTATTGCGGATACTCGGCCTTGATGCCTTTGCCCTGATTTGGTTGGTCAGCTTTTTCCTTCCGAGAAGAGAAACTGTTGTAGAAAATGCCGAGAAAGCTCAGGCCAACGAGCGACGCGTCATGGAACTTGAGCAAGAGATTATTATATCTCTTCATGAGGATCAGTCGCGGTTGTTGCATAAAATCAATGTGCTGGAGATCGTGCTGGCCGATTCGACGCCGGAAAGCAATGCTGGGACTAGTGCGGATGAGCTAGTTGTCGGCCGAAGATTGCTCCGAAATCTACACCTTGACGTTGGGCAGACGATACTCGGCATTCGGCAACACAATAGATCGTACCTTGAGGCAGAACGAAGAGTAAACCTCATAGAAGATTCTAGGAGAGTAACTGCGGGGAGAAATGATACTGAATTCTGGGTTGCCATTGGGGAAAGAGCACAGGAAGAAGAAAGAAGGCTACAGAAGAGAACAGAGAATGGAGTTACACAGGAGGATAGTGCGTGCCCTTGCATTATTCTGTGAAAGGCCATCGTTCACTCTCTTGTGGCTGAATATTATAAAAAAAAAAAGGTGGCCAGGCTGTGGCAAGGGGACAGAGGTGTCAATACTGAACAAGTATGTGATGAGAATCAATCCTCATTCCAGTACGGATTATCTGGCCGCCGCTCATATTATTGAAACGCACTGAAACCCCTACTCCCAAACAGCGGTATCAATTATCTTTTCCTCTCAACATTTCCTTTAGATAATAGACACAGATTTTTGATCTAGCTGTTTACCGTCTTTACACCATCTACTCTTCGTTGCCAATGACTTGAAACCAATTGTTATTCTATGTACTGTCTTTTCCCGTGACAGAGGGGTGTGATCCTTCGTGGCCATCAGGATCAGATTAAGCAAAGTTGCTCTTCGATCGAGGATCCCGAGTCAAATAAAAACAGACATGTTCTTCATTGTACGACTTTATCCTCCTTTTCACTAATCTCCAATCGCGATCAAATATACGTCGGCGTTCTATGTTGCTGCAACAGCCCTCACTTGCCCTCCCAATGCCTACTACCGAATTTGGAGATATTGTTCTCAACAGCAATGCCTTACCGATGAAATATCGTTCGTCATATCTATTTTGAGTTTTGTCTTTTCGCACTACAGAAATTGGGGCACGCCGAATGGCTGTCTGTTCCCTCCCTACATTCCAAACCAGATGGAGCGGTAGATTCGGCCTGGCGTTGTGGAGCTGAACCGCTCAGAGCTCATGAATTAAGCTCCGCGGGAGCTGAGCTTCTCACCCTCAGGTGGAGCATCCACGGAAGCTTGTGGGCTTTGTACAGATTTCTGACAGCTCGCGGAATGGAACTATAGCTTCAGTAGCAGTTTTTATTGACGGAAACGTTCTTGACTCTCCAATGCAACCAATCAGTTGTTGGTCGTGCCAATGGAATACCGTATTGCATGTAACATCGAATGTCGGCTATGACACGTCCATTTGGCACCTCCCAGCAATGGTTGGCTTCCCACCAGAATTAAAAGTTGTGAATTTTCAGCACCAAAACGGAAAGTAAAACACCTGCTGGTGGAAGAATACTGCAGCAAAATCAGTCCGTCGGCTTCATCTGCGTCGAGCCACGCTCCACCCGGTCGTTCCAGTGAGCCCTCACAATTCTTCAGGGCATCCTGAGCATCCTGAACAACCCATCATGGCCTTCTCGGTCCTTACATGGACGGCAGCACTCGCGGCCTCCATTGCCTTTGCGCAGAGCGAAGAGTCCGCCCGGGCGAAGGCCCCCAAGATAGCTCCTCGAATGCAACCTGATTCACACAACACGACACACTGGCCTACGAGACCTCTTCCCTGGGGCGAGATAAATTTTATCCATACAACTGATACACATGGATGGCTTGAAGGCCATTTGAATGAGGTCAATTATGGTGCTGATTGGGGTGATTTTGTTTCCTTTGTGACGCACATGCGTAACCAGGCTGATCAACACAACGTTGATCTTCTCGTTGTGGACACTGGTATTTCCATCCATGCTTGTCTCGATTCCATCATTACATTGTGTTAGTCGACTAACTCAGCCTCTCCAGGCGATATCGTGACGGGTAATGGCCTCAGTGATGCCTCCGACCCCGAAGGCCAGCTATCTAATCCAATATTCCGCTATCTGGACTATGACCTACTTACCATTGGGAATAATGATCTCTATAATCCAAACGTTACTGATCGGATACAATGGGATATAGCAGACTACTATACCGATCGGTATCTAACCACCAATGTCCTCGTGGAAAGGGATGATAAAAATATATCCATCGGAGAGAAGTACCGATATATCACTACAAACCATGGGCTGCGCATCATGGCATTCGGGTTCACCCTTCAAGACTTCAAGGCTCCTGCAACCGTCCATGTCCAGGGATATGAAGACATAATAGAACAGGAGTGGTTCAAAGATGCAATGAACCAGACTGTCGATCTTTATCTGCTTATTGGACATGCCGATATCGGCCAGAGCTGCAAGATAAAAACCCAATACCAGGGTGACCAGAACCCATTGATCTGCATGAAGGACTGGTTCCGGCAAAACAAGCCCGAGATTCCTCTTCAAATCTTAGGTGGCCATTCACACGTGCGCAACTTCACATGCTATGACAGTGGATCGTCTGGCCTTGAGTCCGGCCGATACTCTGACACTGTGGGATGGCTTGCTCTCAGTGATGTGGCGCCGTCAGACACCTGGAACGGATCCAAAACTATGACGGATGTCCCCATGCCCACAAGGACATGCACACCACACAGCCCGACGACATCTTCAACCACGGAGAAAACAGTTCGCCTTGACCGTCGTTACCTCGATTTCAACCGCCAAACGTTCGCGTATCATGCTTTAGGAGCAACTGGCCCTGACGTCCCTGCTAGCTTTGATACGCTTACCGGAGAGAATGTCACAAAGGATATCGAGGGCACTCGGGCGAGATACAACTTAACTACGGGGCTTGGCTGCGCTCCCCAATCATACTATATTGCGTCGAGCCCTTACAACTGTCCGGATAACATCTATACGTTAGTGAGATCTGCTTTGAATGCAACTGTCAATCGGAACAATTCTCCCAGATTGATTGTCTTCAATACCTACGGAATTCGTTATGATTTATACCAGGGCAATTTCACTGTTGGAGACGCCTTCACTGTTAGCTCCTATGAGGATGCTTTCCTGTACCTTGCAGATGTTCCCTACCAGGACGCAAAGACACTTGAATGCGAGCTGAACGTTAAAAAGAATTCTATTTGCGATTACAAGGAGCCGAAGGAAGACTGTAGCATCAACGGTCTTCGTTTCGCTACCAGTCCATCTGAGGACTTGTCTCAGCAGAACGTGCTTACCGATCATCCCAGAGACCTGGATAACCTCAACCCTGGACATGTGACAAAGGATGACTTTGGGGACTGTTTTGCCACCACTGTGAACTGTGGCGATGACACCCTGCACATAAAACGCCAGGAAGATTATAAGCATCCGTATTATTTGCAAGTCAAGGGCGACATTGACGAGAATGAAACCGAGACAGTGGATGTGGTGTTCACAAGTGACATGCAGAAAAATATTCTGCAAATCCTCAACCGCAGCGACACGGATGTGAAGGATTACATGGATCCGTCTTTTACGACGAGGGATTTCTTGCAGGTCTACGCGAAGACGATCTGGGCCGAGGAGGGATCTTGCGAGATCGGACCATGAGTGAGTGGGCGAGCGGATGGCAGTATGGCTTGGATTATGTGACAGGGTTGCAGCAATGACTGGAGTTGTGGAGTCTATTTAGTGGGGAGATAAGTAATATACCTTTATGCGTATACTTACGCTTTCCTGTGAGATATTCTTCCGCGTTGAGGTTTGTCGTGTCGTCCTAACTGCGCTACATCGGCCAGACATTATATCATTCCCTACAATGCGGCCAGATGTTATACAATCAAAAAGTTTTGTTCTATTGATAAGCTGGATGCTAGTGCTAAAGCGCACGGGGGTCGAGAAGAGAATCATATGAGTCTCTTCACTTCTCAAACAGCTGAAAGGTACTTTAGTTATAAACGGCCTTGCTGACTATGAGAGTGCATGTTCACACTAGCTACTAGATCCGTCAGCTGACCTAGGGTTCTGGGCTGTTGATGAGGGGAAGCTGTTCCAATGTAGCACCTAATCTAGTCTTTGACAGTGCTTCTGTTCTGTGCTATGCGTAGAATTCCAATTCGACCGATTTCGGCTCTTTGGTTGGGTAGCCTACAGAGGTATCACGACCACTACAAACTATATCGCATATGCTATAGCTCTGGGCATGCTACAGACTGTGACCTTGTCCAAACCTTCTCGTACACTCTTACGAAACACAAATTGTATTAACACATCGGCAGCTAATACAAACGAACTATCCGGTCACATGGAAGAGTCTATGGCTTTGGGTGCGATAATGTCAATTAATTTGAACTATGGGGCTGTTTTGTGGTGTGAAGCGAATTCCTCGAGATAGCTTGCATTAGCTGGTCATAGGAACCAAGTCGACCAGGATAGTACTTATGAAAGAAGGAGGATAGGAAGTGAACGACAGGGATCGATATTGAGCACCGGCTATCAGCAGAGTCGATTTTATTGCGCCGAGGCGACTTAACAAAGACAGTTCTCGGGCTGTGTGGACTAGATATCAACGTAAATAGTACCCTCGCGAGAGAACCACATAATAACTGTCCCTGACATGTAAGGTGAGGGGTGGCCCGTCTAATTTTCCGGGTTTCATTTGAAACTGACGATATGTATCGCTGGAGAGCAGAATACTAGTACTAGATAGGCAGCTGCAGCTGACACTACGGAAGAACCAGGGACCGTGATCCGTGGGCTGTGGGCTGTGGGATGTGTACTAAGTAGTTTACATCTGAGGTGGGGGGAAATGGAGACCCTTTTTTGACGGGCGGATCGAACCGATGTGTTCCCGGCCGTAAGGCAGGTCTTCCGCGACGCTTAATTGTTTAACGCTTCAGCCTAGTAATAGTGATCATGTTGAAATCTGGCCAATGCGCATCTCACTGGCCTGGCTCCGGCCGCTCCAAACTTTAAGTTCCGCGTGTCCGACGGTCGCCTTTTGACGTCTCAAGGACCTCAGCTCATCACATTATTTTCTCTACTAGCCTTAACCCCACTACAATGCGGTCTATCTTTGTGGTCCTAGTTCCCTGTTTAGTCATTTCGGTTCTTTACCTGTACTTTGCCGGCACGCGCCTTCGGCCGCAACGCAGAGTAACCGAGCTACGACGGGCGCCGGCAACAACACCAGCGCAATCATCAACCATGCCGAGTCACTGGATTGATTGTGTACATACTGAGCCGGAGCCACGCTTCTGGGCTAAATATGCATCTGGTCCAGGGGTTGCAGTTTACGGTTTCCCCTCGAAGGGGGGCTTCTATGTTCTTCATGAGTGCGTTGGAGTAGAACTGGATTTCCTCGGGCTCGACCGATTCGGGAACACCGAACGACCATCCAAGTCAGACCCTGATTGGCAGGCCAAAGAGGAGGCACACTGTGATCTTAGTTCGTTTCCCTGAGAAGAATTAGTCGAAGTGCAACGCTGATATATTTGATTTTTCCTTAGTGCGTCGTTTAGGCGCGACATGGTTCGAGACGGATCGGGATGAGCTCGAATTTACGTTCTTTCGCACACGCGAGGATACAGATCCGCATATTCGCTTCGGCTGGCCAGAAGATGGTGGTGTTTGGGTATTGAATACCACATACGGTCAAGCTAGTGATTTGGGCACAGCTATAATTTATAACGCGAACAATATGGAGGAACGCTGTGAAATGATCAAAAGGTTGGGCGGCATCTTCTATGCGGATCCAAGAAACTGTCCATTTCTTGATCTTGATTAAACACGATGCCATAAGTATACCCATTGAATGTCAACGTCAATCGGGCTGTGTCATAATAGCGATTCGAAGTGTTCATGACTACTAGGGGTCTGATCCAGACAGTTGATCAAGGAATTTGATGTTATCTTCCACATACATAAAAGATGGAGATCTTAACATCTTTACCAAAAGAGGTAGGGGACTAATGTAGCACTTTGCGCAGTGGTGGGGGAGACAACCAACCAAGTAATTAGGCGGTNTATTTCAGANCTCGTTCCTCAAAAGTCAGGCATTGAGGTGANCTAAAGGGGCTGTTAGTAGGCGNCGGGCATACGACCGCGACATATCGGTTAGCTAGGTAATGCCTAAGTTCTTACATAACAGCATCATGGTATTAAGTCCCGGCGTAAAAATAAACGNCCGAATTCCCCTGGGCACGATCATCTTGGCGACGCGGAAAATGACGCATGGTCTAAGGTTACATCTACATCAGGGATCTGATATGCAAGTTGGCAAGGATTGGGAACGAAAGGGCTGTATCGGCGGGCCAGATGGGTGTCAATGATGGTCCAGTAGCGGGATAAGTGGGCTGTAGACCGGGCCTACTGCACTAGAATGGAAGTGGAGTTCATAAGCCAGGAGACCAGGTTAGTCAAACGGTTAATTAGCAAGTGTATTGGTTACTATCAGGCTGGATTTCCGAAAGTGCTGATAACTAGACAAAAAGAGATATATCCCGTCGGCTAGTGGTGTTTCTTGGTCTACCAATACTCTAGGCCGCTAGAATGTCATACTACTTCGGTATCAGCCCTTGCTGGTGTCCAAAATGAATGCATGTGCATGGGACTGGAATAGAGACTATATAATTCGGAAAGGGAGCCGGCTACATGAAGGTCAACAGCATGCCCAGCATGAAGTCATTCCTTCCCCTATCGTTTGTTACTATAGGCGCCCTAGCGCTTGCCTACCCATTTGACTCTTAGATTCAACCGTGCCCAGCCCTCAGCTCTGCACAGTATCTGGTGCATTCACTAACAGCTGGACGTCATATGATTCGTGGGACCGCCTTGAGCGGTGCAACGAGGCTATCCTCTTCAACCTCAATGGCTTCAATGAATTTGGGCGCAAACCAGCATCCGAGACCGCACCTTCGAGAGCCCCGTCAATGTTAGACATGCATTATCAGAGTGTACTACCGGTACAAACACCTCAGTTAGCTTGCAACTGGCTTCCTGGAACACGACCACGTCCGTTGAAGCATCCCCTTCGCTTCCCCTGGCGCTTAAGGCAATAAACAATTATGCCATAAATGCATTTTCATGCGATTCAACAATGGAAACCATCACCTTCGCTATTCATGGCGAGGTCCTCGTTGAGTGTACATAGGTAGCCTCATCGACAGCGTTTCCGCAAGCCGCACGCCTTCCACACATAGAGCCAAACAGCTGCAGGGGCCCGACCTACAAGATGCGGTAGCTACACAGGTCTGTGGTTCTGAGTATGGTAGGGCTCATACCCTGGGCATGATGGTCAGCACCACAGGAGACTATAGGCGGGTTCACTCAGGCGTTCATGCATGGGCAAAGGCCTCATGGGTCTCCAACTATGACCATGTCTATGCCAGTAACACAACTTTCTTGGAGAGGTCAACATCTACGACCACCCCTAGCCATCCTATTCAACACATAAAAAGCCGAGACGACGCCTGCTCTTATGTTACCGTCGCTTCCGGAGATTCTTGCGCTTCGTTGGCTTCGAAGTGTGGCATTACGGCAGCCGAGCTAACGGACTATAATCCTAGTTCAAGTCTCTGTTCAACATTAACCCCTGGTGAAGTTATCTGTTGCTCTGATGGTCTTAAACCTGACTTGTCTTCTCAGCCTCCTTCAGACGGTTTGTGCTATAGTTATACGGTGGTCAGTGGAGATAATTGTGCTCTGCTTGCTAGTAAATACTATATAATCATGGATGAAATCGAAGACTATGACACGCAAACCTGGGGATGGATGGGCTGTAGGAATCTATAGTTTGGGTCTGTTATTTGCCTTGAGCTCTGGTGTACCTCCCATGCCTGCTGTAGTCTCGAATGCTGAGTGTGGGTCTTAAGTGAATGGTATGATCCGTCCCAGCAACTGGTCCGATATCAGCAGCTTGAATCCATGTCCTTTGAATGTATGTGTAAGTATCTCCTGGATCCAGCTTTGCTATGTTCTTACTGACTAATGTAAAGTGTGATACATGGGGCCTGTGTGGTATTACTCCGGAATTTTGTTTGGTGTCTGAGTTGATAACAGGGGCACCTGGCACTGCGGTGAATAATATTAATGGCTGTATTTCTAACTGCGGCACCGCGATTCTAAACAATGATACTGTGGTGAATAATGAGCTTAAGGTGGGGTATTTCGAGGCATACGGTGTTAATTGCTTGTGCCTTGCTATGAACGTGAGTCAGTTCCCGTCCGCGTATCCCAATGTTTATTATGTATTTGGGGAAATCACAAGCGATTTTAATGTTGATATATCCGGTTCTGAAGGCCAGTTTATAGTGTTTGCTGTACTGCGGTTATTCAAGTGTAGTCTTTTCTTTGGTGGCTGGTCGTTCTCTACCGCCTGGATTTAGATTCCATTTTCTGATAAGGGGTCACCGATGCTAGCAGACTTTTTTCCGCCAAGAATGTGGTTTCCTTTGTTAATAATTATAATTTGGAAGGTGTGGACTTTGACTGGGACTATTCTGATGCTCCAGAAATCCCGGGAGTTCCTTCCGGAAGTTCTACAGATGGGTTAAACTACCTCAGCTTTCTGCAGACACTCCGGGGTCTGCTTTTATTGAACAAGACTATCTTTATGGCAGCATCCGCTTTATATTGGTATCTCAGAGGATTCCCCATTGCGAATATGTCGGAGGTGTTGGATTATAATGTCTATATGACATATGACTTGTATGGACAGTGGGATTACAACAACTCTTATGTGAACCCGGGATGTCCGACAGCAAATTACCTTCGCTCTCACGTCAACTTAACGGAAGCCGAATACGCACTTGCTATGATTTCCAAGGCTGGTGTTCCTGCCCATAAGGTGGCGGACGGTATTACAAGCTATGGCCGCAGCTTTGGCATGGTTGAACCCAGCTGCACAGGGCCTGAGTGTCTCTTTACGGGACCCGACTCCACAGCCTCTCTTGGAGAATGCACTGTGGCTGCCGGTTATATCTCTCAAGCCGAATTGGAACGGCTGAGTCATTCCAGCCTGACTCGTCGCTCCGCCATGACATGGCATGATAGCAGCAGTTGCACTGACATGACGACATAAGGCGACAACTCATGGGTGGCCTACATAACACAAGACACGAAGGCGTCTCGCATAGACCGATACTCTAGCTATGGTTTGGGTGGCGTAGTAGAGTGGGCATCGGATTTGACCAACCTTGTCGAAGGGGTCGAAGAGGCCGAATCAAACCTCAAAACTACCGCTGCGGAAGAAGAATTTACGGCCGCACTATCTCTCAGTAATTACGACATCTCCAATTTCAATACCTACAACCTCAGTGTGCTCTACACGAAACTTATCGGCTTTGATCGATGCTCTGCTGACCAACGTACCCAAATTTACTCCGGGTGGCAACAATCATGGAAGGTAATGAACTATATGTACAAGGTGGCAAAGGATGGTATTTCATTCGGTGAAGCAGATGCCATTGACTACCTCGGCCCTTCATTAAGCAATGAGAAGTTACAGGGTAACTTCAAGGACATCTATCTAAACCTTGCTACCATCCAGCCTGGCTGGCTCCCATCATGGTTGGACTGGAAGATCGCCATTCGCTGCGACGATCCATATTATCAATGCCCCTGTGGCTCCGACTCTCTGACTATAGCTTATGCTGGGCAGAAGGATGCAAAGTACCAAGTGGCGTATATCAACTTCTGCCCCAAGTATTTCACCACGCAGACGTTGGATCAGGTTATGGAATACGCCGATAGGGACAAATACCCGGAATCAATTTTCGGCGACATGAGAACCTACTATGACAACCAAGTCTAGGGTATGGTTGCATGAGCTCCTCCATATTGACTGGGTCGCGAAGGCAGACGAATATGGAAGCAACGTTCACGTCAGCGACCTGAAAGTGGGCTACAGGCAGACCAACAGGGTCATGAAATGGTTCGGTGTTTATGGGCCAAACTATTGTAAAGCATTGGCTCGTATTGGTGCTGTGCCGAGTGCATACACTATCATGAACTCTGATAGCCTCGTTCTGTACGCACTCACCAAGTACGTACACAACAAACTGGGCGCCTTTCCATATCGCCCACTGGCACCACCACCTCCACAATCTGTCGAAATTCCAATGGTTTCCCCTAAAATGCTCACTGTCTACCCCAATGGCACGGGGGTTGAGGTTCCAAATACCACCCTCGATGATGAAGCGGAATGGAGCCCGAATGAAGAGGTTTGTGCCGCTTTTGATGATGAGGACCATGACGCAGACCCTACAGTGATGGTTACTATCACGACCTGGCCACTAGAGACAGACTATCCTGCCACGTACTTGTCCAGCTGGTCGTCATGGGCTGGGCTGATACCTACAACAACAGTCGGTCACAACCGCAACAGCTACTCCAACGGCAACCTGGGCCATACCCATTTATGCAGAGGAGAATTGTGCTGGTGATCACTACATCGTAGAAGGTCACAACCAAGACACTACAAGCAACAGGTGTCTCCTTATAAGTGACCTCAGGTCAACCGACACGACCAGCGCGTCATGTCGGTGGTACTCAAGCGGCAGCGACACGTACACCTCATGTGATGAGAGCTCACTAACCGAGCCCCTTTCATGGCAACTGTCGGGGACAGGTGCTGAATGTACCGCGTTCGACAATGACTCCTGCAATGATAATGCAGATCAGGATGCATATACTACTTCTGAAGGTTACCACAGTTACAGTGAAAGGGACCTGGACAAGAAGACCTGAAAAGACTTGAAGTGCGGAATGTAGGATGTGTGTGTGTGGGGGGGGTGGGTCTATAAATCTCCTCTAGTTTTATGTCATCGCGTTTCCGGCCATGCCAGAGTCTATACCGACTGTCTTTTTCGACTTTTCAGCCTAGAGCAGTAGCTCTATATCTTTATCATCCATTTAAATACAGGCGGTACGTCATCGTGATCACGAGGACAGTCACAGAAAATTATGATGAATAGTTATTGAAAGGGCTAAGTAATAACGGGACATTCCCCTCATAGAAGACCTCCATCGCTGTATGATTCGGAAGTAAGATATATCACCAACTGTTTATGTTCATAGCAGAGAACTGAACCTGGAACCACGGACTCATCTGCCCATCGGACTCATCGCCGACACCATCAGATCAACCGATATCGGCGCCCTAGTCCAATCAGATAGGTTTTGCGGCTCCCCGAAAAGCCAATTATGCACCAGAATATGCAACGACCACTTCGCGGGGTACGGGCTCTGCAAAGGACCCCCGGGAAGAGCACAATCGCCGACAGAGAGTGACGATGTACTGTTATGGATACACGCACGGGCCTATTGTGCTTGGGAATGTCTTGGAAGGTGCCATCATGCTTCTACAGAATGCAGACAAAGCAAATAATATTGATTATCTAAAAATCCAGGCCATAGGGAGGAAAGAAGGAGAGCTCTTATATTATAAGTAGAGTCAAAAGGATGGCAAGGTTATTAATTTAACCCTGTCTTCAATTCAGTGCCACCACCGCCAAAAAATGTGACAAGAGTGGGATTCGAACCCACGCCATCTTACGATGATCAGGAAGCTTGTGGAAGCTGGGTTATTAAGGTGGACCTTAACCTGACGCCTTGGACCAACTCGGCCATCTTGCCTTGAGATATCATTTAGTCCTTTGGTGTCCGAATTACTTTTAGAATGTATAAATTAGCTGGGGAAGTTCATTCCGACTTTATTTCAACGTATTCCTTAGAACCTACACAAAAAGTTTTGCTGGTTTAAATGCTTGACGTCCTAATATTCCTGCCTATATTGTACATTTATGTCAACCAAGACTAGCCATAAAAGCAAAGGCGATGAATTAAAGACCTGATTACTTTCAGAGAATGTTATGTGTCTGTAACGAACAAATTCAAGCACATACGACCACAGGGTGTGGAGAATAGGGCTTCCCGTCCGCTCAGCCGTACTCAAGCCACACGCCGGGAGGTTAGTAGTTGGGTGGGTGACCACCAGCGAATCCCTTCTGTTGTATGTTTTTCATTTTCATTTTTTTTGCCCTGTTCCCATGATTTTCTCGCGGCTCTCTTCATTTGGCGGTATATTGTTTTCTCAGTGCATTCGGGCAGTGTCTAAGGTACCTGTTGGACAAGAAAGTGTTGTTAGACCGAGCCGCTACTGATTGATGCCTCACTGAACTGATTGAAGTGCTCACTATTGATTATCGCTCCTCTCATTCGATAACCATAAGCTACAGTGTATCGGAAGCTGGTATCAGCCTTCCTGGCCGTCCGTTGTTGTCCGGTGGATCGACGATTGTATTGATATGATCTTCCTTTACTCCCCAGTCACACCCTTCCCAAGCCGAGCGTCTTCCGGTAAACCCAGTTCAATTTCGAGCTCCTCAACATGAACAAAAGCCTCATGGGGTTGAAGGGTAACACTCATGGGGTTGAAGGGTAACAAACATATCGCTCGTACCTACCGTGCACGGGACGTTCCCATCTTCAGAAGAAATGACACCCGACCGTTTTACAACTGTGCCAGGAGTCCCATTTCCCCGTATCCTGACCACGCCGATGGACACAGAAAACTTCCCAATACGAAAAACTGCCGGTTGAGAAGGTGGCCCGCTGAGATGTATCATCGTCTCCTTTCACCCCATGACCTATGAGCCTCCAGGTTGAGGGTTAGCGCTCAGGTTTTCTCCACGTTAGCGGCATATCTAGCTGAAGACTGTAAGTGGCGTGCCTTGGGGCCTTTACTCTTGTCAGCAATTTAAAATGCATTTCAGGACCAGAAAAGACTCACTACCCTACTCTGTTTGAGGGCCAGAGGACTCCGTGGCCTTGAAGTCGGCAACGGCACATCGCCATCCACAAAACTGATACACCACACACCCCCTGGAAGAACTAAGGGTGTAGACTGCGGTTCCATGAAGTCCCAGGCTTCATGACCCGTTATTCATAGCTCAGTCCCAAAGATGAACCTGAACACCAAATCAAAAGAACTTATATGTGACAGATTCACTTTTCTTGGTTACCGAAGACAGAGTCTCGTCAAGGCTGTTATCGCATGACACTGCATCGTCATCCACACGTAGAGACCAAAGATGAAGATGCTATGGTTGCTGCGTTGGCGGCAAGGGGTGGCTCGGCCGCAGCACCACCACCTCCTCCTCTAGGGAACCATAGGGCTGGCGGCGAAATAGTCGGAAGCCGTCGTTGTGACTCAGTGACCAATATTATTATAGTAGCTTGCGCCGGTCATCGATGGATCCTTGCTCGTTAGGTCGCGCAGCACCCACCGTAATGACATTTCTAGTCGTGTTTTGGGTATAATATACATGGGCGCAGGGAGGGTTGCCTCCGGAGACGGAGTATGGGACTTCTATTTATGTGAATTACTTATCTAAGAATTCTGATAAGAGTTGTGAGGCCTTCGTATTGACGGTCCTCGTTGGGACATCTTAGATAAGACGTCAAGGGTCATCTATCCTTTCTCTTTTTTCTGTGACGAAGCCTAATAGTGGCCACGTAGGTTAGACTTGTAGAAATGCAGAAATGTATTCCGGCTGCAGGGAACAGGAGCGTTATATTATGAGCAGTGAGTGCGAGGGGTCATATCAGCATGAAGTAGTAACCAGAACGTGAGGCGGAGAAGTGATATTGTCCCCAGTGGCCACAGATTTCTCTTTTGCGCCCAACGTGCGCTGCAAGGATAGCTTGTGAGACAGAAAACACTGTGTTTTTCAAAGCACCGGTGTTAGTAATCTCTACCTTAAGCCATCAAAACTATGCCACATCATCTTATATCGAAATTGCGCCCCCTTCCCCAACCGAGAGCACTCACATATTTAACCAAATAAGCAGCCATCATTGTTTCTCAATGGCGCCTCGTTAATGTCACCATGACGTAGGTGACAGGACAAAATCGTTCTTCTCCGTCTCCCGACATCGAGGCCAGGGTTGCCGAACCCTGTTCTCTCTATGACTGTTTGATCAAGATCACTTCCTCCCACAGGTTATTAGGAGACTCGGAGGCTCAGCTCCAGTTGTATAGAATGATACGCTTTCATGCAGTTCGTGGCAATTATGGTTTTACCTTCCATAATTATCCCAGTAAAGTATGCAAAAACATGAGGCTTGATCATTATGTGCGCTGCGGAATTTGTCGATTTGCACCTCACGCGTCAGTGCGCGGTGATAGCTGTAAGATGCAAGAGCCAACACCTCGATGGCGTTAGGTCATCTCTTGGAACATGTGATTTATTGCAGCAGCGCTCAAGATATTGCGAGAATTGTCGGATTTTCCCACCAGATGCAGAAAGACTCAAAATTGTGTATGGCTTCAGGGCTGATGATAATGCCCAGTTGATTGTCGGATCTGGATGGTCCTCAGGCCGCTCTGAGGGCCTCAAACATGTCCTGAGTTTTCAATAAGTCTACGCATTCATGACGGCTTTCGGGAGTAGGGATAGTTGCTCGTTCTTTTGAATCCAACGGCTTGTACACCTCTACTAAGTAAATTTACAACTAATGAGCCTGTTCCAGATCTTCCATGCGACGGCAGTGCCAATGGCCAAGTCTTGAACAATACAACTGTGCTGCACATTGCAGCCTAACGAATTGATTGGCGAGTAGTATCTCAATGGCTACATCATTCAATCCCGTTACCCTCCAGCACGGGGTGTTTGTCGCGTGGATCCTCTCCCGTTAGTCTTACCCGAATTTCGACTGAGAACAAGTGTGAGTGTAGCACCATCATTTGGGGATTCTATAATTCAACTGAGAGTATTGATATCTGCTACGCGCCAACTTTTCTACCCATGAAAAGACCGTCTTCTAACACTACAAGAGCCTTGCTAAATGAGCAGAAACGAATCGACCATATCACCTCACATTAATCTCGTATTGTTAAAACATGTCGGCGATAGTCTCGCCCTGTAGCTGGACATTTAGAAGTCTTCAGGGAGAGTGGTTAAGCATTCTCGGTGAAATTACATCAGTCAAGCGCATAAAGATTTTGCTATAGAATAGAAGCCTGGCTTTGTCGGCTAAAGGAATGAAGAAATCACACCAAGAATGGCTTGATGAGGAGTGGCCATACTCAAGCGTGTTTCTCCATATGTCGAAACTCTCTGTGGCTGTGAACCGACCTCAATACAGCATGCGCGGATGGACTTCGGGCAAGTTGAGCCTTCGAATGTTGAATGAATCTGACCGGTAGACACTCCGCATATTCAAGACAACACACGCACGTGTGTCATGCCACACGCTGAGTAGATGCATGCAGAAAGGCTGAATATTACTGCATGATCACACACGCTTTCTGCAGGACATTGGGGGCTTAAAGCCTTAAGGAGATATCTTATTGTACTGAATCATACTGGAATCTACTGTAGATTCTGTAACGGGCAGGAGCAACAGCCTTGAGGCTATGCATCGCAGCGGCTAGTCTTCGATGGCTCCCGGACTGTACTGCCCCTAATGCATCATCTTCCGTTTGGTCATCAACAAGGGATGGCGAGTCATGTATACATGTTAGAGTTGTATTCAGTCCCATTTTATTGAGCTGTACTATTGCAGGAAAGAAATAAAAGAAATAAAAGAAATAAAAGAAAGAAAAGAAAGAAAAGAAAGAAAAGAAAGAAAAGAAAGAAAAGAAAGAAAAGAAAGAAAAGAAAGAAGAAAGAACAAAGCAAAAGTATCTGGCTCAGTTAATATTTTGGGTTACTGCAACGTGCTGACACGTCGAACAGAATGCTAAGGAAATCCGACGTAATGGTGAATAATTAGGAAATCCAGACGATGAAAAGCTGTAATAAGAAAAGCAGTGCAGAGCCTCCTGCTCCTGCCCCGACCCTTGGTACATTTTACAAGTGATGGGACAGAATCCTAGCAACTTCCCGTTCCCCACGGATACAGTGAATCGCGTTTATTATGGACAATCAGACTGAGCATACCCATCAATTGTTCCTTATATTAGAACTCAACTATATCAGGCGGAATGATAAGCGTTGGCCCAGGCATCAGACATGAGACTGTGGCACCTCTCCCCACCAACCCTGATCGATGGTGGAATCCCGCTTTTAGCGTCGGCCATCAATCAGCCCAATCCAGACCCGCTCATGAGGGGTCGAGTAAGCACTAGTAAGCACCTCGTAAGACTCAGTATCAACCTTGTACGATTCGAGGCCGTTCCTTTTCTTTGTTTGTTCCGTTTATGATTCCTCCACTGCGTCTCCCTTTCCCACACTAGGAATGATGGGGAGCGTCTCATGGCCAATGGTACCATCACATATCCTTGCAGGGGGTTAGGTTTCATGACCACCTCACGCAGGTAGTAAGTAGACAAGGCTGCGTGCATCATGAGCCAATGGGATGTGATGAATGGGAGCAAGGAATCTTTCCTTCTTAGCTATCCATTCGTCTTCCTTCCTGTCTTCCGCAACTTTTCTCATTCGCGTCCCCGATCTCCCCATCCACCACTCGCTTTTCATCCTTGACAAAAGAACTCCCCCAACTCAATTCCGCTCTACACCCCAGATAGCAGTACCTTCCTTAATCCCCCTCTCCATTCCTCTCTGCTCTGGTCGATTATTCTACTGGCCATCACCATGATTCTCGAAGCATTGGGCTTGCTCGCCCTCGCCTACCTAGCATGGAGCATGGTGACGATGGAAATCAACTACCGTCGTGCTTCCAGCATGGGGATCCCCTTGGTGCGCCTTTATATCGACCCTCAAAATGTCCTCTGGATGGTCTTCGAACCCATTATCTGGCCTTGGCTGAACAAACTCCCTATCAATTGGCGCAATTACAGCTTCGGTCGCTACTCGCGCCGGGGCTGGTACTTTGCCGATCGCGGCGAGTCTCATAAACGCTACGGTCCCATGTGGGCGCTGGTCACCCCTCGCGATATCTACATCAACGTCGCCGATCCAAATGCAATTCATGATATTTTCCAGCGGCGTACGGACTTCATCCGACCCAGTCAAATGTACAGTATGTCCGGATTTCCATGTTGAATATTGCAAAACTATTTGGATCTGGAATTGCTAACCCGGTTCGGCATCTAGAGGTACTGGAGGTGTACGGACCATGCATCTCGACAGCAAGTTGGAATGATTGGCCCCGGCACCGAAAGGTCCTAGCCACGCCGTTCAACGAAAACGCCATGTCCTTTGTGTGGGATGAGAGTGTAGAACAGACACGCCAAATGCTGCAGGTTTGGGACTCTTCTGCGGATGGTCACATTCCTAGTGTTGCAAAGGATCCGCGGACCCTCTCGTTGAACGTCCTCGCCGCCACGGGATTCCGCAAGTCGTTCCCTTTCCAGAGTGCCAAAGATCACCAAGTGAAGTCCGAATCCCCTGCCACTTCGGAAGATGAATCAGAGGGATATCGCGACGCGCTTCAGACCGTGCTGGATAACTGTATCCTCCTGATGGTGATGCCTCGCAAACTACTCACTCTGCCTTTTGCACCCGAGTCATGGCATCATCTTGGCAAAGCAGCCACCGATTTCAAGAACTATATGGTCCAAATGCTGAACGAAGAAACCAAAGCATTGAACACCGGAAGTGCGGGGAGCGGAGGCCTGATGACTTCATTTGTTCGCGCCATGGACCTGAAGCAGAAGGTGGATGGGGAGGGAAAAACAAAGACAAGTGGCTCACCACCCAAAGGGCTGACGGTGGATGAGATTTTCGGGAACATCTTCGTTATCAACTTTGCAGGGCATGATACAACCGCCAATACCTTGAGCTTTGGCTTGCTTCTACTTGCCGCGTATCCAGAAGTTCAAGACTGGGTGGCTGAGGAGCTAGACGGGCTTGATGAAGACAATATCAAGGAGCACTACGGTGAACTGTTCCCACGGCTGCTTCGTTGTCGCGCTGTCTTGGTATCTCTACCCACACATATTCCAATTCTGTTTCCGTGCTCTGCTCTCATTGATCACTAACAATCAACCCCCGTTCCATAGCTCGAAACCCTCCGCCTCTTCCCGCCAATTGTATCCCTCCCGAAATGGACCAACGACGAGCCCCAATCACTCAGACTGGGCGACAGAGACATCATGATCCCTCCTCACGTTGGAGTCCACCCCAGTCTTCTTGACATGCACATCCATCCCCAATATTGGGAGGACCCCTTGACATGGAAGCCGTTCCGCTGGATAACCAAATCTGCCTCTGGCGATGCCTCGGAGGCAATCATCACCCCATCCCGCTCTACTTATTTCCCATGGTCGGACGGACCTCAAAACTGCCCCGGGAACAAGTTTTCCCAAGTTGAATTTGTGGCTGTCATGGCGGCTCTCCTCCGGAGTCATCGGGTGCACCCAGTTGCCAACCCTGGCGAAAGCCCCAAGGAGACACGCGCGAGGGTCTTGGCGACCACGCAAGACGTGGATTTGCAATTGCTCCTGCGCATGACGAACGCTGATCAGGTACGTTTGGCGTGTTCTCGGGTGGCCTAAGGTTCACCTATCTAGGTAAAAGTTGTGGGTGGGGGTGTAATTGAAGATAAATGTTATACTATATCGCTGCGGTGTGGTTTTGTTGCCGGTATTTTCGGGCCCTAATGTAGCATATATCAAGGTAATGTTGTGTGGGATATGTTATTACAATTGTTATATATGGGGAAAATTGTGATTGATCTAATTGAGCACTTGAGGAGCTTGAAGTTCAAGGTCTTTTCAAATGATTACCACCAAGACAAACTGGTGTGTCCAACAAGAATGTTTTCATGGACTGGGTTTATATATTTTTCTCAACGTAGATCCTAACATTTGCTTACCGGGACAAGGTCCGATAATCCACAATCTTCCCTGTAACCCATCTCCGTCTCTATAGGTAGTTTTATTCTCCTCTCTCAGCACAACATCGAATCAATTGATACGATAATAGGCCTCGCAGTTTTCTTCACCAGGGAAATTGATCCGCAGCCGATTCCTTAGTTCAACTTGACATTTCAAATTAAATTCCCAAGATATACAAATAAAGACTGCGTAAAGTCACTACAATATGACCATCACTCCCCCATCCACTCCGCCTCAATAATAGCCATCCTCGCCCCGGCGGCACCGAAACCCCCAAGAACCGGAACCGCGAGTCCGCCTCCACAAACAGACTTTCCCACGTCTCGACATCCCGCTCCCGGGCATTATTGAAAGCCTTCATCGAAATATCCATGTATCTGGCAAGCAGTTAGTATTTAACACAAACCCCACTGGAAGCATAAGCAACTAATCATCCACTCACCGAAAATACCGCTCCGTCATAGGTCCCACCTGCCCCGGCGCCGGTAAACAAACATCATTAACCACGACCCTCGCACCCTTCTTCAACGCAGGTGTCAAATTCCGCAGAATCTGGATGGCATATTTATCTGACCAGTCGTGCAGAATCCATCGTAGGAGATAGACATCTGCGCCGTGCACGGGCTGCACCTCTAGGAAGTCGTGCGGCATGCCCGTCACTCGTTCAGAGAGAGCGGGTGGAACGTTGGCGGCCAGTCCGGCAATGGTGTCGGGTAAGTCCTGCACGATGCATTGAACGTTGGGGTATTGGGAGGCGATCTCGATGCTGACTTCGCCGTTGGAGCCGCCGACGTCGACGATTGTTGTTGTGTTGGTCGTGGTGCTTGTGCGATTGAAATTGTAGTTGTTCAGGAGATGGGAGAGATGGTACACTGGGTGGAGGTGGGAGAATCGCATGGCGGTGATGAATTGTTGGTGGCGGCGTTGGTCTTTACGGATTTCGTCGAATGGGTGGGAGGTGGTGCCGTGGGCGATGGAGTAACCCTATAAGGTTCAGTACGTATATTGGCGGGATGGAGAGATGGGGTTATACTTACGGTCTCATTGGGCTCTTCGGACCCGGGCCATCTCTCTGTTGCTTCGACTGTACGGGTGAATGCGGGCCAGAACTCCTGGGCGATATTTTGAATCCAGGCTTCAACCATGGGATTATTAATTAGGAGCTTGGATGCAGCGGTATGTGCGATCGTTCCTTTCGTGGGCTCGCAGAAGACATGGCGGCTGATTGCTACGCGGAGGAAGCGGGTGAGATCTTTTTGTCCCAACCCTGTGGCCTTGGATAACTCTTCAAAAGTCGTGGTTCCATCCAAGGGTACGTGCGTGGCGATTTGGTAGCGATAGATGTATTGCAGGCTTAGCAACATTAATTGCTGTGTACCTCGACGTTAATTACGGGCAGCTGCAATTGGATCGGAGAGGGGAAACACACCTCCCCAGGGCAGCTAAACAGTAGCCCCAGCGGACCTAACATGAGGTGGTGAAGCTCGTAAGTTGCTTCAATGGCACCCTCCCTCGCCTCCTGCACTTCGTGAGGCAGTGGCTGAGCGGGGTGGAGGCCATCGCCATTCTGGTAGGATGGCTCCGGAAGGCCTTGGCTTCTCACAAAATCTAGGAAGACCTTGGTTGTACTTTGAACTTTTTCAAGCAATTGCGTGACTTCATTCGTGGGAGGCTTGGGCATCGAAGAATAAGCCCGCGGATAAGCATATTGAGAATGAAGAGATGGCAAACGTTGGTAGTAAGGCCGCAGCTGGGTAGACCGCGTAGGGAAACCCCGGGAGGTAATGAATCGATATGCCATTTTCATGCTATATGAAGTATAGATGTGGACAACAAGGGAAAGGAATTTAGGTGCTACTAATTAAACAGGCCAGCAGTGACGATGGATACTACTTATTTCCTGTCCTCCGGAGTGTCATCTTTTCGGCCCCCAATAACACATCCAAGCTCATTATACACTCGTGATTCCAGGTGTAATAAGATAAGTAGCCATTGAGTTCAGACTTGGCTCTTGCAAGGCTGTCAGACTGATTGCTTACCCCTCACTCGCCGGGAAAATCTACGGCACAGCCCTACTTGGCCGCATGACAGCCGCGACAACTTGGCGTGGTGCGTAACTTACGTATGGCAATTGTCTGCATAATGTATTCGGGCATACGGTCCGTTCCGTGGTCCTTGGATGTGATAGGCGAAACTCAGCACGCGGCGGTATTTGATTAATGCAAGGTGCCGATCCCAGTAGACGTGTTAGAGGAGGGTAGGCCATCTGAGACCGAGTCCGGACTCGGCTGTGTCATCTCATCCTCCCTGCAATCTTCAATTACAAGGAAATATACCCCGACACCCAAGGAGGTGTTCACCTGTTTAATATCCATCGTCCACTCACCTGGTCCCAACAGCGATGCAGATGATTTCCTTTCAGCCTCAACTCAGTCCAAAAAAGCCGTGTCGAGCACAACCACCACGACCACGACCACCGCCGCGATGCCTGCCACGAACGATCCCAGCGACAATGCACAATACCTCACTGGATGGAGACTCGGCATCGTGATTACCTGTTTATTCTTTGGGTCTTTCCTCATTGCGTTGGATACCAATATCATCAATGTGGCTCTGCCGCAAATATCCTCCGATTTCCGAGCTTTGGACGATGTGGCCTGGTATGGGACCGGCTATTTGCTTACAGTGACCGCATTTCAGCCAGTCTATGGATGCTTCTATCGTCTTTTCCCCACAGATATTGTCTATCGGCTGTCTATAATCATCTTTGAGGGTGAGCGACTAGCGGCACTTTGCTCCTTTCGTCCGCTCTTTCTTTGGTTGTCGGCAATTTTAGAACAAGCTTATTTCTGACCGATCTGATCCCTAGTGGGCACAATTCTGTGCGCAGCAGCCAACTCATCGCCCATGTTTATTGTGGGTCGCGCCGTCGCTGGCCTTGGGGCCGCTGGCGTGTTACAGGGTGCTCTTAGCATCATTGGACAGGTGGTGCAGCTGGAGAAGCGACCGCTGTACATGGGAATTGTCATTAGCGTGTTTGTCATAACGGTCTGTGTTGGACCCCCGCTGGGTGGAGCATTCACTCAACACGCCACATGGCGATGGTGTTTCTGGATGTAAGCACATTCTCTTATCCCCCACTCTCCTCTCCATTCCCCCTCCCCCACACCCGTGAAAGTCTGATCATCTCCACTCTTCAGCTAACGTTGTGGGTATCTTGGTATGATTCAGCAACCTGCCATTCGGTGCCGTTGTCCTTGGCGGGCTGACCCTCTTTCTCCGAATCAAAGGTCAGGCAACCAAGGATCAACAATTACCGCTGCGCGCAAAACTGGGCAGCATGGATTTCCTTGGTTGTGCCCTCTTCCTCGCTGCAGTTTGTTGCTTACTCTTAGCCTTACAATGGGGTGGTCAGACTAAACCCTGGTCCTCTTCTACCGTGATTGGTCTGCTCGTCGGCTCAGCTGCTTTAGCTCTGGTCTTCATCTTCATCCAGTGGAAGCGTCAGGAGCGGGCCCTCATCACCCTGAGGGTTATCTGCCGCCGGAGCGTCTTCACCAGTGCCATAGTTTTATTCTTTCTTGGTGGATCCACTTATCTGGTAAGCCAGCTGTCTGTCTTGCTCGTCCCCATCCTCGAACCTGGCTAGAAAGCCTAGCTAGAAAGAATCCCTGCCGCATACACGATAATCTTTCTTACACAGCCTCAGGATACGTATTTCCTGCCGTTCTATTTCGAGGCCGTGCACGGAATAAGTCCCGTCTCCAGCGGGGTCAACTTCATCCCCCTGATGCTAACAGAGATGGTCGCATTGGTCATTATCGGGGCTGTGGTCAAACAATGGGGTCATTATGTGAGTGAACGAAAAAGGCCATCCAGCCTCGCTCTCCCCCTCTTCATTCAATGGCCCCCAAACTACTCTAGGCGACCCTCCTTCTACCTCTCGCTTACTTTCTACATTTCAGGTCCCCTACATCCTTGCCGGCGACCTGATCTGCATCGTGGGAACGGCCCTCCTGACGCAGTTACACCCGCACACCCGCACGGTACAATGGGCGGCTTATCTGGTCGTCACTGGCCTTGGCCTGGGACTAGCCATGCAGCTCCCCTACACTGCCATACAAGTAACCCTTTCGTAAGTATCTCAGCTACAGTCGATCTGCCCCCACCCCCAGCTTATGCATCGTTACGTTTGCTATCTCCGCAAATAGAATTCCCCGAGTGACAGCGGAAAACGCGGAGCCAAGCCAAGCTGACATTCAATCTTTCCAAACATGGCACAGTGCAGAAGACCTTGCAATGGGTAATGGTACGTGCAGTTCTACCAAGCCTCGTCCCCACCATCGCAATTCTCCGATAATCAGCCATAACTTCCAAGCTAACCGCAGTACCAGCCATCGCCGTCCTCTTTTACCAATTAGGCGGGTACGTAACACCCCCCTCGTCTTAGCGCACCCCCCGCCGTGAATGAATCCAAACTAACGCTCACTGCAGAGTCATCTCCATCGCCATGGGCCAGACTGTGGTTCTCAGCACCCTCACAGAAAAGCTCAATGGCCAAATCCCCGGGCTGACCAGCAAGGATGTCTTCGAGGCTGGCGCCGCTAATCTAAAGGCCTTAGCGCCGACGGCAGCAGATCTAGCGTTTCTGCGCGATATCTGGAATGAGGGAATTTCGCGCACTATGATCTTGTCAGTTGCGCTAGTGGCAGCCGCGGTGCCGTTCACTTTGGGGATGGAGTGGTTGGATGCGAAACGGGTGGCTAGAGATAGGCAGGCGGAGGAGGAGGGGCAGAGGGAGATTGTAAAGCAGGAGGTGGGGGTTACTGAGGTTGAGAAGGGGTCGTCGGTGTGAGGTAGGTGCAGGTATCCGGTATTAGTGACTAGTAGTATGAATGGAATCTTGTGGGTGTGATGGTACCTAGGCAGTCGATAGAAAGACCAAAACTGCAATACATACGGGTTGGGTTGGTTTGTTTGTATACTACGAATAGTAGATAGTTGCTCATTTGAATTGTATCAAGGGGGACTATGTTAGCATCCCAAAAACAAAAAGAGAAAAAAAAAAAAATAATGGGTTCATCCATAGCGGTCGTCCAATATATTCCGGAAAACCTCCGTCTTCGAGCAAGTACCTAAGCCAAAGCTTTTATGTTGAAGCCCTTGAGTTAAATATCCATGTCACGTCTTACAAAGCAAGATAATCCAAATGTAAGGGCGTATTAAGATAACAATGAACAAGAAATAGATTTATATTTATATTCACAATAACAAATGTTCACTCCTAACCAACCAACCAAACATGTTATAATAATTCAACTATAAGCCGGGTCCATTTACACATCATCCTATCTTCCCGTCAACCGGTGTCCTTAATTCCATGGATCCTCACGAGAATGATTTCGACTAGCCGGCGCGCTCTCAACATCAAATTCGTTTCGCACATGCACAAGGTCCAAGGGAAGTATCTTCGGAGCAGTACCGCTTCTCTGAGACGAACCATCTCCCTCGACTCCCGGACCGGACTGTGTGCGTCTATAGCCATTCCGCATGCTGTTGAGGAGAGGGTTATTGGGTGGGTGGTACGCGACTTTGCCGAAGAGATGTTGGTTTTGTGATGTCACGAAGAGCTGACGGAAGGAGGCGACGCAGGAGATTATGATCGCTGGGGAAAGGTTAGCGAGACCTCAGAATAAAGAAATTGCAGAGGAATATTTGGTAATAAAAAATGGGGTGTTCGATGTGGTGGTGATTGAACATACCGGTTCCCATTTCAATAAAGCTCCACAGATATAACCAGGAGATATCGACGGGTTCATCAAGGGAGGTATTGACGACGACTCGGATAATGGCGATCGCCATGACGATAATCGTGACGGAGAAGACACTCAATAAGACAAGCTTCTTTGTGAAAGTAATACGTGTTTTCCAGAGGATGAGCACGGGGATTGATAAAACTGAGGAGAGCAAAGGACCAAATTAGCCGCGTTTCCCTATAGTTATGGTCGGCAGAGGAAAGGGTAAGGACTACTCACTCATAAGATCGGTAACCACATCCCCGGCACAGTTCGCCCAAAATGTGCGGTTTTCAAAGTGTACATGGTAGAGGTTGGAGCATTGGGCTGATTATATCAGTACTGCTATTTGCTCTCGTGATGGAGATATAGACTCACTCATGGTATATTCCAAACCCCCAAAACTGCATCGGTAGTCGATATCCGCGACCGAGGCCATCCAGACAGCCACGGTGCAAAACAAGACCACATACCACCAGATCCGATGACTCTTGACCTTGGAACCAAGCCGGTAGAAGAAGGCTAAGAATGAGAATTTGACACACCATAATCCCGAGTAGAACAGAATGGTGAGTGGGGCGACGAAACGCATGAACTTCCCGAACTTTGGTAGAATATCCGGGGTGTAAGGCTGCTTGCCCTCACTGATCGCATACATTTCATACAGCACTTGCCCCTCGATTTGCCAGATGATGGCGGTAGTCAACATGATTGCCCATGCTAGCAGCACAAAGAAGTCATCCAGGTAGAGGCGCTTGAACGATCCATATCGAACAACCACACGGAACAAGACGAAAAGGAAGGAGGTGCAAGTGAATGTCCAGAGTAGGCCCTGTTATGCCCGACCAGAAAGTGTGAGTGCGGAGCCGGTAGATGCTTCCACGGCCAACCTTGATGTCACTTACCAGAAATGTCGATTTTGAGACCTTAGCATGAAAGAATGTGAAAGCGCTCCCGGCCATGGTGGATCAGAATGGAATACCTGTACTACCTGGAATTTTCGAGCAGTCAGAGGAAGGCAGACTGATAAAAGACAATCTAGAATTAATTCGCCGTTCATGGAAGAAGGCGGGGATTCCTTCTCAGCCTGGAAACACTTCGCTGTTCACGCGGCAATGACGGCTTACTGCATGTGTCTCTTCTGCAGGAGACCAATGCTGCAGAGTAAGCCCTAATGTAACCAAACCCGGACCGACGATGGGGGCTAAACTTGGAAGCCTTGCAGTTTCATCCTTCCAGTCAGGGATCCATCTTGGTCTTCATCCATTAGGACAGTGACTATATGGTGTGAAGGGACGGGAAGGGCTCTCGGACCTTGGTGAGCCCAAGCTCACAGCCACCATGAGGTCTTATATCAGAATCAGGATGAACTTTCGCCATGCTTGCATGAGACAACCTGTAGTTATTCAGCCTTATCATTCCTTTCCCTTGTGGTTTCATTTGTTCATTACATTTTGCCACTTATTTCTCACTCTTAAGTTTTCGTAATACTTTTTTTTCCCCATCAAGACAATTCTATTTTTTTCCACGTTATCCGGACTATTGGTTTGTCTACTGAATTTCGCTTATGCCTCTGCTCAGGTGGTTTCTTTCGAAACTTGGCAGTAGTGAAACAGCCGATTAAATAGTTGTAAGTGCCAGCTAGAAAGCTAGTCGCAAAAATTACACATTTTGACTTTCCACACAATGAATACCGCTATCATTCCTGGCGCTGCCGCTGCCCTTGCATTAATCTTCTTCATCCTGCGCGCTTTGTCTGCACGGTCACGAGTGTTGAATAAGAAGCCTGCCGCTGCACCGCTGACCTTGCCCTACACAATACCATTTCTGCGAAGTACCTTTTCATTCGTATTTGATGGACCCAATTTCTTCATTCGGGCCTCGTAAGCCACTTCATCACTGCTTTCATATTCTCATGCTAAACAGCAAACAGTCGGTTCTGCCAGGGTCGTTGGCCACTGCGTGTAGGCCTGCTGGGAGACGAGGTCTATTTAGTCCAAGGACATAAAAACATAAGCTCGATCTTCAGCAACCCGAAGCTCACTGTTACCCGAGCCTATGGAGTGGTACTCAAGTACTGCTGCGGAATGGACCAGAAGGCCGTCGATGTCTACGTCTCAGACACGTCGGGCTCCCGGGAACGGCCCATACCTGGCAGTAGGATACCATCCAATCGCCGTGTTGGCTACCATACCCACGAAAACCTTTTCCATGGACTCCTTGGAAAGGGCCTCAGCCATACGACGGAGCGTTTTGATGCAGCCATAAAGTCCTCGTTGGATAATGCTGTGCCGACAGGGCCTACCTGGACATACGTGGACGATCTGACGGAGTTTTTCGAGGACCACTTGGGAGCAGCAATTCTGGAGACCCTATTTGGCCCGCTCCTACTAACTGAGAGTCCGGTTTTCCATCGAACGTTATGGAAATACGATAGGTATATTATGTCTATGGCCAAGCGCTTGCCTTCTTGGATGATCCCTGAGGGCTATCGGCTACGCGACAAAGTGCTTAGTGAAATTATGAAGTGGCACAAACGAGCCACTGAACTCTCAGCTAGGCACAGTGCCGACGTTGAAGAAGATGATCCTTATTGGGGGTCGGCGATGATGCGCGAGCGACATAAAATGCTTCTGGGGATCGATGAGCAAGATCTTCGATCGGTAGCTTCGACTGATCTTGCTCTGATTTGGGCGTAAGTGATATTCTCTGCCAATTCCCTCCGAGCTGGACAAAAAACTAACTTAATTTTCATCTTACTTCATGTAGCTCTATTACAAACGTGGTCCCATCCACAATGACACTCTGCACCCATGTATATAGTGACAGCTCCGTTGTAGCCGAACTTCGCTCTTCACTGCAGGACAGCATCCAGCCCGAATCTGGATCTCTGCATTACAACATGGACAAAATCAGCAAAAAACCCCTCTTACTGTCCTTGTACGCCGAGACCCTACGGTATGGGGTCCAAATCCACATCCCTCGATGTTCCCCACAGCAGCCCTTAGAGATTGGAAAAGGTGTCATCCAACCCGATAAATTGATATTGATCAACACTGCACTAGCGCACACTGATGAAGAAGTGTGGAACACGCGAGACGGGCAGTACCCACTCGACACGTTTTGGGGGCGGCGCTTTCTCGTCGATCCGCTCGACCCACAAAGTGGGCCTTTGAAGCCATCGTCAGCTGCGTATGAATTTATGAAGGAGCAGATTAGAGACAAAGATTCATCTAGTACTGGCGAACAGTTCACCGTGCAGGGGCTAGAAGGTATCTGGATTCCTTATGGAGGTAAGTGAGCCGAGTCTTCGTCTTCTAGAATGAGGGTGTTTTCTGTTGCACCCCGAAGGTGACATGCCGATCATCCATGGCCTCTCGAATGTATTGGACCTGAGCCCAGCTGACAATTCATCACGATATAGGAGGACAGAATGCATGTCCCGGCCGTCTTCTAGCCAAGCGGATCATGTTGCTCACGACTGCCATGATGGTCACCATGTTCGATGTGGAGCTTCTGGAGCCGATTCCGCACTTTGACTCACGTCGATTTGGATTCGGAGTCCGCAAGCCGGTGACCAAAGTGCCGTTCCGTATCCGCCGGTGTTGCTAGTTACACTGTGTTATTGTAATGTGTGCTTTGAAGCAAACTAAAGAAATCATAATCGCATCGGAAGTACTGTCGGGTTTATTTTGGCTCTCTCTTCGATGTTGGGACCCATTCTTGGCATTTTCGGACTTTAACAAAGACGCTGGGAATGACTGACCAGGCTAAAGGGATACAAAAATGTTGAGAAAAAAGCAAAAAACATACAACAGAAGGGATTCGCTGGTGGTCACCCACCCAACTACTAACCTCCCGGCGTGTGGCTTAAGTACGGCTGAGCGGACGGGAAGCCCTGTTTTCCACACCCTGTGGTCGTATGTGTTTATTCGGTTATTGACTCAAATTATATAGAGTCTTTCCACATATCTAATTAGGCAAAGGAGAGTATGACACGGGTGACTGGTATCATTTGAAATACGATCTATCAGGTAACCTTTAGCCTTGCAGGTGCTCTACTCAGCCCGGCCCGCAGAAAGGCTTATCTGGTGGTGAGAAATCCAGATTTTCATCACAATCGGCATTTCTGATCTGGCCAGATCTCGACTAAGACAGGCATATCCATTTTGCCTTAATCCGTGTTCAACCATCCTCTTCGTCCTTCATTAGACCCCCTTCGCATTCCCACCCTATCATCTTGCTGAGTCTGGAATCTCCAACCATGTCCGCCAATTTCTCTAGATTTAGCCTTCTTCCCACCGAACTCCGCCTCTCCATCTGGCAACACTCCCTCCCCACGCCCGTCCATCAAGGCTTGTACATCTACAAAAAGGGATGTTGGGAAGCCCACCTTGTGTCTGAGGATAGATTCCATCTTAGCTTCAACCTCTCGCGCCTTATCACTATGAGAGTAGACGTGCCTCCCTTCCTGGTTAATCATGAGGCGCATTCCGTAGCGCAAAACTGGCTGCATCAGCAAGCGGGGACCATCCTCGTCCACTGGACCCCCGATGGCTTCCACTTCACGCGGCCCTTTCGGCCGGCTTCCGACACCCTATACGTGCCGGACTGTCGGTATCTCGAATTTCTTATGGAAGGTCCCGATGTGGCTTTTGCCCCCCAATATGAAGGCCTGAATTACGAGACCAGCCCGCCTGCGTTCCCGCGCATCGCCTTTTCCCGGTCTCTACTGGAGCGTGAGAAGAATTGTATCACTTCAGTGTTTGACATGATAGAGTACCAAGATTTTGAGGAGGTCTCGGTGGTCGAAGACATGTCAGAGGATGACGAGGGTGATCTAATGGTGCTACCCCGGGTGCAGAGGCCTTGGGGATGGACGGTGGTTCCTGGAACGGAAACGCTAGTTTGGCATAACAGTGCGAGGGCATATCGCCGAGAGAAAGGCTACGAGGGCGATGAAGCAGATGCGTTTGCGCGGTTGGTCGAGCAGGCGAGCGTGGGCATCGGTTCGTGGATTGGGTGGGAGTACGATAGACTCCTTAAGGTGAGGCGGGTGCGTGCAATTCGGAATTGAGACGTGGGTGCCCTCAGTCTGGTAAAAAAGGAAGTGGGAGGCTTATTTACTTTAGTTTTGTGAACCATGTCAGATATATATCCCTGTCGTAAAAAAGAAATCAAAGCTTCAATATAGTGTCCGCCAGTTGCATGTAAAACGGGCTTTATGTACCTCTGTTTAGAGCAACCAGACTTTTATAAGTTAATCTAAAATGAGAGGAAGTCTAATAAATATTATAGTATATCTGCTTCTCCAGACCACCCATCATGCGTGAAAATGGAAGCATATGACTTCATTTAACCTTGCATAGAGATGTCGGTAACCATTCACCGCCTCGCCAAATCTCGGGTCGGGTTGGGTTCTCACTTTTTGGGTCCGCCCACGGGTAACCAAAGCTGGGTTTGGGGTGTCCTAAACCCTATCACGGTGGCTGTGTTGAGCAGTGACCGTCCTTACCTGCATCCCCAATGAGAAATCTTCATATTTCAGCGTTAGGTTTTCTAAAATATTCCGAGTTTGACCACGAAATGTCATACATACAAAATCAGAATTAGTGGAAGAGTCGCGAAACTATGGTGAAGAGAGCGACCGATGATTCCCGGGCTGACATCTGTCGCTTTACTGCACAAAAGAGCATTGGACGCCTAACTATCACATCTGATTAAATCACGAAACAAATGACGTGTCCACAACTTGTTTTAGTTTTTCATCTTATGAGCGAGTTACACCCCGCTGTCAGCTTTGCTTCTTCGCTTTCCAATTACAACGCAACGCACTGCGTTAAAAAACAACTAGCCTCGCCAAAATGCTATCAATCCTCAAGCGTATATATCGATTACCTGAGCCACAACCGAAACGGTCGAGGCCGTTACGAGTGATATGTCTCGGCCTTCCTCGAAGTGGAACGGAGTCACTCAAAGGCGCCCTCGAAACCCTTGGATTTGGCGGAGTGGCACATGGCTTCGAGTGGTGGCTTCATCATCCAAACCACAGCGCTCTCTATTGCGAACTATTACTGCTGAAGCTACAAAAACGTATGCCAAGCCCAGAGGTTATTCGAGAACTTTATTTTGATCGACTTCTCGGTGACATGGATGCTTCTACCGATGTTCCTACGGTTTGGTTTGCAAGCGAACTTCTCCAGGCATACCCCGACGCCAAAGTCATTCTGAACCGGCGTCGTGATATACAGGCTTGGAAAGAGAGCTTCCGCGCATCGGTATTACCAATGATGCAAAGTTGGCTATATTGGATGGCTAGTTGGTTCATGCAGAATTATTCTGGGGCGTGTGGCTGACTCGTCTTGGACATCAAACACTTCTTTTCAGGGGCGACTTTGAAAAGAATGCCGAGAAAGCGTATCGAAATCACTACGAGGGTTTAGAATTGATATTGAAAGCCAACAACCGAGATTATCTCGATTGGTCCGTGAATGATGGCTGATTAGATCTCCTATCCTTCAGGCGCTCAAGTGATACATGGCTTACACGTAAAAGGGTACCTCTATGCAGCTTCCTTGACCTACCGATACCAAATACGGAATTTCCAAGTGGCAACATTGCCTCTGAATTTAGCCCCAAATTGATGACTGTGGATGAAGGACGGTTTCAAAAAGCTAAACAAAACCTTCTAATGTGTCTTTCTTTCTTCGTGATTATTGCGGCTGGATGTTGGTCGCTTTGCACTTGAGGGATACTGTCTGATTCCGGCACAGTTGTGACCCCGTTATATAGACACTGGCGCATCTCCTACATACCATTACCTCTGCCGGTAGCGTGATCACGATTTTCATCTCTTTCGGTGTATACATGATGTATTCGACAGCAAGCATTTGAGAAGGGCATTTCTTTAACATTTGGGAGGGGCGGAGTGGTGTCGGCGAAGGAGACTATCAGTCATGTGGAATTCTGAAGTGTAACTGGTGCACATGCGGGAGCTTCTTACATACTTGCAGGAGGTGACCGGCGTTGATGACAGTATAGTGTATTGGGCGACTAAGCTGAGAGCAGCAAAACTAACTGTAACTGGAAATTCACAGGTGCTCATATTACATCTACAATGTTCCTTTGACTTTCACACGGGCTGCTCAGTTCGCAGTCTCTCTTTCCTACGCCCCAAAACCGCCCTTGTGTCCGCCCATATTCCCCTCGAAATATCCCGCAAAGCACCTGCACTTTCAACCTGTATTGTCATCTATCAGTCAGCGGATTCTTCTATTCTTCCACGGCATCATTTTTCCGAAGCGTGACCACTTACCACCGGATATATCACACAAATGAGCACACTCGCCCAGACCCAAATAAAGGAGACGACAACCCACCCCGTAAAGAACTCCCTGTTATACACATACCTCGTCCCGAACAAAGTGAAAGGAACAAGTATCACTGCAATCGCAATAAAAATAGCATTCGCTGTCCAAGCAAATCGCTCCGCCTTCTTAACCAGAGCAGGATCCATGGGCTCAATGGTCTCGGTTTCGAGGTACTCAATTATATCGTTCTTCGGCTGCGTTGTGGGGTCAGTCGGGGTTGCCATTGTTGTGAGTATTGCGGTATCATTATCCTTCTTGGCTGATGCCTCTGTTGAGGTCTCCTCTGGTTCAACAGGGACTCCTGTGATACTATTCGTTGCCGACGTGTCGTGTCTGTGCTTTCCTGGAAATATCAAGCTCAAAAGCACAGCGGAAATAGTGCCCACCCCAAACGAGGCCAAGTTTCCAGCTACGGCATTTGTGGCATCGCCCGTCGTCGCAACACTGATGCCGCCCGATCGCTTCCACGAAGTGATGAACCAGACGATGATACCCAAGCCAAATCCAATCCATGGAGCTGCGATAGCCGCAACAGTGGACATGCGGTCCCAGAGCAGAATAAGTCCCACGGGAATTGCTGCTCCGCCGACGATAACTCCCAGCACTGTTAGTAACCAGGTGAGACTGACGCCTGCGGCATTGAGAATACTGCAGAACGCGGCGAGGATGATGGCGTAGATGACAATGCCCCAATGGCTGACGCGCACGAGTGTCGCAGAGTCAGTGTTCGGGCGGATGTAGGTTTTGTACACGTCAAAGGTAAGTAGGGAGGAGACAGCGATGAGTTCAGCGGATGTGGAACTAGTCACTGCCATGAACAGGAGGATGAGCATGAGCACGGCGCCGCCTTTCCCTAGGAGGGTGATTGCGGTTGCTGGGGCGGAAAGTCCGGCGTCGACTTGAGAAGCTGATAATGGGTTGGGGTATGTGGGAAAGGCTGGGTTGTTGGTAAGAGCCGCGCAACCAAGACCCATGGCCGTAGCAAAGCCGAACGGAATGCCTAAGGTTATCAGTATCCAGTAAAAGACATGGAATTCTTGAAGACCCTGATACTCACCATACCATGCAACACCTCCTAGCATGTATGCCTTCACGGAAGATTCAGGTCGCGACGCAATTGCTCGCTGCCAATAGGCTTGATCGAGCCAGACAGTACTGAACCCAGAGACAAATATGTCAACCGCGAAGATCAGACCACCAACGGACCGAAACGCAAGATACGACCCATCAGTATTCCGATCAATCGGCATATTCCGCGGCGCCTCCTGCAGCAAATCGTACAACTTTCCAGGGCTTCCAATGAGGTCACTCGTAGCCGAGACCGAAAACCCAAACACCAATATCGCGATAAACAGAATAACAGTATGAGTATAATCCGCGATGAAAGTCGCGCGCAATCCACCGACGATAACATACGCCGCGACTACGGCAGGAATAAGGAAGTTGGCAGCATACACATTCATCCCCGTGAGTGCCGCCACCACCTGTGCGCCACCTAGCACCAAACACGCACTAACCAGCATATTCGTAGCCAGGCCATTGTACAGGTACGTGAGATGAGCAATCTTGCCGTGTCGAGCGAGGACAATCTCCGGCATGGTGTGTGCGCCCGGTGCATTGGCTTTGATTTTGACCGCAATCAGGGCAAACAGAAGGATCTGCAGGGTGCCGATAGCACCGTACCACATGGGTCCGCAGACACCATAGGAATATGCAAAAGTCGAACTGGTTAGGAGTGTAGCCGACCATGTCCAGGAGGAGACAATGCCAGCGGAGATTAAGCCCGGCTTGACGGATCGTGAGGCGGTGTTGAATTCTTCGGCGCGATGGGTGGAGAACTGAGTATAGCGATTCTGTAGCCAGGAGATACCGAGCATAAAAAGGGCAAAGATGCCACCAATGCCGATGACGATTCCATAGCCCGCACCCGGGGGCAGGACTCGAAGCTCGTGAGACATTGTGGGTTTTGACAGGGTGATGTGGATTGATGTAACCTGTTGCATGCAGCTGTCTGATGCTGAGATATAAACCCCGCTGGAGAACGATAGGCTTATCATAAATTGCCATGATATCTGCCGTCGAGTACGGCCGATGCTGCTCGAGAACGGGATGTGGTTGATAACAAGGGCTTCCCTTGCATGCTCTCGCCAATCAAGTTGGTTATTGCTTCTTATCGCGGATCATCCCAGCAGTTGGAGAACTCGCCGTTGGAGTAACCTGCAAGGGTCTGATCCGGCTGACGATCATTTATCAGCACTTGATAAGGGCGCTTTTTGTCCTATAAGTTTTATTCTAGACTACGCCACTTAGTGGCCCGAGCATGATATTCCAATCAATTGCGCGCCCGTACGTCATTGATGCCCTGACAGGCCTCTGCAAGTCTAAGGTAGGCTTTGGGATTGCTGGCAAGCACTATGCAGGCTACTGTCTTATCAAAAACCAAAGCTATATTGAAAATATGTAGATAGATTTTCCCTCGATTACCCTCGACCTGCACCTAGGATAGACGAAGTGTCTTCACATCCTCGGGCTTGAATGCTTCCCCGTGCATGACGCCATGGATGTAAGCCTCTCCAACTACCTGATAATCTTCTAGCTCATGTCGCAAGCAGAATGGCACTTTCCCACCCGATATTAGAGCAAGGGAGTCCCCTGCCTTCGCGCCCGCAGGAACCAACCCAAGATACCCTCGTGCCGTTTGACACACCACAGCAGACCCAAACCGCTCAGAAAATTGCACAGCAGTCAGACAATACAACCATAGATCCTCCCGCAAAGTATCCACATTGACGAGGACTGGCGACTGCGGAGCTTTTGTTCGGTTCAGAGTCTGGCCGAGCAGTTGGAAGGACCTTTTCAATCCCTGTCGATCACCCCATGGGCCATGCGCTGCGTCGCCAATAGGTATTGTGAATTCCAAATCCTCCATCTCGTCGTCGTTAGGAAAGTCTGATTTCGACGAATCGATGAACTCCAACACTTCAGACATGTATTCCATCGCCTTATCAATCGTGGACGGACGACTGCCGACCTTAACAATCGTGTCAATGATTGACCCAGCGACTTCTAAAACTGCCTGGTTCTCGGGATCGACCCTAATTCTCGCTATACCACCGCCTCCTGCATCAAAGGCTCGATCTGACGGCCATGAACATGTTGTTTTGGGGTACCGGTTAGTGGTCCAATCCGGGATCCACGATGGGAAGCGGCGGGAAGAAGAAACGCCCCGTGCTCGTGAAAGAAGCTCCAGGGCCTTTCCACGGGCAACAAATACAGAGGCGTAGCTACACATAACAATCTCAAGCGGGTTGCGATAGTCTGTTCTAAAACCTTCTGCATCTGCAGCGATGTTGAGTAGCGTAAACAGCTTATCCCGTTTGAGCGTGGACTTCGCATGTTGAAAGAGCTCAAATAGATCCAAGAGCTCGCGCTTCTGATTCTCGTGATATTTCTTTCGCGTCTCGCCTAGGCTGAGGATTGGTTGCAGATTTCGGGTGGCAGGAATCTTGAGGTTCTTCACTGAAGTTTCAGCATATTTTTCGCATGTCTGCACCGCACTGTACAGTTTCTCCCATGGTAGCTTCTCGGAACCACAAACAATGTGGAGATCCCTCGCGAGAATTACCTCCTGAATGATCCATGCTCGTACAAACCACGCTCTTGCGAATAACTCAATTATAGCCGCCCAGGCTCGTTTTCCAAGCCTTGAGACCATGAGTGGTGAGGCGTGGATGTCCTGCAAGGATTTCAGAGCTAGGCTGCTGTCATTGGCGCCGTCGCCAACCCATCCATATACTTGGGTAGCTTGACGATATATTGTCGGTAGCAAACTAATTTGCTGTGACTTTTCAGTTGCATCCGATTGATTGATAGATATGCCGTCGGCCCAAATATTGATCGAGCCATCGGTCTGATGAATCCGGCTCAGTGCGTAGTATAGGGAGGCAGTAAGTGGAATGTCACCTTCTGGGGTCCGCATGGAAAATGGCTTCAAAGCTGATCCCCAGGTGTACGACAGGGCGATGAATGACGGGCTCTCATCCAAAGAGACGTGCAGGATATCTCCTCGGAGTACTAGGTCATTTTCCTGACCGCAAAGTCTCAGCACTCGAATGTGCCTCAGCGACTCCAGTGCATGGAACTTGTAATGGCCAGTGGGTTGAAAACTGCTAAGAGACAGACTGGGGGTATCTGTCTGCGCACCTGTCAATTTAGCCACATAATGATCACCCGTTACCGATACATTGAGGTTTCCAGTAGTATATAGTTTCCAAAGGTTGACGAATATAGCTATCTCTGGTTCGGTATAGATGTTATAGAGTCGCATAAGTGCGTATACCGTATGACATTCAGCCCCCTCCAGAGCAGTTTGCCGAGCCTGTATTGACAGTTTAACAATCTTGCCTTTATAAGAAATAGATTGGGGGGTTGTATACCGTTTCAAAGTTCTTCTGATGTATTCGAAAAGATGTTTGTAAATCTCCCGACGTGACTTGGACGTCTAGATAGTACGTAACTGACTTTCCTTTCCACCATTTGGCCTGGCCACATCCGTGGTTCACGAGGAAATCTGTGAATAAGGAAGAATTAGGGATCGCAAAGGCCGTGTGTGGCACCCTTGAACCTTCTGGTCTCTCGTAGGTGCCATAACCAACTCGCGATCTCCACGAGCTTGTCCAATGCTTGTCGGGTATGTAATCGTTCCCCAGTGCTTCCTGTAGGATGCGCGAAACCTGGGTTCAATATTAATAGGTGCGTAGCTTTTTTGGGGGAGAATATATGAACTCACCACAAGTTCACCTGAAAACATTTCTTCTTGGCGAATTGGATCAGGTACAGCCATGAAGACAGTCTTGACTCCCGTTCCCTCATCTATGTGCACTCTACCGGGATGTGTTTTGATTCGATGGCCAATGCAGAGGCCATCATGACTGTCAAGCCTGTCTTCATCACCAGTTAGAAATACAATCCGGGCAGGTGCTACTGGGTCTTTCCGTCTAACGCGGTTATGCAAGAAATCACGAAGCAAGTGTTGTGGAAAGCCAGGTATCTGTATAACCGTTGCGCCCTTACGATCTCGAGACACAGCGGGAGAAGACATCTGACCATTAGCCCGAGGCTTCAGGAGCTGGGGCGTCTGATTGCCTTGCTTCTGCTCAGCATGGAACAATACTTCATTTCTTCTGCGTTGCTTCAAAATTGCCTGCGATGGCACGTTTTTATCAGCATGCGGCAAGCTGAGTTGCACGCCTTCCCTAGGAGGTGAATAGTCTGTCTGGCGTATTGGAATAGACAGCTCTTCCACCAGCGGTGGTCTTTTCGATACACCGTAACTTTCCTTTCTCTCAGGCTTCGGTATATTTAGATCGTATATTTCCTGTGCCACATAAATGACTTGCCGGTACACGGAGGCAATATCATCTGTGCTGATTCCCCCTTCTATAGTTATTGTTTCTACTTCTGGGGGCAGTTCCTGTTTCAGATAGACGAGCCAGGTTCGATCAGCAACAGACTTGGAAGTCTGTTTCTGATCACTTTGCAATATCTTCATCCGCTGGATTAGGGCCAGACTGAATGGATCTGTATCTTTCAGGAGAACGTTTGCATCTTGTAGGACCTCCAAGATATGAGTAGGGTTTTCTGGCTTGAACTCTTCAATCTCTTTCAGCAGTAACTCGGCACCGGCATTGCGAAGCTTAAGAATCTTCTTAAAGAGAACTTCGTTATCTGGGTAAAGCTCCTGAAGCTTGGGTGTATGTTTCAAACTTTTTGGGCCCTTCCAGATGCAGTCATTAGGCTGAAGCCAGCTGAATCCATTTTTGGATCTTGGGTTCGGCACACATATGAGAGCGTCATTGGTGAACGTCGACCTGGGGTATTTGTCAGATATGAATCGCCACCTACAAGTGGACTGGACCAACCTAATAAGCCCGCTGCTGTCCTGACTTTTGGCTTCAATATCGGTATAAATCTGACTGATCTGTTCTAACGAGGCTTCAGTCTCTTTTAACTCGGCCAGTCGCGAGAAATAAAACTTAAGATCCATTCCCACCATCACTCCTAGATGACTCAATAACTTCCAGTTATCAAATTCTGGGTCTAACAGCAGGGCTTTGCGCGGAAGAAGCTTTTCCAGGCCGGGACGGCAGGTCTCTTCGAGCAAATACCGTTCCCCATGAAGACAATCGACCATCGTTGTCCGGAGGCTGCTAGAAACCTTTGCTGACTTCCATCCCCCGGGAACAAGCCAATCAGAGTACTGGTCAAAATGTTTATTCAGTAAGAGAAGCCATGATGTGGATGAGGTACTGTTGTCAATTAGATGCTGAAAATCTGGAGACAGAGCATTCCCTGGAGTGGCTAGTCGTGGAATTCGCCAAATACCAAAAGTCGAGCGAAGCCACTCCATAAAGTCAAACCTGTCTCCGCCGCCTACACCGAGATAGTCTTTGTGTAAAAGCTCAATCTTGGGGGATTTTCCGTGCAGTAGGGCTGCAGCTGAATCAGGCTCTTTGGAAGGAATGTAAACAATGGACGCAGGGCAAGGCTCGCTTCGCTCATTCAACACCCAGAGAGATCGCTCGCCATCCCCCGTCCATTTGTTTTTGAAAAGAAAGTATAGCTGGTTAGCCAGCTCAGGGACTCGACTGGCTGCTAGTCGCCTTTGGTAGACTTGGCTATTCTGCCAGCCTCGACTCCGAGCGGTTTGTCGCTCCACAATCAGGTCGCACACAATGGCCGGGTTATATCCCTGTGCCCCGGCATGTTCAAAAAATCTCGCTCGTTCTGACTTCATCCCACCATTGACAGCAGCTGGATCGATCTCACAGATTTTAAGGCCGCTTGGTACGCTGGCCGGTACTAGAGGGAGGAAGACGACTCTGTCAGCGCTCGAGACCCATTTATTGTCTCGAAGAGGAAGAACCGCAAGTTTTCGAAGGACTTCAAGAAACCTCCTATTCTCAGAGTTTCCAAGAAGTTGATTTACTGTCTTTGCCAGGCTTTCATGCCACTGGTCTGGCCTGTCTTGCACGCCATGGTTATTCACCAGATGACCAAGGTCATCCATGAATTCATTGACAGTCATTTGCTTTACTCCGAGCCGCTGAATATAAGACCAGTCCTCATGCAAATACCGGACAGAAAGGTATCTATCTCTCGTAGTTGGACAGAGAGTAAGAGGATACCCGTTAGAGTCTCGAAATTCGCGAGGTATGTATCGAAGTGAGCCTGGTAGTGCAAGTAGGTCCTGGCCATTCTCACCGATACCTTCACAAAGCAAGACTCTCTCCTTGGCTAACTGCGATGGGATGCAATGTTTGACCTGTTCAAAAAAGCTTTTCTCGGGACGTATGTCTGGGAGAAACCTAAACCAAGGGAAATCACTTCTGTGTGCCACGATCTCTTTGACAGCTGCGGTAAACGCATTAGGAAGCGATTCGCACAACATACGATTCCATTCTCTTGATGATGAAATCTCCTCCCGGCTTGTAGATAGTAAGAAGTCACCTTGAAGAAGGAACTAGTCCATGTTAACATGTAATCGATATAGGAGGAAATAAGTGAGCCCACCGTGAAGCCGTAACTTCGCACAGGTAAGACCGCATATACATCCTGACTTTCCAGTACTGGCTGGCCAAAATCGTCGACTGGGAATGCTATCCTCAATTCGGTGGTCTGTCTTCCTGGTCGCTTCCTCTCCTGGGGCATTTCTTTCACCTCATATCGACAGACGACATAAGTCTTTCTTTGAGCGACGGGGAACATCTCACCGGTAAAGGTCAACTGTGTCATGCATAGTCCATCTGGGGATGTTGTATCCTGCCTTGCAACATTGTAGCATATTCTGTCCCCAGATTGGAGCTCGATATGCAAGTTTAATTCACGCAGTTTACGGAGGAAAGTCAATATTTTGGCTCCAACAACGTCCAAGTCGTGAAAGACAATTCTCTCATCAGCCCGGGGCGCAAAGCGAGCATACATTGAAGTATTTGCGTATCGTGTTGCATCCGGTGGGCTTTCCCAGATTGGGATCAGCATACCCATCTGGTTTGATGCGTCGAACTTGAACGTGTAGGGTCCGGACGCTATCCAAACCGAGGCCGCAACACTGAAAACTGACTTGAATCCAACGCCCTTCTCACCCGTCGCTTCCACCTTGTCCTTCTTCGTGCTGTATCCAAGATTACAGATAGCCTCAACTTGTCCAGGTGTGAATCCCAACTCATTACAGTCGGTACGAAGCACACGATTGCGGTAGGTCAAGACCAACGCTGGTGTGATGTTTGCGGCGTATTCATTATCATCGGCATTTTGGATCAACTCAAGAAGGAAGTGCGCCGCGGTCGAATAGATATCCTCACCGAAGCTATGACTACTGTCAGGCTCCTATGTTAAGAGTTTTTTTGGGAAAACATGGGATACCTACAACTGCAATGCGCTATCAATGATACTTTGAGCAGTTGAGTTTTCTAAGATACCTCTATATTGCGCGCTAATGCTGTCAATGTGCTGTTTCGCAATAACTGTTGCGTTCGAGGTTTGGTCATCCATCCTGATCTTCTTTCTTGAGGTTCCGGTTTTTCGTCGCAACTGAAGTCTTGTGTCTCTCGAAAGAGAACATGTCTGCCTAGTGGATTTGTGGGGAGCATATACCTCCTCACGCCAAAGGCTTGATTGACTGCATGCGCAATATCCGCGAAGGTCCGGCGCGGGGTGAAAAGAACGGCCTATCCAGACGCTGACACGTTGCCCACAGACCTACGCGGGTTCCGATAGCTGCTTCCTAGTCTCTTTCCCGCCAATCGCCAAGTATTTCCATGTTTGCGGCCAGGCCTACGTGCAGATGTGTAGGATTGCCAAGCACATTATTGAGTCCAGACGCTCCTACAGAACTGCTCACCCATGTTAAAAGTGGATGTTTGCCTTGGGACGAGCAGAGAAATTGCAGAAGCCGCGGTACGGCACGGCCTGTTCAACTGCTAGTAGGAGGGGATCTTGTCAGCTAGCCATATGCTGTTGGGCTCTCATTTTCCCTCTCGGCCCGTCAGTCTTCGGGTGTGTCATGCTTTGTTTGCTGTCGATGATGTAGTAAGCTTCTAGGCAGTCGCATACACTAATCATCCTGGTGAGCTGTCGAGTGGGGATGCAAATAACTGAGCGAAGATAGAGGAATGCCCTTCAGTCATGAGTTATGTGGGTGGAGAAATCTCCAGGGAAAGGAAGGAACGAATGAAGCATCTACACCATATCAGATTCATGGAAATAATCGTTAGTAGGTACTCCATGTAGCATCCCTGACAGCCACTACACCTGTTCTGCCAAACTTCTAGCCGCTTCCACCGACCCATTAGCAATGGGAACAAACCCCTTATTCACCTTGGCCTGATCTCCTTCGACCTTGCTATCACCATCGCGATCATCCTTTCTTCCATACCCACCACCCCCAGGCGTCTCAATAACCAATCGATCTCCCGCCCCCATCTCAACCGAATTCTTTCCCCCAATAGACATAATCTCTCCATCTTCTCCTTTAATCCACAAGTTCCTGCCACAGCACCCATTTCCTCCCCCGTCCATCCCAAATGGCTTCACCACCCGCCTCTCAGACAAGATAGATGCCGTCATCGGAATCCGGAACTCGACATCCCTCACCACCCCATCACCCCCTCTATACTTGCCATCTCCACCACTTCCACCCCTGAAGCAAAACCTCCTCAAAAGCACTGGATACCGTCTTTCCAACGACTCCGGATCGGTAATTCTCGTGTTCGTCATGTTTGTATGTACACCGTTTGTTCCAGACCAGCTCGGGCCTGCGCCACTACCTCCTGCGATCGTCTCATAGTATCCGAAGTCGTCCGTACCGAAGGAGAAATTGTTCATGCAGCCTTGACTGGCGGCACAGACTCGGAGAGTCTTGAATATAACGTCGACGATGCGTTGCGAGGTGAGGACATTGCCGGCGCAGACGGCGGCAGTCGGGGCCGGATTGAGAAGACTAGGTTTAGGGACGTGAACGGTCACGGGGGCAAGGCAGCCGTGGTTCAGTGGGATATCGGAGTCGACGATGCACCGAAGAGCGAAGATTATGGATGAGTGTGTTATGGCTATGGGGGCGTTCCAGTTGCCTAACAACCTCGGGTGATTAATAGGGTTTAATCTCATGTGGGCTGTGATGAAAGCTCGGCTTACCATAGACTTGGGGTCCAGTGCCTGTGAAGTCGAATACCGCAGAGCCTTCAGCCTCGTCGAGTGTGATTTTGAGGCAGATCGGCGTTCCATCGTCCATGTAGTCAACCTCTTTTAGCTCTGTCTGGTGGAACTGGCGCGCGAGACGCTTGAAGAGATTGCGGATGGCGAGCTCGGCGGAGGATTGGATCGCTTTCATGTATACCTAGCAAAGATGCTTGTGAATCGTCTGTTCTGGCGGGTGAGATTGCAGCTTGGCATGATTTACACACCTGAACAACTTTCATGGAGTATTCCTCGATAAGCTGGTGGATCAGCCGGATGCCACAGTGGTTGGCGGCCACTTGGGCTTTCAGGTCTGTAACGTTATCTTGATACCGTCGGGTGCCACTGGAGCCAGGATATCGTGCTGGCTCATCGCAGAGCATCCGGGAGAGTCCAACTTCATCCAGAGTTCCATCTCGGATCAATAGGAAAGATTTGAACAAAGCTCCTTCTTGGCCAAGTTCCTTTGAGGATGGGGGCATTGAGCCGGGCAGGATACCGCCAATCTGGGAGTGTTAGCCGGAAAGGTTACTCGGATTAGAGGGAAGGGGTATATACATCAGCATGATGGCCCCGGGATGCTGTCCAAAAGATGATATCTCTCCCCTGCGCATCGAATACGGGGGTAATTACAGTAAGGTCCGGAAGGTGGGTACCTCCATATTCTGCACAGGCTGATTAACACGGTGAATGAATGGATAAACTTTCCCTTGTACGAACCAGGTGCATTAGAGAGCAAAACATCTCCCGGCTTCAACCTCCCCTTCCATTCCTCAATCTGCCCCTTTACTGCAAAAGCCATGCTACCAATCATTGCAGGCACATGGGGAGCATTTGCGACCAGAGATCCATCCGGACTAAACACAGCGCAACTGAAGTCCAGCCGCTCCTTGATATTCGCACTCACACTCACCTGTTGCAGTACGCGACCCATCTGCTCTGCGACGCTCATGAAACGGTGGCGGAATACAGAGAGCTGGACAGGATCGATAGTATCAGTGGCAACGCTAAGACCCTTGCCAGAGACGTTGATGTCGAGGATTAGCTTATCCTGCTCGGATGTTGCTGAAGAACCAGGACCCACGAGTATAGTCTGCGTTTCGTCGACTACAAGCGCCGGACCGCTGACCTTCTGTCCGAGAGGGATGGATTTGAGGATGTATACAGGTGTATCCGTCCATCCAAGCTCATTGAAGTAAACTCTGTTGGTAGCCTCAGCAGTCGGGGACTTATGTGAGGGTATGGAGAGTTTTTCTGGGACCGAAGCCGGAACATCAGGCGAAGGAGCAGCAAAAGAGCCTCGGCCTATGGCCCGAACTCGAATGCTATCAACAAACACCTTCCGATCCGTAGGGGTAAAGCCGAATTGCTGATGATGAGCATTGACAAAGGTCGGTAACATATTGTGATTCTGGTCCACTGCAATCATAATGGTCGTTTCGCTTCCGTCATACCGCATGTTAAGGAACCGGTCCACGTCCACATTCAGTATCCCGTCATTGCCTAAGAGATCCTTGGTGGCTTGAGCAAGGTCTTCCAAGTCCGATAGAATTGTCGGGAGATTATATGGCTCGTAGGCTTTTGCACAAGGCCTCTGACCTTCCTGCACGACATCGGCCAGGCCAATACCATAAGCAGAGAGGATCGAGGAGTGCTTGTGAATCAAGACCTTCTGAATACCAAGAAGCTCAGCAATGGCACAGGCGTGCTGGCCACCCGCTCCACCGAAGGATGCTAATTGATGCTTCGTTGTGTCGTATCCGCGAGCCTCCGTCAGGCTTCGAATGGGGCCACACATGGCGGAATTCGCAACGTCGAGGAATCTGCACGCATGTTAACCTCGCCTCTATCCCACAATACAATGAATATGCTTACCCCTGCGCCACCTCCTCCCAGCTCAATGACTTCCCCGTATCTAGGTTAATCGCTGCGGTCATATCTTCGAATTTGGAAATAACAACATCGCGATCCAGAGGCTCATTCTCATTTGGTCCAAACACAGAGGGGAAATAATCCGGAATCAGCCTACCTAAGGCCAGATTGGCGTCTGTAATGGTCAATGGGCCCCCTTTGCGATAGCACGCAGGACCTGGATCCGAAGACGCGCTTTCCGGTCCAACAGACATCAAGCCGTCGCGCCAGAACAGGATGCTCCCTCCACCAGCAGCGATCGTGTTTATATTGAGCTGTGGGGTCTGCATCGAGATCCCCGCCGTGGTGGTCTCAAAAATATGATCCAACGTCCCGTCATAGCGACTAACATCTGTGCTTGTTCCTCCCATATCAAATCCAATCAACGGGGCTTTGCTGACTTCGTCGTAGCAGGTACGAGCATACCCTACTACTCCACCAGCGGGGCCAGACAGTATTGAATGCAGTCCTGAAAGTCTGTGTGCAGGAACCAGTCCACCATCAGATTGCATGAATTCCAGCTTAGTATCCGACTTGGAAATATTTGGGAAACTGGTCAAAAACTGCTTCAGATATCGTTCGATTGTAGGTGTAAGATATCCATCGATAACGGCCGAGTTCCCTCGAGGAACAATCTTAGTGCGTTGGGATACAGCATGCGAAAGTGAGACGTTCTCGAACCCGATCTGTTGTGCCAGCTCTCGGATCTGCAGCTCGTGATCGGGAAATGTGTAGGCGTGCATCAGACATACGGCGATGGATCGGTATCCGTCTGTGTATATTTTTCTCAGGTATACCTCCACAGGTTCAAGGTCCAAGGTCTTGATAATCTGAACAGTTTCTCCGGATGTACCCGTCAATTCTCGTAGTACAGGAGGCGACGAGAGATCCATGCTTCGCAGATCGGTGTCGGTGCAGTTACGCAGGGTCACGCGCTCGTCCACCTCGAAAACATCGGAATACAGTGTCTCGGGTCTTCGAATTGAGAGATCAAACATGAAAGGTCGCGATTGATTGCCGATTTCCAGCAGATCTTTGAAACCTTCTGTGATGAGAAGGGCAGTGCGCTCGCCCTTTCTCTCTAGCAGTGCATTTGTCGCAACAGTTGTTCCCATACGTATTGACTCTAAGCATAAGGTTAGCGTACAGAGAGGCTCGTGATTCAGGATGTCACCCACCGATATCCTTTGTATCCAACCCTGTTCCCCGCGGAATGCTCCTTCCATAGTATATCTCCAACACGCGACGGATGGCTTCCGTAGGGGCATCGTCGTAGTTCTTGGGATCAACGGATAGGATCTTCACCACAATGTCTTCTTGACCGAGGACTTTGCAAATGCAGTCGGTGAACGTACCTCCGCGATCTGTATGGTCAGTCAGTGGCTTCAGTCACAACTATCAGTGTGAGGGTGGTCGCGACAGACCTATAGAGATCCGCAGCTTCTGTCGAGGTTCTAAGCTTGGCATTATGAGTAGTGAATGTAATTATTGGGACTACAGTTGTGGCGGTATCCAGCTCATATGGCAAGGCTACAGATCGTGAGACAGCGTCATCGGCCGAGAGTGGAGGTGAAGGTGGAGAAAGTCACCGGCCCGTTATCTCCAACATTTCCCCTCCCACCCCTCATTTTCGGCAGGCCAGTTGCAAATCCTGCAACTTATCAGGAAAGTCAGCGGGGAGAGCTCCCTTGTCTGTAGGTAGGGCTCTCTGTCAGTATCGCGTACCCCGCGTCTTATCGCAGGTTATCGGATGCTCGTTCCGATGATACCTGATAAGGCTCTAGAGCATGTACCATCCTTGAGCGCAGAGTACATTGGAATGCGATAAGGTCAAAGCACTTTTCCCACCCATGTCACCCAGGGTCTGGACAAATAATACATGAAGGAAACCATCATGATGCCAAATCCAGATATGACCCTGAACAGGACGTCTTGTAACATCGATTGCGAATGACGCAGTCCAGATACAAGTCACTTGGAGATGAAAGCGACCCATAACCCAGTGGTAGAACATTGGAAACTGATCGTTTCGCAGGTGCATCTGGCCTGAAGCTACTGGGTACGTATATAGTTCCAGCCATGATGCGGCGGGCGGTTCGAACAAACGAGAAGTCTCGAATACTGGCTCGTCTTTCATCGGCATCTCAGTCTGCACAAACACCGCCATTGTGCCGACAGGATGGCTGATTTCCAATGTGTCAAGCTCCACCGCATCCCCAATGACCCTATTCACTACACTGTCCGGAATACGACTGCACGCGGTCGTACAGATAGCCCCTGTCCCCGCCATGCTCTCATGACACATTTTGTCGAGGAAAAGCCGCGCAGCGAGATGTGCTTTGCTAGGACCCGGGTCTGGCGCAACAAAAATGGGCAACGGCACGGCCTGCGACTTCTCGATTCAAGCTTTCCAGTTCTCTGACATTCCAGCAAGCACGGCTGCCTTTCCCAACAGCTCTTGCGTCTTGGCCAGCCAGTCTAAGTTGGCGGTCAGGTCAGCGGCCGTCTCGTGTCCAGTGATGTTGAAGTCGCGAGCATTGGCGAATACACACAGATTGGCAATGTCGCAGATGGTGATTTCAAACTCTTTTCCAGCCACAGTGATCATGTCGGATGCGTTGCCGGTAGGGAGTAATCCCCTTGATAGCTCTGCCCCGATTGTCTGGATTGCATCAGCTATCTTCTTCACCTAAGCTTATCCCATAACCTACAAATCTATAATCCAGCAATACCGGGCTTCCCTTCCCCGGATCACCCGCAATTTCATGTGTCCCCTCCGGCTCAAAAGCGCCACTTCCGCTAACAGGAAAATGCGCGCTCAACAACTTCCCCGTCCCAGTATTATATATCCGAACCTCCTGAGTCTTCACCGTCGTGTCAACCGAGCGCCCGGGTCGGAACTGGACCAACCCTTCTTCGATCGCGAACGGTCCCACCGCCGCAGAAATATTGCCGCAGTTGGCACCGTAGTGGATAAAATCCCGCGCTACGCCTACCTGTGCGAAGGTAAAATCGATATCAGCATCAGATCGTGTTGAAGGACGAACGATGGCAATCTTCGATGTCACTGCTTTGGATCCACCCATACCGTCGAGCTGCAAGGGTTCCGGAGAGCCCATGGCTCGCTTGAGGAGGCGGTCTCGCTGGGGTCCGGGATCTGGGAGGACATCCTCGCGGAAGAAAAGGGCTTTGCTGGTGCCACCGCGATAGTAGGTCGCTGGCAGGGAGTACTGTGATGATTTTGGCATGATGGAACGTAATCTGAGTGTTCAGACACTGCGGATTGTAAAGATTCCTGCGACACACAACCCCATATACTGAGACCTGTGTAGATAATCTACCCCTTTCGTATGAAAGCTATCCTCGGCTATGCATACTCTCCTCTCTTTTTCAGCCCTCGTCAGGTGCGGATATACCGAAGATCCTTCTTTCTCTTCATTCCTCATTTAATTCGGCCCACTGCCCGTTCAACCAGCCAACTGTCGGCCCGATACAGGGTCCACCCGGGTGGACCAAAGCTCAACTGCTTGGGATTTGGATTGGATTTGATATTTAAGGTGCTTTAAGTGAGCGGACGGGCCGCTTCCGCGCCGCTTTTGTGACACTCGTTACACTCCGCATCTTTCCATGGATTGCCCATCAACTGTTTGGCTCTTAGGCACCCTTGCATCACGATCCTCTACATCCTCACGATTTTAAAATCACCTCCTCTTCTGTCGGAAAAGTATCCGTCAATAAAATCATACCTATCAAGGCGCACAAGTATTCCTCTTTGTCCAGAGAAGCTATCTAACGTGGAACGAAAGTGCAAGCTTAGTCGATCATTCAGTGGAGTTGAGGGTACAGGTTGCGAGGCATCAACGGGCTCAACTCTTGGAGTATGATCAGATTAAACGACTGTTTTGATGGCAGTCACAGTCAGGCACATAGGTTGCTAGTTGCTACACTGTGGCCAGGAAATCACCCTGAATGCCGGCGCTGACTGCGAATCTCCCGCAAAAACATCCGACAATTCTTCCATCAAACTGAAGAGCGATAGTCAGATGGAGCAAGCAACAAGAGATCGATTCAGCTGAATATTAATAAAGATTGAAAAAGAAAAACATACAACAGAAGGGATTCGCTGGTGGTCACCCACCCAACTACTAACCTCCCGGCGTGTGGCTTAAGTACGGCTGAGCGGACGGGAAGCCCTGTTTTCCACACCCTGTGGTCGTATGTGCTTGACTTTTCTCTGAAACAGTCCATATCGATAGAATAAGAAGTTTAGCAGGATAATACAAAGCTCTATAGTCATTGATCGTTGGTGCCAGACGTGCACTTGGCCGATCTGGAATGCGCATCCGCTATTGTGACAAGCCGCTGTTGTGAAGAGCCTAATCTGCTCCTCAGCAAGCGGAGATTTACATGGAACCCATTGGATACGAGGCTAAAAACGCCAAACTACTAGACACTGACTCGGAGCACGTCCGGGGGACCGTGCGCCACCACGCTTACCAGTAAAGTCCATAAGGCTGGATAGCGTGGCAGCGAGGCATTCCAGTCATATCTCCAAATATCCCATCAACCAATCGGTGATATAGAAAACAGCGATCTAACCACTTGCACAGTATTAAACTAGGCGGTCTACGCCAATGATGTATGCCTGTGACATGTCGCATGGGTTGAGGCTGAAGGCAGCACGTGAAACGTAACCAGCCAATGAACAACCTAAGGATCGGAAATCCCAATCGTTCTTCAACTCCTTGCATCGACCCAGCTTCTTGTCCTTCCTAGCCGTAGGTACACCAGACATTCTATCCCAAACATGGGCGGCATCCCCTTCACATCGCGCGCCTGTGCAGCCTGTAAGAAGCGCAAGATCAAGGTCAGTCCAGAAGTTTTCCCATCGTACCATTAATCGGTGACTAAACCCGGCAGTGTGACCTAGAAAAGCCCGAATGCTCTAGTTGCGTCAAAAGAGGGGGGACGCCTTGCCCCGGTTATCACGATCGGGACTTCATCCACCACAAGTTTGAGCCCCGGCGTGTGCGCAATGCAGAGACCAAGCGACCTGGACCCCAGCGGGTCAGACAGCTCGAGTCCCTGGCTTTGCCTGCTTGCTTCAATATGAGTGCCGAGGCTCGCACCCAGTTGTTTGCGACCTACATGCACACGTTCTTCGCCTCCAATCCTTCCCTCAATGGCAGGGTCGATAGCTGGTATCTGTTGATGGCGCGCTTTCCAACCTTGACCGGCAAATCAGACCTGCTGGATCGATCGGTCATCGGCTTGGTCTCCGTGTATCTGGGGAAGAAAACCAGGGATGGTCGATTGGCACATCATGGATTTGAGATCTACAATAGTGCTCTCCATGCGATGCTACAGATCTTGCAAGGCAACCGCCCACCAACAGCTACCACTCTCTACTCGGCCATTGTCTTCCAGACGTACGAGGTGAGTACGATGCAGTCCAAGAGATGCATTTATTCTGACAGGCCGCAGACTATGGGACTTAGTGAGACGCTATGGCGTAACTGTCTTACCCACATACAGGGAGCCACGGCAATGTTGAAACAACACGACTATACCCGAGGTGATCAAGCCCTCATCGACGCGATCCTCCGGAGGCACAAGTGGGCGACGGTCAGTCTAGGTCGAATTTGATGAAAAGCTTACTGACACTTATCTAGGCAATGTTCACCCTCAACACTCCTTACAGCATGCAAGTGGACGAGGAATGCCTCAATCTCGGACGCAAAGAGAGCCCCGTCGACGAGTTATTCGGCATAATCGCCGAAGCCATAGCTCTACGCAGAGATCTATGTAAACTCATATGAAAGCCGCATGACGATCGGGAACACGCATGCCACGCACTATTGCAGCGCTGTTTTAACCTTGAGGCACGTGTGCACGTAGACTGGCTGCACATGTCCGCTCACAGGCTGGACGGTATACCTACTCCCTGTAGCAGGCGGAACCTGGGCCAGGAGCCCAGCATGCTCCCCCTGGACCCAGATCTCGCACCGTACAATATCGAAAGCCTCGAAGCAGCCAAGATCTACCTCCTATTTTGGGTGGCCTCCCTGGTCATCCGTCGCGTGATCTATCAAACCGAGACGCACCTGATGCGAGGCCCTGACCCGAGCCGCATGGTGTTCTATGCCAGGGAGATTTGCCGCTCTGTAGCATATCTCATGCAGCCCGAGAATCGGATGTCGTCCGGGCAAATCCTCATCCTGGGGCTATCCCAGGCGTCCAAATGTTATATCGACTGCGGGGACAAGGCTGAGTTCGAGTGGTGCCAGGCAATCTACCCGTTCATTGCTGCGAGCGGCTTTGGTATCGCCAGTCTTATGGGCCAGATGGAGTGGAAGTTCTGGAATGCGGCTCAGAGCCAGCCAAGAGGATCTCTCTTGTTATTACCTGAGGCGGTACATGTTAGTTCGATATAAGCGCACACAGGCGATAGTAACCCGACATGACTCCCATGCACCGCTGCAGACATGAGAAAACATATACTAATATACTTATACTAATTGAACCGGTGCACTCCGATTATACTAGACAGGACAGGCCATGAAAGTGTCTCGCACAGTTCGTTACAGGCTAGCATTTTTATCGTAGAATTTACGCCTGATACAACTACACAAGGCTGTAGCACTCGGAAAAGAAAAAGGAAAAGGAAAAAACATTAGGGTAAAAAAAAAACTGTGATATTGCCTTCTCATTTCTGAATATACAGAGCTAATCCATAGTTAGGAACTTTGTAAGGCTCTTTTGACTATAACATGATACACAGGATTCTCAACAAAAACCGCCATCACAATTAAAATGAGTCGACAGGAAAGCACGAGGAACAAGTATGCCCCTGAATCCCACATGCTGAATTCCAACTTCCCAGTCTATGGCACCGCCACAGTAAATGCATGGTCTAGTAAAGCCTTCGTGGACGGCCTTTCCCCAGGAGAAACCCGCAGCATCAGCAAAAGGAACTTAGCTAGACCCTGTACATCCTCAGCCCCAAAGTCATCCGGCAGTCGCTCGGCAAGATATGCAACGAATCCACCCTGTCCGGCAGGATCACTCAGTTGCTCGTCAATAAGTTCCAGATGCTCTTTATTGACTTCCTCTCTTGGAATACCGAAGGTACCAAGTGGAAAGAGTGGCTCGTTCGTTGCTAGTTCGAATATCTGCCCAGGATTAGCAAACGCATCTTACGCTAGAATGGTGGAAAAGGTCAATGTAACGGAGACTTACCAAGCACCCTAATGCCCAGATATCGATGGTCCAATCCCAAGGACACCCATGTATGATCTCAGGCGCGCGTAGTGACAGTGGGGTTACAGGCCGCTCGTCGCACCGTCTCCGAAATTGAGCTATAAAGTACAAGATCAGCAGCTAGCCTCAATAACATGCGTGGGAATGTATTTGTCTCTTACCGCCACCTAAATCCCCGATTTTGACCACAAGCCTGGAGTGGTGGACATTCTTCAGTTGGTTGTAACGTCTCTGTGAAGGCATCAAGTATTCCGGGACACTGTCATCCTTTGTCACCCCCTCTAGCCATCGGACTGGGCTAAACTGTGGTGGCTCTAGGAGGTCCTCAGAATTTTCTATCGCGTCTGTAACCGATACCATGATGTTTCCTGGCTGTAGGTCTATTCAGTCAGACAGCACGCGGCGATTAGTAAAGTTCCATTTTTTTTTTTATCCTCATTTCCCATTGACTTACCACAGTGGACAATATCAGATCTGTGAAGAAAGTCAAGCCCCAGGAGGATCTGGCGCGACATGCTTCGTACATATCCCGCCTGTCGTGGTGTCCATGTGACTATCATTTCCTGCACGTCCGAGATCATCACCGTAAAAACCAGACATAAGTGAGTGCCATTTGGACCTGCATGATAGAAATGATCGAGTAGTTCAATGACATGTTCTTTTCCGGGGTGATCAAGGTCTGAGTCCGCCATATGACGGAGTATCGAAAGCTCCTTCCAATCTGCAGAAGCATTTGCTTTCAGGATCTTCATAGCGACGTTCCGGTGGGTCCTAGTCTTATCCTTTGCCAGCCAGACTGTCGAGAACTGACCGTAGGCTAGCTTTCCGACGACTTCATATTTCTGGTCAAAGATGTCATGCAGGTGGACGGGGTGGTAGCCTCCATGGCGAGGCTTGTAGCGCTCGATCTCGTCGCGGAGGAATGCCTGCGCGCGGAAGACGAGGCGGGTTTGGACGTCTTCGAGCGCGGGTTACTCTTCGACAGGTTCAACCACCTGAGTAATTCGCTCGAAACGGCGCATGTCTGGTCGGATGAATAAGTAGGATTAACCCTGCTTTCTGATAGAGGTTGAAGTTCCATCAGATTGATGATAGAAATGGAATAAGATGTGAGGCTGATGAATGCTCTGAAGCGAGGGGTGGTGGGGTTAAGAATGAGAGAGATGAAAATATTCTGTTTGTGTTGCAATGACACTGGGATTCCCCTAGAGCTGTCGCATTAGATATGGTGTAACCTTCACACGGATGTTGCAGCTCAGCAATGGGTGTCTAGCCCGGCCAATGGTGCTACCTTCTTACCTCTTGAGTATCTTATGGGAGATTCCGGTATCTCAAGGGAGCTCTTCTTATCGAGGCTTGCGCCTTCACATCAAGGATCATCTCCACATCCATGACCAGTCACACCCCAGTTGAAGCTGCCATCCGAATTATTCATCTACCTAACAATTAAAAATTACTCTATACATATCACCCCATCACCCGCCTCTAGATCATTGTCCCCTTATTCTGCTTCTTGTCCACATTATAATGCTTCCACATCCCCACCGCCGGGAACATCAAAACCAACACACAAGTCGCCGCAATGGCCTCATACTTCTCCATATAACCCCACGCGTAATTGACCGCATCCCTAACCGCTGACCCAGGCTCATACTTCATCTGCGACAAATAACCCCCAGAGTACAAGGTTTCGAACAGGTCCTGATCCTCCGCGGGCAATGCCCTCCTCAACCCATCCGTAAACGTGTTCGTATAAATCGCCGCCGAAACCGCATACCCAATAGCGCCCCCAATACTATTGAACAGACCCAACATCGACAACAAAATCGGAATCCCATCCCTAGTAGACGCACACATGACCGCCATCTGCTGACCGATAACCAACATACCGCCCGAAAATGCAATAAAGATCTGACACATAATCACGTATCCGATATCTGCATCCTGACCACGGAAATGGATCATCAAGCCGGCACCCAGGAACATCAGCGGCACCGCGAAGCACAGACATGAGTACTTGAATTCCTTGACCATGCGGATCCAGAAACCGAAGACGGGGGACCAGACGCAGGATCCGACGGTGTAGATGGAGGTCATGTAGCCGGTTTTGGTCACGTCCAGGTTATAGACGACCATGACAAAGTAGTAGAAGTAGCTGTCCCAGCAGTAGAAGCTGAAGTAGACGACTGCGGCAAGAAGACAGGCGCCGAGGACAGTACGGTCGCGGAGAAGGTCGTAGGGGATGAAGTGGACGCGGGCGCACCATCTCTCCCAAGCTGCGAAAGCGAAGAAGAGAACGAAGCCGATAACTACTTCGGCGATAAAGGCGGCGTTGTGGTATTCTGTTCGTCCGTAGCTGGCTAGACTGAAGGGGAGGAGGAAGAGCACGAAGGCGGCCATGAGAATGAGGGCTCCAATTACTGGTGCAAGTTAGTCAGATTTGGGGTCATTTGTGGTCTTGGTAAGGGAAGTAAAAATTACCATCAAATTCGTGAATGTAGTGGATCAGCGACTGAAACCATGTGCGGCCATTGTCTTGGCGAACTAGAACGCCGGTCTTGTAGGCTTTCCGCTCATAGTATTTGAAGACGAAGATGAGAGGCGCAAATACAAATGGCTGGATGATGGCGAAGGCGCCATAGGCCCAGCGCCAGCCCGATGTCTTAATAAAGGAGTTGGCAGCAAGGGAGCCGGTAAAGGCACAGCAGATGAAAGGTGTAGTGGAGAAGCCAAAAGCAAAGGCTCGGTTGCGCAAACCGGATGTATCCGCGATGAAAATCTCGAGGATGAGGTATATAGCATCGTAGCCGATCCAGTAGAAGACATAGCCTGCAGCGAAAGCGTTTGGTCCATTGCATGCCGCAAGGATAATCAGCCCAAGGACATAGACGAAGACGAAGACGATCAGGCCTTCAGCACGTCCCCAGATTCCAAGAAGCTTTCCGATGGGCAGCTTCAGCACCCCACCAATGATGGTTGCCAATATATAGGCCGTCGTGACTTGCGATGCGGTGGAGAAGTTCGAGTAAGCATAGTAGAGGACGTTGGTGTTGATGTATTCGTGAAGTGCAAGCATGAAATAGCAGACCCAGATCCTGAGTAAATTATCAGTACAAGTAATGTAAGCGCTTCCCTGCAATGCTCATACCAGGCGTAAGTGCCGTAAATGGCATTCTTGCTCCACACCAGCGCAGCAGCCTCTGCCTTCTGGACACCGATCGGGGCCTCTCGAGAAACCACTTCGGGTTGGGGGTTTTTCTCAGAGAGCTCCGGGTTATCAGATGGGCCGTCTGCCTGAGTCGTTGTCGGATGCTGCTCCACTGGCTGAAGATCGTCCACAACGTGGTTGGTCTTGCGACCCTTGAGTCGATCGACGACGACACCCATGATAACAGGGAGTGAGATATATTATCTCTGCAGGGTGAATAGGTGAGTAATGTCAAGGGAGATGGGCTTCGAAAGAAAAGCGGAAGGGAAAGGGCCGATCGCCGGATAGTTATATAGTGGGTAGCATCTTTTCCTCCCACGCCCTTCTTCTCCCCTGTCAATCATTCCTTCAACTTGGCTTTTGGGTCCGCATTAGCGCCAACATCAAACTTTTTCTTTCTCCTTCTTCTATGGCTCGTGTGGAGACTGCTCTTTGGGGCCAGAATCTCTGGCTGCCATCATGGCGTGGCAACTAGACTCGTGGTGTCACGCAGGAGCCACTCTTGCAGACGGGGGTGGGCGCCAGGGATTGAGGTGTGTGTGGGTGAATAAATGGGGGCCAGCGATAAGTGCCATCAGATAATCAGGCCAATACATCAGATAATCTCTGTAGTGGAGCTGCCAGCCAATCATGATTAGGAATGACCGGCCGATGCCGGGTGGGATGATAAACTCTTGGCCAATTGCGGCTGTCCTGCCCGGACCATTTATGCCCAGGAGCCACATTCTCTTCCGCCCATTTCCTGGATTGGCCTAGCTACCCGGCTTGATTGGTCGGTGGACGTATTGAGTATCGCTTTCTGCGCTAGGAAAAATTTCACCTCCCCGTGATAGGTACTGAAGCAACCCGGTCAATCCTTCGATCCAGAGATTGCCGTAAAAATCTCTGCTGGGTGGTTTCTGACATCCCAGGATATCCGAGTGAAAGAAAATCGGCATTTTACTTTTGGGTACTTGACGGTCAGGCCACTATTGTACTTGCCAAGTGGTGTGGCAGGATGTATCCGCAATTAGACTGTAATGCATGCTCTCACACACCACCTACACCGATTGGTAAACTCGTACTTGGCTTTCTCGTATTCCATGATCCACGCGGAAGCTTATGCCCGGAATATCCGGCTGGGCTTTCTGTCTCTTCGGAGCGCCCGTTTGGGGGCAACACAGCGTTATTCAGTCAGCCAACAGCAGTCCAAAATCAGTCGCCTTGGTACCCACGGCAATTCGGCATACGCCGTAGTATGCTCACAGCCTTGCATATTACGTACCTTATTTCTACATGTCTTGACCCAGCAGTTGTTCCTGGGCGTGGCTTAGCTGCAAACCCTGGATTGTAAAGCGCTATGATAGTGGATCCGGCTTCCAACCCATGAACCCTTAAGACCCGTTATTCGGAAGCCACAAAATCATGACAAATGGCTTATTAAGTTAATGAAGCACATCTTTACCACTCCATTTAGCATATCAAGTGTGTATTTTTAGGTATGCCCTCGTGTCGGGTCTCGATTTTGATCACCATGCACTGGTAGTTGACATTATGTCGAATCTCGTGGTTCAATTCAGTCATATCTTGCAAAACCGTCCATGATAGGCGGCCATGTACCTCGACCCCAACATGACCCGTTAATCATGACCGCACTGTATCTAAGGACTTGACGGCAAGATCACACTTGTAAGCAGGTATCTTTCCTGTATGAGAAAAATTCCAATGTCAAACCGAAAAGCCAACTCATACGAAGAAGATCAGAGTAGTTAGCCTTCTTTGGCCTCCAATTTAGTCGAGAACATTGATAGTCCCGTGTGGGAACGAAGTGGCTATATCCTGTGACAATATTGACCCACAGATTAGCCGCATTCATCATCCTTAAAATATCATCATATGTGGGAAGCCAAAATGCCTGGACATTGAATATCATTAAACCATTTCACTATTCCGGCCAGCCGAAGGCGTAGGCTATCTCCTCAAACTGGAGATATCGATCTCTGAGGATATTCCACCAAAGAGCATTTGTTCTGTTGAGAGGTGTAGTAACAGTGACGTATGATAGAAGATCCTACTGCATCAACGGTCGGTTCCACTTTTCTTTTCTTCTCGTCGCAGTTGAAAGCTTCCTGTCCTGGTGGTGTCGTCTATACCAGTATAGTCGGGAAAGTCTCAAGGGTTTAGGATTATATGACTGCGTATGAGGTGGCGTATGGCACTCCAAGTTTTGAACGAGCGATTCTCCAGTTGTCTAGGATAGTACGAACTTTGGCTGTCGTTCGGGAAGGAGTAGGAGGTTAGCGATTTATGCTCGGAATTCTCGTCTCCGTTGGTCCGGTGGTTTTAGAAAGAGAGCTCACTGTAGATACACAAATTGTTTGGTCTAGTTGCTGACTCAAGAAGGCGCTGGGCTGGAGAAGGCTCCAGGTATTTCAACATTGACTGTACCACCGCTCAACTCGACGATAGAAGGCTTTAAGTACACGAAGAGGGGCTGTAAAATGTTGGGTAGGGAGTTGGGTTCTACTGCAGAGGTAGCATGTAAGGCTGAATTAGTAGTAGGCGCTTGGGGAAGACTTACTCGCACAACATGTCATGTGCATTCGGTGATGTTGGATCCTAGCAATTCGCAATGGAATGCAAAGAGCTTGCGCATGGGCCCCTAATCTATCACATGAAGGCTGTGTGTTGGTGATAAGTTCAAACTGATGGCGCTCCATTATGCACGAACACTGCGCCTCCATGCCTTAGATTCCTCTTGAAATAGCATCCACGGGGGTCTGTGTTCCCGTGCCAGATCCTTCGGTTAATACTTGGGAGATCTCTGGGGTTTCTCAGCCAATTAATCCCTGGCCTTGTGTGAAAGCACCAGTGTCGGACTCGCGCTTAGTTGTTTAAATGATAAAAATGGCGTCTTTGTGCATGTATGTAGTGTTACTGACTGGCTATGGTAGTATTTTTGCATTCTCGGTGAATGGAACTTTCATTGAATAGTGAATAGCTGATCGATATTTATAAATTACGGGCACATTACGGATGACTTCTGTCCTGGTTCCAACTTCTACCTCCTGAGATGCCTTTTCGCCGTTAAGCAGTCAGTGCCTTTTAATAGCCTTCGATAGAAAAGAGCCTCTGGATAAAATATGGCCTCGACGTATGATCTTGTGAACTATGACTCCGACGAGGAGAGAGAAAGGCATCCTATTGTCCCCTTCGCTAACCTCGCGTCCGCTGCTTTTTTCATGGCTGGCTTGTTGGAACAGGCCGGGATTACTTACGGACTAATGGGTGGGCTTGCGGTCGCGTTCTTGGGCAGCAACCGAGCCACTCGGGATGTTGACATGGCCTTCCAGGCATCTGGGAAAATGCGGGACATTTGGAGGATTGTGGAACCCGAGCCACGGTACATCAGGCTTGCTCTATAGTTAGAGCTTTTTCGGATGCCCCACTGACATTATGACTATTAGTTTGATAATCCCGAACACCAAATTGGTCAGTAATATTGTGAAGGTATTTGTTCGCACTGGCCCAAATTACGATGGTTGCGTAAACGTGCTACATGTCGAGGTTGATCTTATCGAGAGTGGTAAGTTTGTGACTACCTAAAACATGCTCGTCATCTCCTAATTCTGGGTTCAGGGTACCAAAACAGCCCACGGGAGCTTTCAGCGAACAGAAGGCAAATTTCTATCAATACTACGGTTGGGATGCAAATGATCTATATAATAGCGCCCGTCTTTCTCATGCGAGGCAAAATGGCAGCCTTTGCTGCTCGCCAGAGACTTGCTGATATGGAGGACATTCAACACTTGGTGCGGACCTATGGCACGGAAATCCGAGCAGCTGTCGATCATTTAGATCCGGATACCGTGACTACTTTCCTTGAGATTTTATCTCCCGTGAACCTTGCCCGCTGGAAAACATTCTTTGGGCGTTGATCATGCTTTCATGTGCTAGCTGCTTAATGTGATTCCTGACAAGCATTGTACTTTTGCGATTGGCATGATAGAGCAATCTACATACCAGGTCTGGGGACACTTCGTGGATCCTTAGACCCGTATTTCCGATATCTAGTCGCGTGGGTCTCCGCCGAGTATTTCCATCCTAACCGCCGGTGTTTATTTCGAACTGCATGCGTCCAGATATCTTTCCGAGATACAGGAGTAGGGTCCACGAAAATGAACATTTCATCTACCCCATCATTCCGAAAAGCCTGAGCATAATCTTCCAGCCATTTTGTATCGGTATGGCCTTCTAGATCGAGTTCCCTATGACCCCACTCCTCCGCGAGATTCATCCCATCAATCAACTCTTCTAGGTCTAATAGACTTTTGGAGTCAATCGCGCTTTGCACGTACACTGGAAGCTTGGGGTACGGCAAGCCACCTGCTGACGTTAAACTATTTCTCCCAAGATAAAGGGTGTCTGTACTGTGACCCACCTAGACTCCACTCTATGTTCTCGGGTTCAACAGTGAGATGGCAGTAATCTCCCGGCACTAGTAGCCAGAAAGAGGCCCACCCTATGGCCTTAAACCTAGGATACTTGTGGTTCAGCAAATTCGGCGATTTGAGGGGATTTGGGCCACAGGACTCGAGAATATCTGGGTGAGAGGCAAAAAGCTCTACCGCGCGTTCGAATTGCTCGTCCTGTATGCATAACACTAGGTCCTGGGATAATTGTTAGGTGTCTTTCATTCTGGTTCTCACACGGCAAAGGGTCTGCACGTACACGTGGTACGCGCGCTGTTCCATAGTATATTAGCGCTTGTTCTTGAACAAAACAACACTGTATTCCAGCATCTGTCAAAATAGATAACACCCTCAATGTTTCTTGGGGAGGTTGTAGGCCCTCGTTAATCTCTCCGATTGCGAGTGGGTGAAGTGCTGGAGAGATGATCGCATCTTGGTTGGTGACATGGGGTAAATCCATGTTTCACACGCTGGAAAATTGTTCCCTTCATCGGTGATGTCAAGTTGATGAAGGGTAGGGTGGACGCTGGTCGACAGGTTACTGGGAAGGATGAGAGGGGTTTCATGACGGTGGTCACATGATGCTATTTCTAACCTGGCCACCAGCGGGGCTGCAGATTAATGGTAGGATTGCTACGTACGATCTTCTAAGTATTCGAATTATAAGATAATTCTAAATGGCCTACATGCCTTTTAAAGCCATCAAAACCCAACATTCTAAAGTTATTTGCCCATCTCCGTACATGTTCGTATGCTGATGCCTAAGGCAGTAATTGTGAGTTCACCTAAGAATACTTAGGGTCCCATATTCGACACAATGAATGCCTTCTCAGTGTATTTGATGTGTGACTGCTGCTGTGGTGTCTGCCTGTATTGGTGTGTTTGTTGTCTGGGTCGCATTTTTCGATATTATTCTCTCGCTAGCATGGAAAAGTGAACCAACACAATATATATCTAGCGGATACAATCGCGATATAACCCATGCGGTGCGAACAGCGAGTCACAAGCAGGCAAATGATCATTTCAGGACCTCCTGAGAGGCTAGAAAAGATAGCAATACTCGTAAGCACTAGCTAGACAACTTTCAATTGATATTGGGCAGGTTATAGCTCGGTTCCTATATACAGAAGTTGTCGTGTTTACTAAGAAAACCGGTTGTATTCCAGCTAAATCTGGTGCTATATTAATTGGAGCAAAAAGCAGTGCTAACAGATAACCCTTGATGGTCTAGTTGGTTATGGCGTCCGGCTGTAATGGTTAATTGTAACCGGAAAATCCCTGGTTCGATTCCGGGTCGAGGGACATCTTCTTTTTGCATTTTTTTTTTGGCACCAGTCCACATACACATTCACACCCCACTACACGAAGCAATGAATTATTACAAGAGAATCGCAATCGCCCCGTCACCATTTACTCTTCGTTTCTTCATCCAAAACACTGAAATCAAGCCATAGGCGCAGCTGCCGAAAATAGTGGCAAAACCAGTAAGCTTTCATTACCGGCCTCGGAGGCGACGGGATCATTCAGTTTTCCGGTCAGGCGACTCAAAGATGGCTGTGCCTCAATTGCAGCGTGGAGGTGGTCCAGGGTCCACCATTGAGCATAGACAAAGCCTGTCACATTAGACAAGGCCCAATGTTCAGAAGCTAGCTGACCGACCCCAGCCAGCCAAATAGCCGACCACGTGAGCGGCTCGGAGGACATCTTGGGCCTCCGCTCATAGTTATTTAGGGAGTCATGAAAGCTTTGATCGAACAACCATTGCTCCACCCAAAGACATTCACCTTGAAAGCATTCCATTATTTCTTGAAGTATACAATTAGGTCATGGACAAAGAAAGCCACATTGTGATTATCGGTGCAGGGGTATTTGGCCTCACCACAGCCTACCAGCTCGCCACCGAGGGCTACAAGAACATTACGGTTCTTGACCGACATATGCCACCAGTAAGTTCTGTTCTGCGCAGTGGATATAACTTCAACTAATAAGCCCAGGTTTCGGATGGATCCAGCTCTGATATCTCTCGCATCATTCGATTTGATTATGCCGACGATGATTACCTGCGTATCTCTCACGCAGCCTATCTGAAATGGCAGGAGCCCAAGTACCGGGGCATCTTCTACCCCAGACCTTTTATTCTGACGGGAAGCATGGCCCCCACTAAAGATTCATGGATGGAGAGGACCAAAGCAGCCCTCAACAGGTATAATCTTCCATGGACTCACGTAACCGACGCGGCCCACGCGAAGCGGTTACACCCAGTCCTCAGCGGAAAATTAGCCGCACCTCCGTTTTCTGGGTACCAAAACAACCAAGCGGGATGGGCAGATGCCAGTAAAGCCATCAGTCAGCTTCGTGATGATTGCTTCGAAGCCGGCGTTTCATTCATCTGCGGCCGGCGAGGCACGGTTGTCGGGTTCGACACCGATTCCGATAAGAACATCAAGGCGGTACGAACCCTCATCGGAAGTCCCGTGTCGGGTGATCACTTCATTCTTGCAGCTGGTGCATGGGGATCTAGCCTGGTCCCTATGTACAACTCTACTATTGCTACTGCCCAGGTCCTAGGATTTATGCGTCTCACGCCAGAGGAGGTGAAGAAGTACGAAGAGCTGCCTATTTACATTAACTTCTCGAGTGGATGGTTTAACTTCCCTCCCCATGAAGATACTAGCCTACTGAAGATGGCTGTCCATGGATGGGGATATACCAGGACCCCCAAGGAGGGAGAGCTCACACTCGCCAAGGGTAATATCTCGACTCCCCCATTGATTCCGCCTCGCGAGCGCGTCAACTTCGTTCCAGCGGATGGCGAGCACAGACTCCGGGAAGGACTGCGCGAGATTCTGCCTGAGCTGGCTGACCGTCCTTTCGAGAAGCTGGCTCTCTGCTGGTATACGGATACCCCGACCGGTGATTTCATCATGGACTACCACCCGGATTTCAAGAACTTGTTCATTGGAGGCGCGGGCAGTGGGCAGTAAGTCTTTCCTTCTGTATCAGATCATGGCTGGGGGGAATGCTAATGTTACTTGTGCAGTGGGTTCAAGTTCCTACCCGTCCTGGGTGAATACATGTCGCGGGCGATCAAACGGGACCTGCCAGAGCCTCTCGCCCAGAAGTGGCGATTCCGGATGGAATACCAGAACCAGGACGATACTTTCCTGGGTGATGGGAGCCGTGCAGGACCTGCGAGACGGGAGTTGACTCCTTATGAGAAGGCTAAATTGTAGATTGTCCTTGCCTTCGCATGGTGAGGAATGTAAATATACGGTCGATAGTTGATGGATTACGAAGTAAATGATATAAGATGGAAGTAGAAAGTTCCTTTAAAGCAATAGTTTCATTCATGGTCGCAATTCCTATCTTGTGCACACGTCCTTCATCCAACAAAAAGATAAAGACGTATCCGAAAGGAAACCTCAGCGAAATTGCCACTAGCCAGGAATGGATTAGCCCAAAATCACAAGCACGTGACAAGGTTTCCGCTCACGTGGTCGGAAAAATGCTGGACGGAAATCACTCCGACGCCGAGATCGATCGGCTTCTTCCCCGGCTAATGGCAGGAGTAGATGGGGGAATGTAAATTTCCCGGCAGCATGGATCGATCCTCTGAACCCCGAGAACGGAGTCGACAGGCCTGCGAGCCATGTCGGTAAGGTCTCTCTGCTTACTAGGAAGTGGCTAGACATACTGATTATATGATAGACGCAGAAAAACGAAATGTCCGGGGGAGAGACCGGTTTGCTCAACCTGCCAAAGATTAAACCACCAATGTGTTTATTCACTGAGAGACCGAGCCAATGTCACATCGGGCAGAGTTACAAAAGCATACGCGTAATTGTGTCATTCTGAATCTAGAAAGCACTTTCTTCCTAACATTGTATTAGAAGAGCTACCCAAGACCGGCTACGGATCCTTGAGTCACAGGTTAATGACTTGTATGGGGCACTCTGGTGTGTATATCCTGTACCCCACATATATGTCACTGTATAACTCACTGAAGTCTTCAAAGCTCACGCTCAAGTAAAAATGGTGAACCATCGCCGGGGACTCCCGAGAGCAATATTACTTCGCTCAGGGAACAGGATTGGCAGGCTCCCCTGCGAGGAAGCCCTAGTGATATCTCTGCGTTCTCACCGACAAGGCACGTACCCCAGTGCCACCAAAGCCGTGCATATTGACTAACTATACAAGCCCACATCCACCCGCAGAGACACTAGGACACTTTATAGAGGTATACCGAAAAGTATTACACCTGCAGCCACTACCGCTGTTCGACATGGATACACTCCAGTCGGATTTGGCCAAAGCACCAGAGTTTCTTCTGTGGAGCTTCTTAGCGCTCATTTTACCGTTCTCAGGCCACGAATTCTACCATGGCAGAGAATCGGACGCTCGGAACTTCTATTCCCAGTCAGCCGAACAGGCAGTTGTGAAGATGGCCGTCGAAGGCATACCACGAGTGGAAGTACTACAGTCGCTATGCCTGCTAGCCCTACGGCACATCAAAGGTACATACCCCAAGATTAATGTAAAAGACCTCTTCTTACCCCAAAAATAGAAGGCAAAGAAGCCCAAGCCTGCATGACAATCGGGATGGCATCCCGACTTCAATCATTCCGAACCCTGCAACAACTCAACAACCAAACCGAAGCCAGAGTCCTCACAGTTTCCCGCTGCCACTGGAGCATACGCATCCTAGAAAGCGTCTTCACACCCCAACTCTCCATCCCATCTCCACCTCAAATTCCAATAACCCCCGAATATCCCTACCCACCCAGCGCACCCCTCCCACCCCCACTCCCCTCCGCATCCCCAACTCACACCGACCTCTTCGACACCACCGACCCAACCAACGACCTCGGAATCGTCGCCTACAGCATACAACTAACAATCATCTGGGGCGAAACCGCCTCCTACCTTCACAGCATCCGCACGAACCCCAACCTCAACGAAGAAACCCCCTGGTCCCTATCTTCCACCTACTCAAAGCTCAACCACAGACGCAACGAACACGAAACCCAACTCCCAGAATCCCATCTCCTCCGCAATGTGGCCTTCACCAAACGCTCCCGCGCCGAGATTTCCGCCCACCAAGAATACTGGACCTCCTGGATCTCAATGCAGATCTTCTGCCACGCTCTCGTCGCAGTCCAGAACCATCCCTTCATCCACCTCGTCATATTACGCGGGAACCGCGGCGTCTCCCAATCCCGCCTCTTCCTCCAACAAACAGTCGACCACGCCTTATTCCACTCCGAATGGGTATTCCGGCTCGTCCAGGCGTGGGAGAACTTCGATTTACCCCTCCACGACCCGCTAATTGCCCATTTGGTAGCAGCCACTGCGTCCATATCGTGGATATTTCAATTCGCGAGAGACAGAGGAATTGGAGAAAAAGCACGAGGGCATCTTGTCGTCGCAGAGAGATTGTTGTCAAGAATGTCTACCGTCTGGCCGCATGTTTCTCATAGGCTTAAGACTCTTCATGCACTTCAGTCGTCGGCATCCGTTGCGACGACGAACCCGTCTATATCGTCTGAGCACCAAGGTGCAGCAATAACTAAAGGAACGACGATCAGTATCCAGCCATCCCTGTTCTGGGATTTACTCGATCCTAAAATATGTCCGTCGGAAACGCCGGGGTCGTCGGGACCGGCAGCTCCGGGAGCTAGGATGCGCGTTACGACGCAGTTTATGCATCCGCTTAGTGAGGATGAGCCGTCGCTGGGGCAGGGAGGGAGGGATGTGGGTAGGGTTGGTGGCGGTGGTGAGGGGTTTATGGCGGATGTTCACGTGCAAGAGTTGGAGCAGTTGTCGTTGGATGAGTTGTTTGGGCAGTTGGGAGATGATACGTTTACTTGGGCGCTTTGAGTGCTTAATTATATAACATGGGTTAGGGGTGTTTTATGGTTGTCTACAACGGTTTTTTTAGGAAATACGGAGTATTGAAGGGTGGTTGAGGAAAACAAAAGGTCTTGAGAGATGTACAAAATATATTATCACAAAATCTTAGAAGCCAAGAAGCGAATACAGTGTTAGAATGTCAATGTCTAGTGACAGACAGACAGAGAGGATATATCAGCTATGTCCTGCCTCCATAAAAACGGGAGCACTGCTCCACAAGATGCATGCGGCACGCTGCAGCGCACACCATACTCCTCAACTAGTAAGGAATCTGCTGGTGGAACCAGTCCATGATAAGCTTGACCTGGCTAGGGTGAGCAATGGGGACGTTTCCGAAGTAGTTACCCAGCTCCATGACAACCTGGGTGCCGTTGGGGCTGTTGGGGCTCCAGTTGGGCAGGCTGCCCTTGCCAGTGTAAGAGCCACCCTGGTTAGGGTTGAGGGTCTTGGCGAAGTTGGCCCAGTAGGCGGACATCTTCTCACCGATATCATAGTCGACGTCGGTGAAGGGGTAGGTGTCGGCGTTGGCGTAGAGAGCGTTCAGGGCGTACATGATCTCGGACTGGTGGAAGGCACCCTGGGTCTGGCCCGGGGGAGCGTGGGTCCAGTAGTAGGTGTAGAAGTCGGACTCGGCGGCCTTGTACCAGTCGGTGGCGTAGGCCCAGGAGCCGATGAGGGAGGCGTCACGGGCGGCGGCGTTCCAGGAACGGTCGGCGGTGGTGGCGTTGTTGTCGGTAGGGTAGAGCTTGATGTAGCGGTCGAAGAGGTCACCGTACTTCAGGGAAGTGTAGTTGAGGTATTCGTGGACGGTGTAGTCGGTGGTGGTGGAGGCGCCGGACTCGTCCTTGGTGTTACCGGTGATGACGGGGACGTCGTTGGCAGGGCCGTTGATGAGGGTCTCGAGGTAGGTGGAGGGAAGGACGTAGTCGTCCAGGACGGGCTTGAAGATCAGGGGGTAGCCTGCGGAGAGAGCAGTAACCCACCAGATCCAGGTGTCGTTGACACGGTCCTGAGAGCCGATGAGGAGGTCCTCCATGGAGAGCTCACGCAGCTCGGCGACGCTGGAGACGTTGTGCTCGCTCATGTAGGCTTCACTGTGGGTAATGGCGGTAGACATGTTGACGTAGGAAGTGGCCAGACCGGCGAGCAGGGGGTCGTAGGGGTAGCGGATACCAGACTCGGAGATAGCACCGTGGAAGTAGCCGGAGAAGAGAGGGCTGTTGACGGCGTGGTAGACCTGGGAAGAACCGAAGGACTGACCAGCGACGGTCACACGGTCAGGGTCACCACCGAAGTTGGCGATGTTCTTCTGGACCCACTTGAGAACCTCCAGTTGATCCAAGACACCATAGTTGCCAGAAGTGTTGTGGCCGGTGGTAGCAAGACCCTCAGCGTTGAGCTCGGGGAGGGCGAGGTAGCCGAAGGCATCGTCACGGCGGTTGAAGGAGATGAGGATAACATCCTTCATGGCCATACCACCACCGTACCACCAGGCATTATCACTGGTCTCGTCGGAACCCTGGTTCCAAACAATGACAGGGAGCTTGGCGTCGGCCGAGGCAGCATTGGTCCAGAGGTTCAGGCTGAGGCAGTCCTCGCTGATATAAGTCTCGTAGTTGCTGGGACACGCAGGGCCGAAAGAGGTGGCGTTCAATGTCTCGTTCCAGGGCTCACGGGGCTGGGGAGGCTTCCAGCGGTTCTGGTAGCCAGTGTCGGCAGCGAAGGGGATACCCAGGAAAGCGGTGACATTGGACTCGGTGGTGCCGAAGTACTTCTGGAGAACAGTCTCGTTGGTGAAGTACTTGAAGCCCTTAACAGGACCGTAGTTTGTCTGGATAACCTGATCCCAAAGCTGGGCCTGGGCGACAGCAGCGCCCAGGGCCACAGAGGCGAGGCCCTTGGTAGTGAAAGAGGGCATGCCGGAGAATGCAAGAAGAGTGGAATGGAAGGATAGAGAGCTGATGAGGGAAAAAAGAAGAGCAAGCTGGGAGGCGATCGGCATATAAATAGGTTCGATTAGAGGTGCCTCTGTGACAGACGTGCCAGGGACGGAATTTGAGACCCACTTGGAAGAAGAGATGGGAATGAGCTTAATGGATCTCAAGCAGTGGGATGATGCAAGCCTTGCCGTTCCGATAACCCCGAAGATGGTTTGAGTGCGACGCCTTGTAAAACATCTACGGGATGAAGCGCGTCCATGTGGAGACCTCAATTGACTACGCCAACCGATGATGACCAGACAGGAAAAGGAAGTTCGCTGAGAACGTTGCGAAGTTGCGAGAAGGATACCTGTCTCAGTTACATGAAAACGGTAGACATTGGGAGAGGTGGCGGAGACACTGCCGGTTCTGCAGGCCGAGGCCGAGGGCAGCCAATCTATAGTTACCTCCGCACCCCTGCCGATCAGAAAGGACTCGACCTACGTACGACACTGCGACTACTGTCGTGTAGCCTATCACTAGTAGGAAGGCGGAGTTCCGCGTTTGATTTCGTCTATGTGTTTGTGTGCATACTGTGAACCAGACAGAGCATTGGAGATAGCAGCACAGCGGACTCCCTGGCAATTGAACCTTGACCTCGAAAAGTTGCAAATTGCTGGGACTGAAGATTGATAATGCAAAGAGCCGCGGCATGTTCGGCACCTGCAACGTAGTTGAATAATTAGAAAGTTCCCACATTGGCCGCGCGTTTCAGTCTGGGGTGCTGCAGACATTTCTGATTCTTGCAGAAGTTGAAGAGGGGAAAAAGTGGTGATGCAACTCCGCCGGATGATCGCCGTGAATGCCTACTGATTGTGGCAGAAACGGCCGAGATTCCCCGCAAGAGCAAGATGGGTTGGACAAACCCTGAAGTTGGATCCGAGTGGATGCGAAGGATATCCCCGAGTGCCCGTGCGGAGTCTCGCAAACTCCCCCCAAATCGGGTATGGTCGGGCCCATCCTGGCCGCCAAGTTTGGTCCATACTCACCACAACGCCATCGATCTACGGGGAAGAAATCGCTCAACTTGATCTTCACTGCTGCCTGTCTGTGGAAACTTGTGTGTATACGCGTACTCATCATGTCAATAATCTAGTTTTGTTTCACAGGCCATCTTAAGTGATTAACAGTGCCATTGTCAAAATTTCCCACTGTCTTGGACATGAGATCTCGCCTACTTCGCGAAGAACGGCTGTTATGACTAGATATGTTTCTGCGTGTCAGTGTACACTTCCCCATCAGAATTCACGCAAGTCCATGTCACAAATTGCACATGTTCCTCGAGTGACCTTAGGCTTGGGATCTCATCAGCTACTTGGCACACACAAGAATGGGCGCAAACCTCTTTATGGCGCGGGAACTAACCATAGACTGTCGGTCCAGGATCGAAATATCATTCTAATAGTGCAAATTCAGGATGAAGATTGAGTCATCACATATCTTGAGAGGGCGATAGCGCATGATAAAGCTGACTGGAAAGCAGTGACTAAAATGGGGCAAGTCCCGATCGTCGCTGAATTGGAGTTTTCATATACCGGTATTCAATTCCAGAGCTAATGCCAGTTTGCAAGAAACACGCTGGAGAGCGTCCAGGGCCAAAAATATTCCATTTGACCAGAGGCCTCGCTAAGTCAGTCTGCTGGGATAAGTCATCGCCAAAGCAGATTAATGCAAGGTACCGGTGAACGGGACGTCCTCGTTATCAGTTGTTAAGAGTGGAGCAGGCCCATTCGCTTGATCCACAGGGTAAGAAAGTGAAGATCTAAAAGTCGTTTATGGTCTATAGATAGTAGGCGTGTCAGCCGCTTAGCGCGTGGCAAAAGGAATTATGCTTATATAGAACTGTACGTGCACAACTAGGGTTAATCTTAATAAGGAGCGCCAGTCCATCACCAGTGGAATGCCTTGGGCCGAGAACTGACTAAGAGTTCACTTTGGTGTGTGAAAAATCTTAACTACAACTTTCAACAGTCTTATAGGACAATCATGGCTTTGGTGCGCGCTGTGTATGACGATTTGGTACGCAATTTATCTATCGCATTAACTCTGTTTTCACCTTCAAGTGTACTTACTGGTAACACCAATCAACTCACACTATGCAAGCTGCAAACACTCAGATATAGGCACACGACTAAGTCAGGTGATCTGCCGGTATATTTGACGTTAACAATATAATTAAGAATTATTATTCAGCACTTGAATCCTTTGAATAGTAGAATGCTATTCACCGAAACTCTATGTCGCCACGCTAATGCAGCACGACTATCTTGCGCGATTGTCTTTATGCATTCCGACCAGATTTTCCACCAATCAATGCTCGACTCCAACCGGCGCCAATGAGACGCCTACGCATAGCAGGTGGCTGGACTAAGTAACATTATGTGATAGATGAGGTTAGTGCTAGCTATTAGTCTCCATGTAAGCTGTAATTATAATCAAGACTTATACTGTATACGCTACGGCCCAAACTGTAAATACTACAGCACCTCACAGTTATCATAAGCGGCAAACAACCTAGGAGAGTCAAACTGGATAATTTGCAACTACGAGAGATATCTGACATAGCACCGGCGTCGACAGGGATTCATGCTGTATTGTGATGACGCGTCTATGCATGTTTGCTCCATATATACTGAGGCCAACTCAGCCATGGCTCAATCGGTGCAGACCACGACCCCACGTCCATGATGTCCATGATTCATGACGAGGCAGCCTCCGCCAACTAGAGACAACAGACGGCGCCATGGCTACCTAACAGGAGTGGATGTGACGACAAATGAGATGAAATGTGATACATCTCTGACAGCTGCCTGTACATGGACAGGCTCTATGCCAGTACCCGCCCGTATCCCTTTGATGCAAGCTGTTTGGGGCGTTCTACGCTCATATATAGAATAGATCATTACCCTGGTAAGCCGAGCTTGTGGAACTCCTGTGTGAACTACTATTTTCTCTAAGATTTGCTGAATCCCAAAAATATAGTATTTGTTATCTGTCTACCTACTTGAAAGAGACACCGGGCACGATCTCCTCCACGAGAATGGCTATCCAGCCTGATCCACCTTCGGAGACCTCTTTTGAAGGATTCAAGTACGGAACTCTGGACGCAGATAAGCGCGAGATCCGACTCGTGACTCTTGAAGAAGGGATTTGGTCGGATGAGATAAGATGCAGTCTCCGGACTCTCTCCCTTCACGACCAACCGGCATACGAAGCGCTCTCATACGTATGAAGCGATCCGAGCATCTGCAGATCTATCAGCTTGAATGGTCATACGTTTGAGGTGACCGAAAATCTCTGGTTGGCGATGCGCCGGCTGCGCAAGTCCACTGAGCCGCGGGTGTTTTGGATAGATGCCATCTGCATCAACCAAAGCAACAACGATGAGAAGTCCAGCCAGGTTTCATTCATGGGTGAGATCTACCAAGGGTCGCAGGAAACAACACTCTGGCTTGGAGAAGACCCTTACACTGTGGAGGTGGGCTCCAAGTCTGCTGCTGGTCACCGATTAGCCGAATTGTTCGAGATCCTCCTCAGCGACAAGCACATGTCGGAACTGCCTTGCTTCATCGAGGATGGCACACGGACCGACGTGTCAGAAGACTACCTACAACACTTCGACGATCTTGCGATGTTTCTTGACAAACCATGGTGGAAGCGGATCTGGGTTATCCAGGAAATGGTCCTGCCGCCAAAAATCCGGTTTGTATATGGCTCTGAGCAGTTCTCTTACGATACACTGCGAGCGGTCCTGGAAATATTCCGTGAGCATGCTGCGCATTGTTGTAAGAACTTTCGATTGCGTCTTCGTGGGGCTGGTTTCGACCCGTTGATGGTCATTGAAGAACGAGTTTCACCTATGGTATATGTTCGGGAACGATGGAGGAACTCGGATGAGAAAATCACTCTGCTCCAACTGAGAAGAATGTTTTCGGCGTCCCAGGCATCTGTCTCTCGAGATCTGTTCTATGCCCTTCTAGGTATCGTCAACAGTTGGGGCCTAGCGACGCCTCTTCAACCGGACTACAACATCAGCTCAAGAGACGCCATCATTAAAGCCGTTTACGCCTGTATGGTGGAATCTGGCGGCGCCTCCTTCCTGCAAGGAGAAAGAATCAGCGAGGACCGGTCGCCTGATTTCCCGTCCTGGTTACCTGATCTTCATGTCCGCTCAACTCCATCTAGACGGGTCTGGGGAGAACAGCAGCGCCTCAAGATTGCCGAGAGGTTCTCCGCCACAGCAGGGTTGAAGCAGGATACTACTCAATTTTCTCTTGCTAGCGACGGTACCCTTCGTCTGCAAGCCCTGAAAGTGGATAAAGTCATTCGTGTTGGGGATGCAACAGACCCACTTGATGAATTTGACAAGGTTCCTGATGTATTCCGGCAATGGATGGGAATGATCGGCATGGGGGTTCAGGACTGGCCCGAGAGCCCCCCGACTAGAGGATCGCAGCAGGACAGCTTCTGGCGAACAATTTTAAACGACTCTATTGAAGTTGAGCAGGGAGCAGGATATGTCCGACCGTCCGATGGTGATTACCATCAATTGCTGGACTTGTGGAAGATGATCACTGCGACCGTCTGGCCACTACTTGTGAGTATGGCAAGATCATCAGTGGAGACGCGCAAAAGCGATAGTGAGCCCTTCGAGATGATGAATACCTTGCTTAACCTGGCACCGTCTATTGCTTACCACGTATTGGTTTGTCTCTGGGGGAGGCGAATGATTATTACGGAAAAGGGATTAATTGGACTGGCCCCTAGGACTGTCCAGGAAGGAGATGAGGTGCATATTCTGCTTGGCTCAGAAGTTCCGTTCATTCTGCGACCAGGACACGTCAACGTCTATTCTTCTGAGGTGGACCGCTACTCCACCCCGGTTTATACAGTCATCGGGAATGGGTATCTCCACGGGGTAATGTGTGGCGAGGCCTTTGAAGGAGACGGGCAGAATGAGATCACAGTGATTGCGCTTCATTAGACTTGAACTGAGGTGGCTCGCTTATGAGACGTGCTGACATAGTGCATGATTGAACCTACTGTTTGGTAAAGCGTAAGTACCAACAGATCGGCGTGTTTTCACTGGCTTTTTCTTTTATGCCTTCATATCGCGATCTTTAGGCAGTACATCGAGCGCACGATCGGTTCGCTCGCACAACTATAAGTTACCATACTTAGCAAATGGCAGTTCACTAGAAGCCTGGTTATAACCACGCAGACATGCAGACCGAATGAATGATTTTTATTCTTGATCCTCCTGCCCATACTGGTTTACTGTAATGGGGCGTTGCTGGGCATGGATCCTGCTAATCACCTTTTCAGCATAGTCGAGTGGCGAGTGGAGCAAAAAATGAACAACAGGCCTCCCAGTAAGACTATCTGATAGGAAGATAGTAGAGACATAGCGTTGTATTAGCGATGGATATCGCCGCCTTACGAATAAGTCGACGAAATCATATCTGGAACGCGGGGGAGATGCGGGATAAAGTATGGAAGGTGGTTCCGCTTGATATGGCTATCAATTGTGCTCCACCAAACTATCTTTCTGTGTTCGCGGAACAAGCTGCCTTGTTCATCTGTTTCCCCGCATTTTCGTATCCGACGCCCCGTAGGCTGTTTCAACGTAAGCTATCATTCTATAGGGTCGTGTCAGGACTAGATGTCCATGTCCGCCCCCAATAAATAATGGACAGTCATTTCTCAGATTCAACCATTCTGATTTCCCGTGCTTTTATATGCAAAACCTCAGCCTGCCATGAAGAAACAACTAAGCCTTGATAATAACCCGGAAGATATTCTATCAGCCGAGTCACAAGCCGGCGAGCTCTCCTTTTCCGAGCCAATCCAGGATGATGCTGTGTTCGGCGAGATTCGTGAAGGTGATACCAATTACCGTAATGTGAGATCTCTGGTGATGTGTGTCAAAGCTAGATCTACTGACATGAGCAAGGTGAGCTGTATAGGAACCGTTGCCCTTATGCTGAAAGTCCAAATCGGCCTTGGCGTCCTCACAATACCCAGCTGTTTTGATATCCTTGGGATAGTGCCCGGAATTATCGTCCTTCTTGCAATTGCAGTGACGACAACCTGGTCGAACTGGATGGTGGGCGTGTTTAAGATACGCCATCGTGATGTTTATGGAATCGGCGATGTTGGGAAGATGCTCCTTGGGCGCGTCGGATATGAGCTATTTGGCGGGGCTTACATCCTATGTGAGTGATCCTAGTCCGCATCCCAATCTGACTGCTGTCCTGACCTGTTGCAAGACTATATCTTCACTGGTGGTTCTGCCCTCTTGAGCATCTCAATCGCCTTTAACGCGCTGTCTGATCATGGAGCGTGCACTGCCATTTTTGTGGCTGTTGCGGCCATCATTGGATTCACATTCTCTAGTATCCAGACTCTTGCTCGTATAAGCTGGCTTGCCTGGGTAGGAGTGTCGTGCGTTATCATTGCCGGTAAGTATAGCTTCACAAGTCTAGACTTAGGATTGATCTAAACAATTTCTAGTATTCATTGTAACCATTGGTGTTGGGATCCAGGGCCATGCCCCAGTGACTGCGGGCGTTATCCCGGAACCCGACTATAAACTCTTCGGCAACCCAAGCTTTGTTGAGGCCATGACTGCCGTATCCACGATAACTTTAGCCTACGCCGGGGCTCCAGCATTCTTTAACATCGTCTCCGAAATGCGTGACCCACGCCTCTTTACTAAATCCCTAGCCATATGCCAAACTATTGTCACTGTAATCTACATCGTGGTCGGGACAGTCGTATACTATTACTGCGGATCCCATGTTGCCTCACCAGCTCTTGGCTCTGCCGGACCCTTGCTCAAGAAGGTTAGCTATGGCTTTGCCCTACCGGGGCTGTGTGTTTCTGTGGTCCTATTCCTTCACGTGAGTCTTAATTCCATACCTTGTCCCTATTTATATACCTATCTAATCCCAAAAATCGAATAAAGTTGCCTTCCAAACACATCTTCATGCGCATTCTTCGGGGCTCTAGGCACCTCACCGCACAGACCCCGACGCACTGGATTGCCTGGATCGGCTCCACGTTTAGTATAACTGTGATCGCGTACATTATCGCCAGCAGCATCCCCGTATTCAGCGACCTTGTATCACTTGTTGGTGCTCTTCTAGCCACGTCATTGTGTTTCCAACCCATGGGGTTTATGTGGCTATACGATAACTGGGAGCCGGGTAAGCGAGAGAAGTCTATGAAATGGTGTTTATGTGTGACTTGGTGTGTGTTCATAATCTTGACTGGGGTTTTCTTGACGATTGGGGGCACTTATGCTTCTGTAGTGAGCATTATTCAGTCTTACCAGGAGACCGGAGGATCATCGGCCTGGTCTTGTGCCGATAATGATAACTAAGTAGTGCTTTTTTGAATAGATGGAATTGATGAATTTATTTTTGAGGACAATGTTTCGATGCTAGGCTACCGCGTTAGATGCTCTTGCTTTGCTCCAATTCTGTTAATGCTCCGCAACAGGTGGAATACCTTGAGTGTGTCTTGGTGTCCAAATTGTATCGCATACCTTCGTAATTGCAACTCGTCTGATAAGCCAAATGCGGGATAAACAGACTATCTGGAATATACTCCAGCCTTTGGCAGTGGAGGAATGCGGGCTGGCGCAAGTCTTGCCGGATTCGAAACTCCCGCGGAGTCACTTGCCATTTCCGCTGGACTCTGGAGGATATCAACAACCGATGATAAGATAAAGTTCAAGGTTCCATAATATGCCATGTAATTGCTGGCTTCGAAATGATAGTTGATACTGATGAGGCCATAGTCTTACTGTAAGTGCAGAATGATTAGATAAGATCGTTATTTACCAGTAAAGTGCGGTTCTTGAGATCTGGTCTCCCGCAGTTCAGTCTACCATCATGGTTGTTGGGTCGTGAGACTGCATGAATTATATCAGTATGGAGGAATTGGAGCATATAATCCTTGCTAATGTTAATCCAAGCACATACGACCATAGGGTGTGGAAAACAGGGCTTCCCGTCCGCTCAGCCGTACTTAAGCCACACGCCGGGAGGTTAGTAGTTGGGTGGGTGACCACCAGCGAATCCCTTCTGTTGTATGTTTTTTCATTTTTTATCCTTCAATGTCTTTTTTTCCTTGATAGACCTTGCTGCTTTGTCTTCACCACCTCTTGGTGTCAGTACTTCTAAGAAGGCTCCTAGCCAGGCCATGTGAATGTGACTATTTCCGCCGATGCCATGCCTGGCCAGAATATCTCCATCATTCTTAAAGCTACTCATGATGAGGATTTCCCATTGACTCGCTATAGCCTCATTTTCTGGTCAAGTTACATAGTTCAACTTCCAGGTCCGCTTAAACACAGTTTAGCCAAAGAGACTATATCTTTGTCTGAAGGATGACTAGATGTGTTAAATAGAAATGATAGGCTTGTTATCGTGATATTTTCCCCTTTGCTTTTCCAATGACAAAACCTGATGAAACTATATGATTTCGTGCTATTTTCCTCGTATGAATTGTGTGATGTACAAGCAAGGCACATCAAACCATATCTACGCAAAGTAAGCAAAATATACTAAATTCCGTTGAACTCCGAAGTCAAACTCCGAGATTCATCAAGCAGGCATATTGCTTTTTCTGCCCCCAGTAGTCTACACAAACGAATAGTTATGCCACCTGTCACTGGCGAAATCTTCCACCGTCGTTCGATTTGACAGGGTCTTGCATTCTTTGACTGCACCAATAGCATTTAAAGATGTATATATTCTAGCAAGGGGGTATTGAAAAGATACAGCCTTTCTATGGCAATTTGGTAGACGGAGGGAAAAGACGGTGAGATTTTTAGGGTGAAATGTTCCAGTTGAACAAACTTTGAATCTAGTGCGTCCGGCCCACAAAACATTGCATAAGTGGATACAGCACTCGGCTAGATCGACAACTAGTACTAATCAGCCAATACCAGCATTCTGAGGAACTGTCAGCAGATCGATAGTTCGTCTTCAGCTGAGGTGGACACGATAGTAGAGGGTGTGATTTCCTCATAGCTGATAGGTCCGTTGCAGTGTGGCTGAGGATCTTTGCGAAATCGACTTACTAGCGATACTTTCAGGTTGAGTGCTTGGTCCAGAAGGACTGTCCAACAAATGGGTTAATAAAGGCCTTACATCCTGGATGTGAGTCTTCTCATGGTTTGAAACTCATCGCATCAATTCAAGATGGAACAACATGATGATACTAGATCTCCTACCCTAAACACCCCCCCAAATTTTGAACCCTTCACCTTGAGTGCATTGGACCATATTGTCCCTCCACTCCACCTATTCGCATACCTTACCTTCAAGCTTAACTCTCCTTCGGATGCCATCGCCGTTCTCCAAAATGGCATCTCGCGCCTATTGCACGCCCTTCCCTTCCTAAGCGGGAACATAGTGACCATAGAAGAGCTTAACGGCAAGAAGAACACGATGCAAATCACACCGGCAGATGCATCAACAATGCACCAGTCACCCATGCTTAAGGTCGCGCTTCATGCCGCTGAAACCTCCGCCGTGGAGCGCGATGATGTGCAACATGCTGATTTCGTCCCAATTCCTATCCACCTACCTACCACCGATCCAAGCCCTGTATTGCGATTCCAAGCCAATATGATGACAGATGGTCTAGTGCTATGCGTGACTTTCGACCATCGGATGACGGATGGACTGGGGGTGCTCGCTATTCTAGACTCTCTGGCTGCGTGCTGTCGAGGCGACTCGGCACTCACAGATATGGCTGCGCAGCTTCAAAAAAAGCAGCAGCTTGCATCGATAAGGAGCTTGACTCCATACAATATCCAGGATAAATTTCAAGCTGAACCAAAGATTCCATTTAGCCCAGTTAGTCGGAGATTCGCCCTGTCTCCAGAAAAGATCAGCATGCTCAAGAAAAAGTGCAACTCTATGACCTCCACGAGTTCTGGCCAAACATCTAATCCGAACTTGACAAATGTGGATATTCTCACCGCGCTTATTTGGATCTCCATCACCAGAGCGAAGCAAGCATCATCGCCAAGTACACCCAAAGGCGCCCTTTCCACATTATCTAGTGCCGTCGAGCTTCGCTCTATCCTTCACCCCAAGCTAGGCACCTATATAGGAAACGCCCTGATGGCCGCTAAATCCGTACTGTCTACTCACTCCACTTCATACAAAAGCCCAGACCCAATCGCCGACATCCCACTCATCCACGAAGTCGCCTTACAAATCAGAAACGAGATACGAAACATCACCGCTGAGCAAGCCACCTGCTACGTCTCCCAGATCAACACTCTGGACGATTGGAGCTCGTTCCAGGCTCAATGGCCCGACCTAGTCGTGAGTAGTATCCGCCATTTCGATCTATATGGATTGAATTTTGGCTCTATGTTGGGCCCAGTGGCGAATTTGGATATGCCTGATCCGAGAATCAGTGGGGTGTGTTGGGTTATGCCTGCTAGGCCGGGCTCTGGTGGAGCTAGGAAAACGCCATTGTGGGAGTTGAGAGTTGTGTTGGAGGAGCCTGTTATGGAGTGCTTGAAGAGAGAGCCGCTGTTATGTTGGGCGTCTGATATTAGTCGGACAATTGGTGCGTCGAAGCTCTAAACACTTCAGGCTTCGTACAGATATATAGCGCTGTTGGTTATATTGGATACCAGAGCAGGCGAAGGAGCATCAAAGTCGAGTCTCTCTTTCCATAATATATCCGTTGCAATCTATCTATTAGGATCTTTTTTTGTAAATATCATTTATATGTAGCTACTTCCAGGTAGCCGGGTGGTGTAGTTGTAGTCACCCTGGATGATACTCCTACAGGCATCTGAGAAGGATTCTCTCTGTTTCATGCTAGTATATAATATAGTGAGTTTAGTATGTTTACCTTTAGAACAAGGAATTGCCAATCTTTCTTTCCCATTTCGTCTCTCTACTACATGAAACAAAGAAAAAAAGAAGGAAAAAAAAAAAAAAAAGAAAAGAAAAGAAAAAGGTATACTCTTGTCATACGGCGAGAGACTTCCTTGTTAAGTATAAGCAGCTGTCAAATCTAGACACTGATCCCAGGAGACATCGGCTCGGTGTATGGCGGCGGAGGATCCGCAGTTTTCATAAAGAGCTCATATCTGATCTGGCGAAGATCTTGCTGTGCGGTCTCGAAAGCCACCCGCGCTTCTTCCACTTGAGCCTGCATGTCATCTTCACGGGACTTTGCCTGCCTAACCTGGACTGCCAAAACCTCTTCTGCACGCTTCACCTCGAGAACAGACTGCTGCATCATGTCCAGAAAACTGGTGTGAAACAAAAAGGTACCAAAGACTAGCTCCCCAACCCAGTCATGCTGAACAAGGTTCATGGCCGGAAGAGCTTGTACTCTGGGATCCAGCCGTCTGGCCTGCGCGACTAGCATCTGCGTCTGGGTAACCTTCTGTTGAGCCCGGGACAGACAGTCCTGCTGCCGCCAATCGGCTAGGGTGCTTCCAAAAGTCCATAGGTCCCTCTCACAGTACCGCAGTGTCTCCGCCAAATTAAGCAACACCTCCCGGAGCGTCAGCTGCGCTCGCGCGAGACACTGTGTCGCCTGCCGAAGATCACTCCATCGTTCCCGCCGTTGTCCATACTCCCGCCGCGCCTGCTTCGTTGTCTCCTCCTGCGCATCCTCCTCGGGGAACTCCTCCGTCCGCCCCTCAAAGATCCGCTTGTAGATGGTGTCCAGCTCCGCATGCAGTCGCTCCCTCGTGGTACATGCGCGCTGAAGCTCCTTCTCGTGGTCAACCGCGTCCGCGACTTGCGCCTCCAGCATCTCCCACTGCGCCTGCGCACGGTTCTCCTTGGCCAGGGCGTCGTAGTAATCGCGCATCTCCTGGTCGGCCTTGGCCTCGAACTCTTCTCGCTTACCCCTCGCTCGATAAAGTAGGCGGCGTAGTGTACTATCGCGATACTTTTCGTGCAGCTCGCGGTTCCCTTTAGTAACCTTGTGCAGCTGCGCCAACTGCCTGTTGGTATTGGTCAGCTCTCTCCGGAGCTCGGCCAGGTAGCTTTCTTGCGACTGGAGGGACTCAGGGCTGCTCTCTACGGCGGCGAGCTCGGCCTGGATCTGGTCGTGGCGCTCCTTGCTGGTTGCGATATTGCTGTAGATTGACATGTTTGGGGGAGGTTATGGGTGGGGGATATTGCTATGTTACGGATCTGTATGCTTCACATAATATAGCTGTTGCTAGTGCAGATAATGCTGCTCTAAAAAAAAAGGTGTGATGACTATTTTAGTTGTGGTTCAAAAATGAATACGGGGAGGCACTCCTTGTTACATGATCTCATTCTAAATAAAGGGTTTGCCACGCGGGATGACGGCATCATGTGGTCACCCCGTGACCTTCTTCTCAGCTCACTAAACACAACGCATCTTCTTCCTCTGAATGTTAAGCCCTAGGAAGATTAATAGAGGCGATCGAGTATGAAACTGCTGATCAAGAAGTGTAATGATATGACCTATCAACTATCTTGTACCATTTATTACCTATATAAAGCTGGAACAAAGAAAAATGAAATTGAAAACAAAAAAGATCACATAACACATTCTACTACTATCAACTTATATTGTCCAGACCATCATCTCTATGGTAAATGCTTGGTTGCACTTGTTGGATAGGGTGCTCTATCTTCGCTTCTTGTCTCATTTCTAACAACTAAAAACAAGGACAGACACCTAGAAAATGAGTATAACCTTTCTTGCGCTTGGCCTAACCCTGTGCTTGAAAAATGTAACCTCTTAATCGAAGGGCACAATTGACTCACACTTTCCAAGATCTTCACAGCTGAAAATCCCCCAACCCCCCTACACTTGTACATCTTGGTGATTATGTTCCTTCTTATCGTTGAGATACTCCAACTAGTCTCGCTTGGCGCCCTACTCTCTCGCCCCTCCAGTTGATTCGCTTACATCCCGTGAACACCACTTTTCTGCATCTGAATAGGATCGTGCATATGTCTGAAACGCTTACGTGGCCCTCCTATCCTCGTGCTGACAGATGCTAATTATGCTTTTCCCGATCGTGGAAGTCTTTTTCAGCGACGCATAATTTTGGTGGGAGACCTTCCAAGGCAAGAAAGGCGAAAAAGGATGTAAACTGATTACGCCATTGGGAATAAGTCCACTGTCACAAAGATGTCTGATACTTCTTATTTTTCCTCTTTTAATCTATTAATTGAATTTTTTATCTTGCCTCACATTGCTGTAGCAGTTGATAATTGGTGTTTGGGCCCAACATCTACCCGAGTAGCGTCTAACGTGCATAATTTAGCCCCCATCATGCCGTGTGCTGTTCCTGCGGGGTAGGGGATCTGACATCCTCTGCACATTAAAACTCAGGAACCATATCTCCAAGTCCCCCGTAACTATCCGTGGTATATGTATATCTAACAGTGTAGGAAAAATCTCTTGGAATAAAACCTCTTTTAGACGCCATGTCTAGCCCGCGAATAGCGCCCTACGCCAACGAGGAGTACACCGTGGGCTGGATATGTGCCCTCCCCGTTGAGCTAGCTGCAGCAAGGGGCATGCTTGATGGGGAAGATCACGGAGAGCCCCAGACATCACCGGCAGCAGCAGATCAGAATCGCTATACACTGGGGACGATAGGGCATTTCCGAGTGGTGATCGCTTGCCTGCCAAAGAACCAACTTGGTTCCTCTTCCGCGACGGCCTCGGTAAAGGATATGCTATTCACCTTCCCCAATATCCGGATTGGGCTTTGCGTGGGTATCGGTGCTGGTATCCCTGATTATGAGAGCCAGGATGAACAGGATGTTCGTCTTGGGGATGTTGTTATCAGTAGTGACTCCAAGACCGGAGGTGTGGTGGCCTATGCCCTGGGTAAGAAACTGGCTGATGGCTCATTTGAGACGCGGTCTGCTCTGGCTCCACCTCCTCGATCGCTAAGTACGGCCCTTGGAGCGATGCAAGCACAACATATGATGGAAGAGCACAAAATAGGAGTTTTCGTTGACCAAATGCTCGACAAGCATCCATTTATGCGCAAGAAGGGATATTCTCGTCCGGACCAATCACTGGACCGTCTGTTCAGATCGGGGTACATTCATGCCGCGGGGAAGAATTGTTCGAAATGCGACGTTTTGGAGACTGTGGAGCGGGATGATCGGTTCGATGATGCTCCAGTTATTCATTATGGAACAATTGCCTCGGGTGACATTGTCGTCAAGAACGCTGCATTGCGTGATGAGATTCGAGACAAGCATGGGGCTATTTGTCTTGAGATGGAGGCTGCGGGATTGATGAACAATTTTCCTTGCGTCGTGATCAGAGGAATCTCGGACTACGCTGACTCGCATAAAAACGACCGCTGGCAGCCATATGCAGCTGCGGTGGCCGCCGCATGTGCAAAGGAGTATTTGGAACATGTGCAAGTAAAGGATGTGAGCGGAGAGCCTACAGCGAAAGCCCTATTTGAGAAGGTGCAAGAAGGTTAGTAACTCCTTACCGCAAGCCTAACCTTTGTTCATGATTGGGATAGTTCATAGTGAAGTCACGAAGGTCGGAAGGTTTGTGACAACTAGGGAGACCAGAGAGGTCCTCGATTGGGTCAGTTCAATAGACTTTGTCGATCAGCAAAACGATATCATCAGTCTCAGGCAAGATGGGACAGGTCATTGGCTCATAAATTCAGAAGAGTTCATTCAGTGGATGAGCGATGATATCCAACCTCGAACTCTCTTCTGTCCTGGGATCCCGGGTGCAGGCAAGACAATAATGGCATCCATCGTGGTAGAGTATCTGAAGAACACCTTCAAAGGCGATTCAAATGTGAAGGTTGCTTTTCAGTTCTGCAGCTACCAGCCGAAACATGGGCAGACTTACCTGGAGCTCCTGCAAAGCCTCGTTCGACAACTTGCACTGAAGACTCCAGATGCAGACCTGCTTCCATGTATATTGCAGCTTCACCAGGACCACAGCTCAAACTCTACGCGACCTCGACCCACTGAGTTGGAGAAAACTATCCTAGAAGCCATTGAGTCATACTCCATGGTGTTCCTAGTTGTCGATGCCCTTGATGAGTTCTATTCTGCAAGCCGGGAAGACTCATTGTTGTTCTTTGACGCTCTGTGCAAAATCCGGGAAAGTCCTCAAGTGAAGCTTTTTGTGACTTCTCGCTATAACGATGACATCTCTTCTCGGTTTGCTCCGTGTATTTCCAGAGAAATCCGGGCCCACGAAGATGACGTCCTACAATATGTGAAAGAACGCATGCCCCAGCTCCGCATCCCCAAGACAACTCAAACCGCTGAACTTCGGAATGAAATACAATCGGAAGTTGTGAGGACTGTAGATGGAGTGTAAGACTACCATATGAGTCTCTTCGATCTACCACTAACATCTTCCAGCTTTCTACTTGCTAAACTGCATATGAATCATTTGATGGGCTTTCTCACCGTCAGACAAATGAAGAACGCCCTTGTCCAACTACCCCGAGGGACAACCGGCCTTGAGCTAGCATATAATCAGGCGATGCTCAGGATTACATCCCAAGGAGACTCTAATCAAGGGGTATCTGACGACGACGATTCTCAGTCGAAAGTCGCGTTGAGGGCTCTATCTTGGCTCAGCTTCAGTAAGACAGCTCTGACGGCAGACCAGCTCGTACACGCGATTGGGACCAAGCCAGGAATGAAGGATCCCGACCGGGAAAACCTTATGGATCCGAACACCATCGACAGTTTATGTGCCGGGTTGGTTGCATTCGATCGAAACACAGGTATAATCCGTTTGGTACATCACACCACAAAGGCATACCTGCTAAAGAGTAGCCATCTTCAAGATGGTGAAGTCGAGATCGCAAAAATTACACTTACCTATCTTAGCTTTGACTCTTTCTCGACAGGCCGTTGCAGTCATGAATCGAGCTTCGTCCAGAGGGAAGAGCGATATCCTCTTTTTACCTACTGTGCCTTGTATTGGGGCGCACATCTCTCGCCGCTGCTTGAAAAGTCATCTGACTTACTCAGACTCACCTTGCAATTTTTGAAATTGGACACCAATGTTCGGGCGTCTGGCCAGGCCTTGATACTTGGCGTTTACAATTACTTCAAAAGGACTCTGATGGGTGAGACGCCAATCCCGTGGAGTCACTCGTTCCTATTGACAAAAGTTCACCTTGCTTGCTATTTTAATCTTCACACAATCATTGATCATTATATCAGCCAGAATGTGGAGCTCAATATCGTAGATTCTACGGGAAAGGTGCCTATTCTGTGGGCCATTGAGCAGGGACATATTGAAACAACACAGATACTCCTCAAGTCTGATTGCGTGGATATATGTTTCAAAGACCATGAAGGGAAGACTCTTTTGATGCATGCGACTATCGCCCAGCATGCTCAACTGGCTGAACTCCTCATTCTGCATGGTGCCTTCTGTGATGCCCGGGACAACAAGGGTCGCTCAGCTTTGGCTTACGCAGCCACCACTGGGCAAATTGCAATGATACAACTTCTGATCTCTCACAATGTTCAGCTTAACTTCACTCATGACGCGAAAGCGGTGAAACCTGTGGGTGCTGACGACATGTTTACTTCCCTCTTCGACGTCGCAGATGCCTTAGAAGAGGACGGTCCGGTCTTTCTTCTCGACGAGATTGTTGATCCTGTGGGCACTCCCCTCATAAATGCCATTTCTACTGGCCATAGGGAGGCAGCGATCCTGCTTCTTGAGAATGGCGCCGACCCAAATTACGCGAATTCAGAGGGCGACACACCCCTGTCAGCGGCAGTGGCAAGAAGGAATGAAGATTTGGTCAAGATACTACTTGATAGAGGAGCCACACTTGAAGAGTCTCCTTCGACACTTTACTATGCTATTGAGAATGGAGACTTGGGAATAGTACGTAGGTTTCTCGAGGCAGGTGCTGATCCAAATTGCGAATACTCACCGACCTCACTGCAACGATCGAATCCCTGGGTTACGTCAATGGAGCCTGTTACTGCTGAAGAGCTATCAGCCTTGTTCATGAATCTGGGCAAATCGCTTGTAACCGGAGTCAATACTTCCAACTTGCCAATTCTTACCGAAACTGGTCTCTCTCGTGCAACGCGATTGGGCCATGCGGAAGTGGTGCTTGAGTTGCTCAAGCACGGCGCAGATCCCAACCAACAAGACGGAAAGAAAGAGACTCCTCTATTCGTCGCATCCAAAAACGGACACACAGAGATCGTGCGGGTGCTCCTTGCAAACGGGGCAAATCCGAATATACAGAACAAGTACCATCAAACAGCCCTGTTTCCTGCATCAAGATGGGCTAAACCATTGATCGTGGCCCTTTTTCTCGATGCCGGTCTCTCAGTCAACTTACCAGACATTTCTGGAAGCACACCGCTGTTTTATGCGGTTGAAAGCGGATCTGAAGAGGTGGTGAAGCTACTATTGTCCAAAGGAGCCGATGTTGGCCAACTTAACGCCATGTTCGAGACTGCGCTATTCGGTGCAACGAAGTATGCCAACCCGGAACTATGCCAACTATTACTAGCGGAGGGAGCAGACCCGGAGCAGATGAACCTTCTTCAATGCACTCCTCTATTCAACATCGCCAACGGCATTTGCACATCTAGAGGGTCCGCCCCTCAACAGCTCTATCCCGGTAGTCATGACTTCGATGCTTCTGTCAAAGCTGCGATTTTGCTGATTGAAAACGGGGCCAATCCATGCCCGCAAGTCTTCGACCCAGAAGTGGAAGAAGTTCATGAGGTACTGCAGGCTTACATCGCCAACTTCAGCCAACCTATACGCCCCGCTGATAAATCCCCAGAGTTTACCCTCTTTGCCCGTGAGATATGGGGTGACTTTCTGAAATCCTTGACCGATGAAGATGTTTATACATTTCTTGAGCTTCTTTGCATGGGGCGAAGTGGGAATATTGAGCCTTGCGAAAAGGGACCCTTGTACTGGGTCTCAGTATCGGGATCTTGCGAGTTGGTTTCGAAGGTTCTTCAAACGAACGTTGATATTGAGGCCAGGAACTCAGGATTTCTTCAAGGAGCAGTAGAATCCGGGAATGCCGATGTCACAGACATGGTATTGAATGCCCTTGGGAAGGAGACAATTTCTTCACAGTCAACGGCCGCCCTTTTTGAAGCCTCAGCGGAGCGTGGCAACCTTGACGTGGTCAAGGCTCTATTCAGTCGGATTCCCGCCAACCCAGACATTGGGAAAGCTGTGATCGCCGCCGTTTGGAGTGGAAGTACTGAACTGGTCGACTTCTTCCTTACCAACGTAGATGACCCACTTCTAGTTGACGGAAAGGATATGAATGTCTTCCACCACGCCGTCGTTGCGAAGTCATATGCTATGCTTCAGTTCTTGTTGGACCAGGAGCCACTTCGAAAGCTTAATATTAATGCCAAAGGCCATCTTGGATTCTCCCCTCTACTTTGTGTGACTCAGATGCGTCACAATAACACGGAATTTGCAAGGCTCTTGCTGCAGAGGGGCGCTGACCCCAACAGTACGGAAAGTCCTAGACCTGACACTCAAGAGTCAATGTCTCAATGTGAATGAAATAACCAGTTGGAAAATTCCACAGAGGCATTAGACGAGGACAATCTCAGGGCCCGGGAGAATTGGGATCACTGGGTCCTTTTAGCCTTTGCGGCGCACAATGGGGCGGATGACTTGGTTGAACTGTTGCTTGAATACCATGCAGATCCAGATCCCATCAACCAATACGGTGTAAGACCCATATGCCTCGCCGCTCTCGATGGGCATGAGGCAGTCGTGAGAATGCTTCTTGATAAGAAGGTTGACCCGAACCAGGTTGAAGGCTCGAGTAAAGCACCCCTGTCATGGGCGCTTGAGCGACATTTAGATGCTTATAGATACAGTCCATCAAGAATAAGCGACTGGCCAGGCAGTCAAGCGGTACAGGCAACAGTCAAACTTCTGCTCGAGCGCGGTGCAGACCCTAACCCAGGCGATGGAACTTCCCCAATCTTAGCTGCCCTCAGGCTGTATTCGGAAGAATTGGTTTTGCTACTACTGAAGGCTGGAAGCAGCCCACATGTTCGTGATGTGTATGGGCGTACACCCCTTATCATTGCGACTGCTCTTGGAATGACACGCGTTGTTGCGGCTTTGCTGGAAATCCCAGATGAATGGACGAGCCCAGTAATTACGGATGTCTATGGCCGGTCAGCAATAACCGAAGCCACAAGAAGGAATAGAGTCCACATCCTGGAGCTACTGACTCGAGACTCAGAAGTGTATTCAGTGGCATCTAGCGACGCATCTGAGTGTGAGCGAGTCAACGTTCCAGAGAGACATCATGACACATGTAAGGTGTGCATGGTTCCCCTACTGGACGCCTCCAGTGATCATTGCTCTTGTGAGCAGTGCCCTTCATTTGTGATATGCAAAGATTGCAAAGACTGGGGTGTCACATGTTTGAAAACAGGGCATATAATGGAAGAGGGATATGGCGATAATTTGGAATGACTCTCGCTACCCTTTCAATTCTAGAGTTCTATGCAGGGTTAAATTTGAAGTAGTGGGACAAAAGACATTATGTAGATACTTATGAGTTTTTCCTTTCACCCGGCAGAACATGAGACTGCCATCCTTCGAACCGTACATACCATCGCAACCGAAATCCCTTAGCGGCCAGTTTGTCATGAGTTCCCTCACGGTCGGTCTTGGACCAAACCAGCCATCTAGTACTCGTTTCCTCCCCAATTTGTTTCCACATCTGTGCAAAGCTGGCTGGGCTGTGTAAGAAAATGGAGTAGTTAAGAGTTGGCACCCCCCACAGCCCAGCATCATCCCTCCCAAATTGGACACCGGTGATCAAGTCATCCTCTTGCAGAGAAAGAAGGTCAATCATGCATTTCGCAACTCTAACCTGTCCACCTGTCCATTCCAATCCCATAAATGCAGGAAGTAGCCAGAGTTTATGATATGTATGTGGCCGGCTAACTGGACAAGCTTTGCACTAGGTTTCAAGAAATCATCAACCAGAAATGTGGACTTCAAGGTGGCCCTATCCCGAAAAAGATCAAACCCGAGTTCTATGAATTCCTCCTCTTTGTCTAAGCCGAAAATGTTCTCTGCTGGGGCGCCATCGTACACCAGACGACGAATATCCTGGCCAAAACCACAGCCCAGGTCTAGCATGATCGAGGACATTTTGAGGTGGCTTATGATTTCCTCATAAACTGGAGATCTGGATAGATCAAAATCAACAAACGATAGCATACCAAAGCACGGATATTGCACTCTGTCCCACCCGGCTTTTGCCTACCCATTAATTAGCTCCCGTACCTGAGGACGGGTTAAATACAATCGTACTATCCGTTTGACATGGGACTCCAAATTTTCCGATGCTTCGTCTTGGATGTAGCTGCAGAGGAAAACTTTCGTCCCCACGGGCAGGTCTTTCCAGGCGTGGCGATCCAAGTCCCAAACTGGGCGTTCTGTAACCCGATGGGACATGCTGTTTCCTTGGTAATGGTCTTGTGTTGAAAGAGCTCCCTTTTCAAGCAACGTTGGGCCTAAGTGACGGTGCTCCCTGCCTTGCAGTGTGATTTGGTAGAAATGAATTCACCAGGTCTCCGGAGAGTCTGGGAGATCAGTCCGACCCGTATGTGTCACGATACGACATCTGGATCATATTTAAGTCAGACCAAATAGGCAAAAGATGGAATGATGTAAGGTTTATGATAACTACGGAGGCCGACGTCACAGTGCAGAAGTGTGCTCCTAGAACGGTGAGCTGCATGTATCTGGAGCTTAGTTGCAACTCAATGTTGTCTGAGAGTTGTCCATCCCGTAACATGATATATTAGTAATAGGATATACACATAGAGAAGGAAGCGAACTCTAAATTTTAAGTTATGATGGCATAATGCAGCAGTGTTTCCGGAAAAAGAAGGAGGCATATATTCGGCCGGTTGGGACGCCGAGCGCGTCTGATTTCCATCAGGCAGACATTTGCTGTATGATGGACCCAAGGAGGCAGTGCCAGACTACCTTGACCGTTCCGGGTTTAAACTGCATCATTAGTCAACCCAGCCGAATTCCTCATAGAGAATATCACAACAACCACATGGTTAAACAGCGCATCAGAGCTGCCTGTACAGCGCTTGGGGCCATTTCGAGGCTTGTTGACAGATGCTCTTGAGACGGTCGCCCTTCCGGCACAGCTTCTGGATTCTCCTGTGTCATTTGGCCAGACACCGGGAATTTGGACAAAATGGAAAGTTACGACAAAGCGCACAATGGTGGTATGTATAAGAGATATCCAGTCGCTTATTGGAATCGGTTGTACGATTGCCGTGCTGGCTGCCATCCTTGGATGGGTATTTTGGCACTTGGATGGATCCCTTGCAGGAATCCGTTCCCGGCAAGGAAGCCTCTGGGATGCTACGGGTCTTTATGGGTATCTGATGTTGATCAGCGAGATCTGTCGATTGTTAGGAGATGTAAAATACTTTGACCACGAACGGAGGGAACAGCTCGTTGGTCCCGTCATCTTCATTCTCAGTCGCCGAGCAGTGAAGCTAATACTGGAGGACCTCAGCTTGCCGACGTTGTTCACTCTCATATACTATCCCATGGTGGGCTACCGAGACAGCAAATCGCAAGTCTTCTTCTTCTGGTTAATGATGTTTCTTACGCATATCAATGCTGTTGGGTTTGCCACTGTATCTGTCGCCACGACTCGAAACTTTTACGGAGCTATATTCATAGGGAATATGTACTTCACGTTGCAGACAGCGGCCTCGGGGTACTTTTTGCAGGCGAATCAGATACCGCTATATGTGCAGTGGCTGAAATGGTTAACGACAACGTTTTATACCTTCAGCGCCATTTGTACCCTTGAATATGTTGGATACAATGGTTCCAATCCCGGGTATCTATACGATTGCCCCTATTCTCATGATGTGCGTGATCCTCAATGCAAAGAGTACACGGGTGCCTTTATCATGGACAGCCTATGGCTTCCAAGTGGTGGGATCTGGAAACATGTTCTAGTCTTGTGCGCATTTGCTATATTTTATCAAGGCTCTGCGATTGCGATATTCCGTGTTAAAACAGCTGGCCGACTTTGGTACGTGGCAGGCGCAGAAAATAAGGGAAGCGAAGCATCTCCACGCGAGAAGCCATCTGTTCCTTATCCAACTCAATCCCACCACAGCTATATACAATTTCATGAGCTAGAGCTCTACAAGACATATTCGCCGACATGGACACGGCCTAGGCGAAGATCGGCTCGGATCATTGGTCCAGTATCACTCTTTTTTCGCTCCGGAAGACTGAATGTAATTATGGGGGCTTCGGGAAGCGGCAAGACGACCTTACTGAATGCCCTAGCTGGGAGACTCGCCACATCTTTGAGGTCATCGTGGGAGTCCCTGGGATCTATTACATTGAAGGCTCTCCAATAAGCAGCCAGAAACTCCGTGGTTTAGTATCATATGTTCCGCAGGATGACTATAATCTTCTTCCCACTCTGACAGTTCGAGAAACATTGTACTTTGCTACTGAATTGAGATGTTCTGGGTCCGTCCCCTCACACGAGCGGAAAAGGCGGGTGGAGGACATGGTCAAGCGGTTTGGGTTAGAATCCTGCGCCAATACGATTGTGGGATCGACCTCCAATAAAGAAATCAACGGTGGTGAGAAGCGACGCCTGTCAATAGCCTGTGAAGTCGTAACAGAACCAAGAGTGCTGGTTCTTGACGAGCCAACCTCTGGCCTGGACTCGCGTACTGCTCTCTCCGTTCTTGAGCTGCTTCATCAACTATCGTCCGATGGATGTACCGTCATCCTCTCCATTCATCAACCATCCTCCGCCATGTGGGCACTGATTTCGGCCTGTCTCCTTCTCAGCCCGGACGGCCGTCCCGTGTACGCGGCGGATGCGAGCCAGATGGCTTCCTACTTTGACTGTCTCGGATACACCTGTCCCCATACCGCAAGCCTGGCTGACTTCGTTATTGATATAACAGCTGGCTCTTCTTCTCGGGAATTAGAAAGCCTAATAGATAAGTGGACGCATTGGCAGTCATCAGAAATGTCGACAGCTTCAGAAACCCCTACCCTCTGGCATCTTGACCCCTCTGGCCCCCAAACCAAATGCCGCCGCTTCATTCCTACTACCCGCGTCCTCCTGCACCGCGCCTACCTCAACATGCTCCGCAGCCCTCTCTCTTTGTTCGTGCGGCTTAGCCAATGCCCAGGTATGGGTCTTATCTGGACCATATTCGTGGCGCCCCTGCACAAAGACTACAATTCGATCCAGACACGTATGGGCCTCATGATACAGTACGGCCCGGTAGCATTCATCGGCATGCTCCAGAACATCGCGACCTTTCCAGCCGAGCGAGATCTCTTCGAGCTTGAATCCTCCATGCACTTGTACGGTGCTACAGCCTTCCTCACCCAATACACGGCCATCGAACTCCCTTTGGAGATAATTGCAGCCGGAATTTTCAGCATTCTCTTTGCCTACGCCGCGCAGCTAGGTCCCACAGCGACTGAGCTCGGCGTCTGCTTCTTGACTGCAGTGTGTACGCTTAACACCGGCGAGTCTTTGAGTAATGCTCGCGTGTCTCGCTTTTGGACGGAACCTCAGCCTGGCTGTGAACTGCACGTCGGCGTTGTTGTCTATATTTACTATGCTTGGGGGGACGATGAGTCTGAGTCCACCGCGCATTTTGCAGTGGTTTAATCATATCTCGCCTGTCAAATATGCTATTGATAATCTGGCGTACTACTGTCTGACTGGCTTGGAGCTGCAGTGTACGGATAGTCAGCGTCGGGCGGATGGGTCGTGTCCTCTTCAGACCGGGGAGCAGGCTTTAAAACTTTATGACTTGGATACAGATCATCCGGAGATTAGACTGGTTGCTGGTGTAGTGCTGATGGTGGGGTATCGGCTGTTAGTGTGGGTTGTGTTGATGCTGCAGGTTAGGTGTCGGAATGGGTTCGGTTATCAAAGGTGGGTAAAGGTCAGGACGAGGCGTGAGAACTAGGGGTACCTTTATGGAGTGACTATGCAATGCTATGGCCTCAAGTGACGCAATTGACGAGTCTAAAGTTACCTTCTTGGAGGATGAATAGAAAATAATCTCGTAAAGTCGAATTAACGCTTCAATAAAGCTGTGAATGTTCAACAGGTACACTTTTTCTTCTCTGACTTTGTTGAAGTTTGGCAAAGATATGAACGTCGCCAGACCATGGTATCAGAGCATTCGAGGACCTGAACATCATTTCTGCCATTCTACCCCTTCCAGTTGAAGAAGGCGATTTACAGTGGAAGGGCCCTATGCACTAGCACATCCGAAAAATTTTCACCACACTCTGGTGATCATACTCTGCCGCCCAATCCTGAGGTGTGCGCCCATTTACATCCCTGGCGCTAACATCTGCATTTCCCGTAGCAATGAGGAGCTTTATCACAGCCTCGTTGCCATTCTCCGCTGCCCAAGACAGCGGCGTACGACCCTCCGAATCTCTGCTGTTGACAACCACCTCACCAGTAGCGAGCAGGAGTTTTACCACTATGTCATGACCCTCCCACGCCGCCCAAGAAAGGGGAGTACGACCCCTTATGCTTTTCGATTCAACATCTACCTTTCCCGTAGCAAGCAGAAGTTCAACCACTTCCTCGTGGCCTTCCCCAGCAGCCCACGAAAGCGGTGACCTGCCATATCTCGGATCCCTTACATCAACATCCACCTCCCGGGTAGAAAGAAGCAGCTTAACCACTGCCTCGTGGCCTTCCCCAGCAGCCCAGGAAAGCGGCTCCCTACCATATCTTCGATCTCTTATGTTAACATCAACCTGTCCAGTAGCAAGCAATCGCTTCACAATTCCCTCACAACCTTCTATTGCTGCCAAAAGCAGAGGAGTACCGTTATCGGAGTCCTTGCAGTCAACTTCTACCTTTCCTGTATCGAGAAGGCGCCTTACTACTGCTTCGTAGCCTTCCCTTGCTGCCCAGGATATTGGGGTCTTGCCCCTTGAATCCTTGTTATTGACATCAACCTCTCCAGTAGCAAGGACGATTTTTACCACTGCCTCGTGGCCAAACTGTGCTGCCAACGACAGGGGACTATTTCCAGATGAATCTCTGGAGTCGATGTCGGCCTTTCCTGTAGCAAGTAGAAGGCGAACTATTCTCTCGTGGCCATTCTCAGCTGCCAGTGCTAGCGGCGTACTGCCAGGCACATCCTTCGAATCGATGTCCACATCTTCACGGATTAGGAGCTTCACCACTTCGTCGTGACCATTCTGAGCTGCTAATGACAGTGGGCTTCGGCCAATTGAGTTCCTCGAGTCGATGTCCACTTCCTCTGCGGCAAGCAGAAGCTTCACAACTGCCACGTGGCCACGTTCCGCTGCCCATGATAATGGTGTCTGATCGTAATCCGAATCCTTTGAGTTAAGGTTTGCTTTTCCTGTAGGAAGAATGGACTTAACCACGCCGATAAGCCCCATGGATGATGCAATCAAAAGTGATGAAGTGCTGTCAGGAATATTATCTGTTTTGACAGCATAAATCCTCGACCATGTTTGAAATATATCCGACCATGGTTCGCAAAGTAACTTCGCGCGGTCTATTAGCGGGTCTTCGTCTGGAATGCAAGCTTGACGGAAATGAGTGTCCCAGTAAGATGATGAGTACTCTAGCATACATTTCTGAGGAAAGTTTTCTGGATCAAGAGATATACAGGAAATGCATATTCCCGCAAGGATCCGGTTCGATTCACCTGGAAGGAGTGAATACTTCCACCCTGTTGTGGGTTGGGAGAGGGTTTTGTCCAGGATAGAGTTGTTGTCCCGAACCAAAAACTCTTTCGCCGTCTGATGCAGAAGATAGACCTTGTCATCCAGAATGATCACAAAGAGCCCGCAAAGGTCTCTTAGGGTCTTTTTGAAGCGATGCGTTGGCTCCATGTTATCAACTATATCTGTTGGGGCTTGATAGCCTGCGCTGAGTGCTAGGGCCAGAGATAGTTCTTCCAAGGAAAGAGGTCGCATAGCTGCCGTAATAATATGGAGAGTTATCTTAGCCTTTTCCTTATCTGGACTTCGATCCAAGATTCTCTCATAGGCACAGTCAACGGTGGTGGGTAGGTCACTCAGTATCCGATGGACTTTACCTTTTGAGAACTCCGGGGTATTCTCGAGGACATCTAATATCAGACTCACCCACAGATAAGTTCGATTTTGAACCGCAGTAAGCCTGTCTATGAGCATTGTGCATTCCTCCTTCATCAGCGATCTTTGCTTGCTGATGTCCTGCACTCTTTTTCGGATGACAAGATTTATTTCATGAGATATCTGCTCAGCCTCTTCCCCGTCGTCACCACTTAAGTGGATGGTGGGTGATTCTGTGATAAGAGGGGAGAATCCACGCCGTATATGCTCATATGGTCTACTTGTAATCAAGAACTTCAGTTTGCTATTCTTGTGGGTGTTTGCATAAAAGTCGTTGACAGCGTTGATGAGCCGGCTCCGGTCCTCGTCATGGCATTCGTCTAAGGCATCAAGGAGACAATATATTTCTGCCGCCTTTGGATCGGTCGAAACAGACATGAGTATACTCCACAGCTCTGAGAATGACTGAGTAAGCTTGCTACTGTCAGTGTCCGCTTTATCCAGTATTGCGTCGTGCAAAAGGTGAGGCTGCGCTATGAATAGCTGCCTTAATATGACTGAAAGCGCGCTTGTTGCGCTCTTCTGGTCGGTAAAGTCATCTTTAAAGAAGAAATAGCAGACTGTTCGCTTATCATTGCTGACAAGAACCTCATCCACCAGATATCGAGTTAAGACTGACTTGCCACATCCTGGATCAGCCGACACCCATAGTAGACTTGAGAGGCCATTTCCTGAACTCCCTTGCCAGGCATGGAATTTCTCATGCCCTATGAACCATTCACAGGTTCCAAGGACACGCTTGCTGTTTCGGTCTTTTCGGTCCTTATAGGGACAGGTGTAGAGCAGGTTGAGGAATCGTTTCACCTTCTCATCTCGATCGGATGTAGCTGTCCATATGTTGCGATTGTGTAAGGCCTCCAATATTCTTTTGTACTTGTCCTGAAGCTCTTCGTATCTTTGCATTGATCCTGCATCTGCAATAACGGAAGTAGTTCGACCTAGTGTGATCTGGTATCTCTCAAATTCTTGCAGCAGGTTAGCCCAGCCGTCGCGGTTAAGGACATCTCTCCAGAATTGGTATGCTCGAGGTCTGTGTAAATAGCAGAGCGCTCGGGCCTGGAATTCCAGTATCTTTGAGTAAAATGAAATCATAGTTTTCCGAAGGTCATCAAGGAGGCCAATGTTCTGTTTTGTGTCCGAGTGCAGATAAAGGCGCTCCATTACATGCAATCGGCAAATTAACTCAGAAATAGATTCTAATCCTTGCAGGAGATGGGAATGCTGCTCTGCTGCTTGGATGACCGTCTAAACATCGTTAGACAATAGGCCATTTGTTGCCAGGAATAGTACTAAACCAGTGCTCACCGTAAAGCAGGCCATTATTCCAGCACAGGCAAGTGAGGCTGGGAGACTTGCATTTGCCGCAGTAGTCACAATATCTTTCACTGCCAGGATGTTTTGGAACGCCTTGGTAAGTTGGTCCCGGACGATGATGGTATGGGTTCCTAGGTGTATCATCCACTTCTTCTCCTCCACCAGATTCGCCCTGGTCTTAAGAAAGTCAGATAGTCGCTCATGGAGGGACGAATCCACTGGTTGAAATTTCAAATCATAATCGGACTGCAGTATTTCAATGGAGGCTGTCATGATCGTATCCAGTTCACTGTTGTGTCTCATTTTCTGCTCAGCTTGGATCCAGAGATCGTCAGATGGAGGGGCAGGTCTATCAAGATACTCTTGTCTAGACACCAGGCCTTCTGATATACTATTGATCACTCTGTTTGGGGCACTGCTTCTGGTAGACGGTGTTCTCTTCTCATGTCGTCGTCTTCTGAGCCACGAGGACTTCGCTTTATAGAAGAGGTCGTGCATTTTTTGGCTGCCTTTCGCGGCTTGTCCGCCTCAAAGGGGCGATTTTAATAGGTCGACTGAAATGAGCTTGCACGGTTCATCCAGTCTTGATGCTGCGAATGCCCTACCATGTCCTTGACCAATGCCCCGCCTTGAGAAGTGAGTTGGCGCAGCAGGGAAATGGCGGCCATAATCAACCAATCAAGCACTATGATGGTACAGGATTAACGCTAACCGCTGCACCAAGCCAGATTGGGCTAGCCTTTTTGGTGTCTCATTTGATAGTGAAAAATCAAGTCAACATGTGCTCTAACGCGCGTTTGTAAGGACAATGGGGTGGTATAAAGTCCTCGGAATGGATATGCTCATCAGGTTCTCAACGTTGATGAGGGACCTGGGCGTTGCTATGTTGCCAGACAGCTTTGTTTCGGAAATTGCTTACAACGTGCATTATTTAATTCAAATGAATTGATGGTTGTTTTTGATTAGGACATAAACCGTACTGTGCCCTCAGGATTTCTTAATTCATACTGAGTACGCAGCTACCCTGATCAGGAAAAAGTAGGTAATTGTCCCGTGTACCATCACTCAGCCACTCATAGGACCCATATACATCACAAATTGAATACACACAGAAAGCGGAAGAGAACAGATTTCCCCCGTATTCCCCAGCGACAAGACCGGATACACTCAAATCATGGCTCTGTGCTAAAGATACAACAGATCAAAATTAGTACGCTCATCTCACGTCATAATGTTTAAAGGGAATTTACCCCAGTCCATCGCCTAGCAACTACAGAACGGGGCGGGATCACCCAGTGGCCAGGCGCAGCATCCAGCTCCACACTGGGCAGCCTTTACCCATCGTGCGCCGTTACAGATTGCCACGGCGCCAAAGTCGTCGGTGCAGTCGTAAGTGCTGCTACCGCTGCAGGGGCCCCCGATGGTTGCGGTTCCATGAGCAGAGGCGAGAAGTGTGGTAACGACGGTAAAGGTGAGGGCTGAAAAGAGTTGCATTTTGGTGATGTTTCTCGGTTCGAATCAGATATTCTGGAACTTGCTGAGGATATTGATGATGCGATAATTTGGGTGTGAAGTAGGTAGTCAGGTTGGCGGGTTGAGGTGGTATATATATAGCTCGATGGACTAACTGTAGTTATGTAGTTGACAAGGCTCGGATTGTGCTGGTGTTGGTTACGAGTGCTCGTACAATTCTCATGAGGTATCTCTTGGATATGACTGGACAAGAGTGCGAGGCGTCCAAGTTGTTGTTCGATAAAGCCCCATGTTGAAGGCAACACATTGTTGGACAGAATCATAGCCACTCTTGGCTCCATGCAAAACCGCAGCTATCCAATGAACTTGTGCCGGATACCCCGGGTAGAGCCTGGTAGCTGGGGTATGGCTCACTGACTGAGATCTAGTTAAGTCGGTGCAGCTATAGACGCACTCGCTGCAGTAGGCTTACGTCATCTAGAGGTATGCCATGATTGATTTGCCAGCTATGCGCAAGAGTACGCTGTAGTCGCCATGGAATCTTGGAAACTTACCGTGTTGATTAGCCGCGCGAGCATGCTGTCCCTTCAGTTATGGGATTAAGCAGGGCTCAGAAGAAGCCATCGGGAGCTACCAAGCATAATAGCTTTTGAATAAAGTTGCACGTTAGGTAGGTATAGTCTTTAGCCTAGTGCAGGTCACTTTCAGCTATCATATCTCTTGCTTATTCCCCGCCTTCGGATACGAGATTTATATGCAGGGCCATGATCTTCCCGTGTTCGCGTGTAAGGCCTCCCACTGATCGACATAACCGGAGCTTTGTTTTGCGGAGTGAGAACATTGACCATGAACGTACTATGCATTCGACGGTGGCCTAGTCAGTCCGAAAGGTGCAAAGGGACGATCGGATCTGATTCATCATGACACTCGAATCCTACGAAGCATTACTTGACTCTCAATGAGACTGTGTGGATACGAGGTGTGAGCTGCAAACACTTCCTAGCCTTGATGGCTGGGATGAGGACTTTTCTTCCGTCAAGGCACATGGGACTCCCTGACAGATCAACTCTTTTTAAGACTCCGGAGACTAGCAGCCTTAGGCCCCCAATGAGCTGGTGCCTGAGGCGAGAAGGATCTGCTATTTCCAGCAAATTTGTCAAGGCGGTATGGTTCTGCCCAATATTTGCGAGTAGCTGCCTGAAATTTGAGGGCGGGATAGTTCCTCGCCGACCTTCCTCTTTTGGACTGTGTTGCCCTTTGTTTCGATTTGATGAGCACCGCCCCTAAGGACGTGAATAATCCGAACTGCTGCTTGGAATTCTGCTGAGGAACCATGCAGGTGACAAGTACCATAAGTGAAACCAGTAAGGATGGTCCGCACATTCGGCACATAATAACCCGTGATGAATGCGGGGTGAAGACCCTGAAAGGATTTCTGTCGGGGAAGCGATAGCCCGTGCACCAATTGCCGTGCCGGATAGATGGAGGTGCCCACATCCCGATCCACTGACCGACAGCTGAATCATGTCTACAGCTGGGGTAAAGCTGGTGCCTGATGAGGGGATTTTATTAGCCAGGGTCCTTATATGACTGGAAGTGCTAGAGGCAGCCGGCAGTTGCCAACCCTTGACAGCTACGGGTGCAAAATGTCTGGGAAGCAATTGACCATCTTCACATGCAGCAGCTTGCTGTTCGCGTCACTCATAGGTGCCCAAAGGCGCGTATAAACATTCGACCATTACAACTCAGTTATTGCTGACAGAAGTGATAGGGAGGCTGTCGTGCCCCCCACCCGATATGAAATTGGTTCTGGATTTACGAACTACACCGGTTATGGGAATGCATCCTGCTTCACACTTGACCAGAAGAGCCCATTAGTTACCCTAGACTACGGTACCGAGGTTGGAGGCTTCCCCTTATTCCATGTGGACTTTCTGTCAACTGCAGTCCAGCTCGAGGCCAAATACACTGAATCCAAAACTGGTCTTGATGAGCCGTTTGGTGATGGGCCATGGACCTTTTCCAATGGCCTTTCCAACACCTTCCGTGTCGAAACTTTCAATGTCAACTCTCCTGGGACGGTGGAGTCGTTCTTCATTCAAGGGGGTCTTCGCTGGCAGAACCTCAAGCTTCTCACGGAAGGCAGTGTCCGCATATGCCAAGCGGGTATCAGATCTCAAAATGATCGCACTGCGGTGGACAAGCTGCCTGGATACTTCGAAAGCTCGAATAATCTGTATAATGAAATCTGGGCCTTGGGGCCACGTACAGTCCAGCAAGCATGCATTGCTGCAGATACCGCACCGTCGACATGGGAAGTCACTGGAGACGGAGTGTATCTTCGTGGACAGCAGCCTGCCCAATCGGTGGCAGGAGCCTCCTTTAGCAACTACACCATGACCTTCCAGACCAATATTGTCCGTGGAGGAACAGGATGGAAGGTTGCCACGGGTGTGGGTGGCTTTGGTCCTTACTTTGTTCTTACCAGTGAATATCCTGTTGGCTCGACGTTTGTCAATACAAACCGAACCATTGTCCCCCCAAACTCACTAGCTGTGGGTTACGGGTGGAACTTGGTGAATCAGACCTCGCTCACCACCGGAAAAGTGAACCATTATTCCTTGCCTTTCAACATCAAGGAAGGGCAGTGGTATGAGATTTCAACCTCCATTAATGCGACCGGATACGGCGTTACTATCAATGGAACTGAAATATTCGTGGCACTGGATGACCTGCAAATCGTAGCTGGCACTACTGGCTCCTCTGGCAGTCTGACAGGCGGTACCTGGGGTTTTGGGCCATATCAGGACCAAATTGCGCTTGTCAAGGATGTTACGGTTCATGCGCAGAATGGTACTATGCTGTACCAGAATCCTATGACGCTCAGCTCCGTCCTCGAAGAATATGGAGTGATGGCTAATAAGCACTCCGTCTGTCTGGACGGCGCGAAAAGAGACCGCCTTGTCTGGAGTGGTGATTTTGTACACACGTATCGCGTCATCCAGTCCAGCACCTATCGCTCGGATTTATAACCGGATCACTAGAATATTGGATTGGCCGTCAGGCACCGGACTCGTCGCAGTACGCTGGCTATTTCAGCATGTCACCAGCGATAGGCCAGTCGGCGAAATATGTCGACACGTATGCTTCTTTTGGGCTTCTCGATTACCAGCTTTTCCTTCTCAACGTATTCGCCGGTCACTACAGAAATTCTGGCGACAAGGCGTTCGTAACCAAGCATTGGGCGAAGATCAAGAAGGGCGTGGAAGCTATCCTGCCCTTGATAGATGATCAATCTGGACTGGCGGTCGCTACCGACATCGGGGCATTCTTCTCTGGATCCGACAATGGTACTGCAGTATCGGCACTTCTTGCCCACACACTCGACCAGATGGCCGATGTTGCATCCGCAATGAATGAGACAGATGTCGCGACAACTTGGACTCGCTCGGCGACTTCAGTCAAAGCTGCGATCCGCCAACAGCTCTGGAACCACCGCCTTGGATACTACGCTACCGACTTGAGTGACCCGACCGAGCAGTCTATCACCGGTAGCGCCTGGGCTATTCTGGCGGGAGTCGCCAACGCCACGCAAGCAGAATCCTCGCTCGCGGCGTTATCATCACTCCGGCTTGGTATCGGCTACAAAACGACGAGCTCCGTTGCCAACGCATCATCGACTAATCTTGCGCCTTTCCTCACTGGCTTCCTCCTAGAAGCGATTATGCAGGAAAGTCGCAATAGCCCCAGTTCAAGCAAAGCGAGGACGACAGCTATTGGCGTGCTCCTCGACCAGCTCTGGGCTGCGATGGTGACCCAAAATGAATACTATACTGGCACGACCTGGGAATATCTTTACCCTGATGGCCGACCCGGGCTTGACTTCTATACGTCGCATGCGCACCCCTGGGCAGCTGCGCCGACGTATGTTTTCTCGGAATATGTACTTGGTGTTCAGGCGACTTCGGCTGGGTTTTCTGAGTGGGAGTTTCGCCCAGCGATGCTGGATGTAAATTTGTCCTGGGCGCGGGGAAGAGTGCCTACTCCTCAGGGGCCGATCCAAGCTAGTTGGCAGTTGAATGAAACGAGCGTGCAGTTGAGCGTGTGTGGGCCTAGTGGTACAGAGGGGGTTGTCAGGGTGCCATTTGCTATTAAATCCTATTCCGTGGATGGGGAACAACAAACAAATGACAAGGACGGCTTGGAAGTTCAAGTGTCCGGAGGATCATGTACTGATATCCATGCTGTGAGAGGGTGAGCCTATCTCGAGACAATTTCGAGATTTGTACATACCGTATTGTCGCTCATAATGTTAATGACTGCACATATAAGAAACATTCAATATGTAACGAACTGTTGTCACAAGTCATGATAAAATGCAGAAAATCGCTCGCTCTCCCGACTCTGAACAGATGCCACGAGTGGGGTTCGTCCCCGCAAAACCTAAATTAATAGCTAATTTCTCGCCTTTACCCCAGCCCAGCAATGCAGCCAATCGCAAGCCTGATTCGATGCGGTCTGAGGGCCACGCGGCTGGCCATGGCATATCCGCCTGCCTTGTGGCGTTCCATAACCAACAGTCGTCGAGAAACCCTGGTCTGGCTTCGGCTTGGGCCACTCCCTATGGATTATTCGCCTTTTTCCAACAGCTCTCGAGCCTTCTGATCAAGCACATGGCTTGTTTCTCGGCTTTGATTATCCCGAAGCCCCAGAAGCTTGGGCTTCTCCAGATGCAGGTTGAATAAAAGGGCGCGCTGTCCCTAGGGCTGCGTTGTGGTCGCTGCATTTCAGGTGTATAGCTAACCCCTTTTCTTCCATTATCCGCTCTACTGTTCCTCCTTCCGCGATAGCCCAACATGTGGCGACGCCGCATCACGATCGATGACCAGGCCATCACCGATGGTTCGGGCATTACGCTCAAGCAATCTCTTTTTCCTAATTTTCTAGGTCTGGTGTCCCCACCATCGTAAGCGATTCCATGATCAGCTAACATCTGGTCCAATTAGTGACCATCCTATTCTTCCTCTGGGGATTTGCTTACGGCCTCCTCGATACCCTCAACTCCCACTTCCAAGATGAACTCAATATCACCGCGAGTATGTCATCAGGCTTATCCGCCGCGTACTTTGGTGCATACTTTCTCTGCCCCCTAACAGTCTCTGGGTGGATTCTCCGCCGATTCGGTTTCCGCGTGACATTCATGACTGGGTAAGACCACCACAACCCTTTCATCGCCCACAACTAACCCTAACTGTGAAAGCCTATGCGTCATGACAATCGGCTGCCTCCTCTTCTGGCCCAGCGGCGTCAAAGCCTCCTTCGGGGGTTTCTGCGGCAGCATGTTCGTTGTCGGCACCGGCCTCTCCACTCTCGAAACCGGAGCCGACAATTTCCTCGCCATCTGCGGTCCCCCTCGATACTCCGAGATCCGACTCAACCTGGCGCAGGGTATCCAAGGCGTGGGAACCTTCGTAGCCCCACTTCTCGCCTCACGCGTCTTCTTCGCCAACACCGTCGACACACAACAGGGACTGAAGAACGTGCAATGGGTGTACCTGGGTGTCGCATGCTTCGTGGCCCTGCTTGTCCCACTCTTCTATATCGCGCCCATGCCGGAGGTCACCGATGCGGATATGGGTCTGCAGGAGCGGGACATTTCCGAGACGGATGTTGGGCCGTTCAAAAAACAGTACAATTTGTTCCTTGGGGTATGGAGTGAGTTCTGCTATACCGGGGCGCAGGTGGCTGTTGCAAACTACTTTATCAATTTCGCCGAGGAGGCGGGGTATAGTGCTTCCAAGTCGTGTATGTCTTTGTCCTCCTTTTCTTTCTTGCTTGAGTGAAAATCTCTTCTAACATCTCGTCAGCCGACCTCCTCGCCGTCGGCCAGGGCCTATATACCTTCATGCGCTTCGTCTCCAGCGGACTCATCACCATCGGAGTAAAACCCCGATACATCCTAGCCACATACCTGGGGCTTTGCTTTATATTCGGTGTCGCCGCAACCACCACGTCTGGTCCAACCAGTGTCGCTATGTTGATCCTCGTCCTGTGCTTTGAAAGTGTACGTCTCCCAACATTTTAAGCCCAACACTACCCACCCCTACTAATATGGTAAATACAGGCCTGCTTCGCCACAATCTTCACCCTCGCCCTACGCGGTCTAGGCCATCACACCAAACGCGGTGGCAGCATGCTAGTAGCCGCTATCTCCGGTGGAGCTGCCATCCCGCCCATGACTGGGGCTGTGGCGACGCATACGGGTAACTTTCACAAAGCGATGGCGATTCCAACGGCGTTTTATGTACTCGCGTGGATATTCCCGATATATGCGAACACGGTAAGTCGGAAGCTGTTGGATGGTCATCGGACGACGGATGTGAATGTTTCCGGGGAGAAGAAGGTTGTGGATGGCCATGATGAGGTGGAGGTGGAATTGCAGGCGGAGGATGGGAAGGGTGGGACGGAAAGGGTGGAGAATATCAATGCTGCGTAGGGGATGCAGTCCTGTGTCAGGCTACGTTGCAAGTCCGCAGGGGTGAAATCAAGACGAGAATTTGCCTTGCATCCTATTAGCCCGATGCATGGCATCTTTGTACTCCCCCTCCGATTTGATTCCACCCGGCCAAAAGGGCTCGGTGAGATAACTCATTGAGTTCCCGCTCGGATAAAATGGACCAATGCGGTGGTTTGGTACCCTGATGCTTCGAGTTGAAGTGCCAATTGAGGCGCATATTCTGTTCGCACCCAACGGGCTTTTCGACATTCAGATTTCTTTCAAATAGAGGTCAAGTTGGCTGGTTATCAAGTCTTTTACTTCGTCGCTAAGTGCTATGTAGACTTCATCGAGCTCCCTGCCTGGCACACGGGTCATCAAAATCGAAACTGGTGCCGGGGGAGTAACCGGATGATCCCCAAAGCAAATGACTTTGGGAACTGGGAGGCCTGCTTTTCCAGCAACACTTCTTCTAGTTGGGTACTGTCGAACTATTTTGATCCGAAAGGAGGCTCAGCGACCTGGATGTTGAAAGGAATTCCGACCCAGTCACAGTATGAGTGAGAGAATGATTTCAGATAATAATGGACGATGCTCCAAAGGCGACGAATGAGGGGGTGATTTGGCTTGGAAGTGGATGGTAGCTAGTAGTTGCTTGGGACTGCTGGAATATTTTTGGGCTAGGTAAAGCCTGGGCGAAGGATACGGAATATCAGCCATCGCGGCATTTCAGCTGTTGTTTGCTGAACAGCTGTTGAGGGATGGAGGAAAGAACACTGGCTGTCGACTTGGGCTGGACCTGGCTGTTACATCTTGATAAATGATGAAGGCGGTTCGACACATATAAATAATACAATATGGATTTGTGCAACATTCACTGATATGCATCATGGGGATTAACCTCACGTGATTTCTGTGATTTCCTGTGAAGCCGTACAGCTTCCTATTTGGGTAAGTGCTCGCTATAAGGAGCGGTACCAATCAGTCCACCTTCTTATTGTCATGTTTCTTTTATTGCGGTTCAACTACTATTGGGCACATCTATCTCTTATCTCTATACTAGTACCTAGACTAATCATCATCATAATCAGCCCTGATCGGCCGATGCTTATCGCAACTGTATCTGACCCTGAACCCCGCACGGTACATTGTGCACCATTGATCTCCAAATCACCTTAACCCCTCATCTGCTGTCAAACCCATTCCCTCTTAACACTCCCTATACCCCAGAATTTTAACAACCACCAGTCTCTCCACAGTTGATACAGACTATCAACACCATGACCTCCCAGTCAAACAGTTCCCCACCCACGGATCTAGACAACGCTCTGACCCACTACACCAATGTCTATCGCGCCAAGAACCCCAAATCATTCGAAGTCATTCAATCCGCCAGCAACAGTATCCCCAGCGGCACATCGCGCGGCGTACTCATTCACGCCCCGCACCCGCTCGTCTTTCGCGGCGGAGATGGCTGCTATCTCACCTCGCTAGACGGAGATGAATACCTCGACTTGTCTCCGAATACACCGCAGGAATGTTCGGGCACTCGCATCCGGCCATCATTGAAGCCATCCACAGCGTCACACAGCAAGGGTTCACGCTGGGAGGTGTGAACAGCAAAGAAAGCGAGCTAGCTCAGATTCTCGTCTCGCGGTTTCCAAGCATAGACGCAATCCGATTCTGTAATTCGGGTACGGAGGCGAATATGTTTTCGCTGGGGGTTGCTGTCGCATACACGGGGAGAAGCAAGGTACTCCCGCATACCCTTGTCAGCTGAGCTGGATTAAAGCTAAAACGTCCCCAGATACTCGTCTTCAAAAACGGCTATCACGGCGGCACGCTCACCTTCGGCGCTAACACCGCCCTCAATCTTTCCCACGAATTCATCATCGCAAACTACAACGACATCCCGGATACAAAAGCAAAACTCACTTCCGACATCGGCGCCATCCTCGTCGAACCCATGCAGGCGGCAGGTGGAATGATCCCCGCTGACATCGCCTTCTTGCAATTCTTGCGCGACGAAGCGACCCGGCTGCAGGCAGTTCTTATCTTCGACGAAGTGGTCACATCGCGACTCAGCTACGGTGGACTCCAGGAACGGTACAGCATCATACCGGATATGACGACCTTGGGGAAGCATTTCGGCGGCGGGTTCTCATTCGGTGCATTTGGTGGGAAGAGGGAGATTATGCGGTCGTTTGAGCCAGGGAAAAAGCAGTCTTTGTTCCATACTGGAACGTGGAATAATAATGTATTTTCAATGACTGCAGGGGTTGTAGCGGCGAAGTTGATGAGTCGGGAAGAGCTGGAGAGGGCGAATGACTTGGGGGATCATTTAAGGGAAGGATTACGTCGGATCTTCGAAGATAAGCGTCGTGATCTTCAGGTGATCGTTAGCGGCATAGGGAGTGCGGTAGGAGTGAAATTCTTGGGTGAGAATGGGGAAATTATTCGGGATCTATATTATTTCTATTTGCTGAATGACGGCGTATATATGGCGCATCGGGGGTCGTTTGCAGTCAATTTGGTGCATCGACGGGAGCATGTGGACGTGGTATTGGCGTTGACGAAGAAGTTTTGTGGGGATATATTAGCTTTGTAGCTGAGATTTCAGTACTCCGACATCTTCTAGCAAGCATTACAGATCCAGCAGTAGACAACAACGAACACACGGTCACCGCTCTGCAGTGGATAGACTCCGTATTTCCGATCTCGGATTTGACGCGGAAGGCCGAGTCTCGGTCGTGTCCAATGCGTTGACATCATTGCCGGGATAATTACGAGGCAGATCAATCCATTCATCATCGCCTGTCCGACATCGACGCGATGATGAATATCATTGGCTCAGACAGGGCGAGGATGATGATCTAATCGGTCGCCCGGAATTGGCAATATTGTTCCTGGTGGCCAAGATGCCAGATCCACTGGTGCAGTATGGTTTGGAACATGCTTAATATTGCTTCTATAGCTTGTCTATACCTTTCACAAATACTGTAACTATCTTTATCCGACTTTTTCGTACTTCACAGGGTCTAATCCAGTGTGCGGCCCTGCATCCGACCACCACCCCATTGAGAGCCCCATCCAGACCCCTACCAAACAACGACATCAGCATAAGCGAAGCGCCATGGAACGCCACCAGCCCGTGTAAACCAATGATGGATGCCAACGCGGGAGCTGCAATGAAGTTGCAGAATGCAGACACTGACAGAGCACACAATCACGGTGTCAAAGCAGTGGAACCGGGCTGGACCCGCCTGACGTCACGGATCGCCCTTCCGCCGACCCTGACAAAACAAGATTATCAATGCAGCCCTGACGTGGTCCCTGCCTTCATTCTGTGACCTATTCTCGAATTCTCATCTTATAAGGAGAATTATGGGCGGAATATCGCTCCTTCATTCTCATCAATTTCATCCCCCATTATTTGGAAATATCATCAATAATGGCCGTTATTTGGGGGTTAGATCTCCATGAAATGCAATGGAGCAAATTCAAGAGCTCATACATGTTCAACCGGGTGTATCATCTGCGTCGCACGAAGATGATCGTCTATCAGCTCGCTATGATTTTCTGTGTATGTTCGGAGTCGGTTGGAACAGCGGCGCTGTCTGGTTAGCATCACCTTCTTTCACTCAGCACACTACCGTACTATTTCGCAAGTGCTAATGGCCTGTGTCAATCAATAGACTACCTCGACCAACAAGACGACATCCAAAATCATCATCCCGGAATTTACGTCTACAACAACGACTTCATCGGCGCCGCATCATACAACATCTTCGTCGGAATCGCCGTCGCATTCATATTCGGAGGAGCGTTCTTCTTCGATTTATTCTGGCCGGAACGTCACGAGAGTCGCTCTGTCCGGTTGGCGTGGAAGATTTGTGCCGTAATTGTGTCGGTGATGATGCTGAGTTCGGCCCTGACCATGACGGTATGATAGCTGGAGACGTGTTTTGGGATGAATGCATGACTGACAATGGGAATAGATCATCACAGCGACAGGAAGTGCTCGCATCGATGGAACGGATGCGTCAACGGCGCGGAAGTTTTGGGAAGAATCGATGAAGAAGCCTGCTTTGAGTATGTCTCTCTTGGATAACATCGCACAGTGCTGCTTTATGCTAATATGGTGGAACAGAATATCATACCAACCCAAGGGCGATCGCATCCGCTGTTCTGGCTTGGCCGGGGTGGGTATTTACAACAGTCAGGTATGCTACGTCTTATTTCATTGATGCCAAGCGAATGCTAATCTGCTACAGTACCGTTATTCTCTTCCTGTCGCAGCGCCACGATGATCAGTATGGGCCCAAGTCAGCCTACGGTCGGCAACTGGGCAGTGCTGCGGATACAGGGGAGAGTACAACTACGGAGGATAAAGTCGTCAATGGTGTATAACTTGTTCTTATTCTGACGATAATAATGGGAGTGGATGATGAATACCTGGATCCCTGATGACTGTATATACCATTGTACTTTTATGCGATGTAATGATCTTTTTGTATTGTGATAGCGATAGACGGCGCGAAAGGTGACTGGGCTCTGATTGATTATGTATAATATTATGATTTTGACTGGTGACTTATCGATTACAATGATTACCTTCACAGCTGAACTTCACGAACCAGCTAGACCATCGGGGATTCTTGTAGTATGCTGCTATTTATTTACTTTATGTTGAGGGCTCGACATGTCCTGCGCTGCGAAAGCGACTAGCATATGAACTTCATTGTGTATATATAATGCTAGAGGTACGATTATTCAAGTAGTACTACCTCTTACAAAATTGATGATTTGGGGGTTATAATGATAGTTTAGACGGTTGCATGGATGTTGGAGCACTCCATTGTGTTCAAATCAAGATTAGCAGTCTGGTTTCCATTGAGTGTTGCGCCATCCCAGCTCCATACTAACAAAATAAGATCATGATTACAAGAATTCCATCAAAACAAACTGCAAACAAAACTACCAACCATTACACGCCCATCACAGCAATAGCTACAACAAGTCAAGCTGCGATCACACTTCTGCCCCCATCCGTGGTCAAGCGCTGTCTAATCTTGATAGCCAAGTAATCCGATCCGAGCCGACGCAGCTCGTGCCCGCCATCTTCAATTTCAACGTCCACAATGGAACTCGGAGAAAACAGAAGAGCCTCACCCACACGAAGATTAACGATGTGGCCAAACAGGGAGCGCTCGTTGCTTTCGTTGAGCTGCCCTTCTTCCCCGTCAGTCGCTCTAGCTGGAGCCTTACCCGCCTTGCGAGCGAAAGGATTAGTCGCCGCACCCGCCAGATGCTTCTGCAGGATTCTCAGCCACTCGGGAGAGGTAAAACGGTGAACAATGGTTGCGGTGCAGAGGTTAAGAAGATCCGTCGACACCGTGGGTTCTTGAGTCGAGATGATTACTCTGGCCGCAAGGTGCCGCTGGAGGCGGACGACAGAGAGGAGCGTTTCGGTAAAGGCCTGGGCTTCAGATGATGTTTTCATGTACTAGCTCGACTGTTAAAGATAGACTTAAGCGAGAAATAAAAAAAGGGAGCTCACCTTGTGAGCTTCATCAAGAGCAACGACCCGGCCAATGTCGGACTCCTGCTCCATGAAGATGGCGAGAGCGATGTTAAAAAGCGAACAAGCCGTCCCGGGTGAGATGCATGGGCACGAGAGGTCAAGGATCGTCAGCTGGCCGGGCTGAGACTATGATTAATCATTATCATCCGAATATGGGGTGCATCGTGCTCACCTTCGGGTTCCAAAGTGATCCCTGCTTCGGGGGGGCCTGGGTTCTTCTGTGAGAAGCTTTGGCTACCTGAGCCTGAGGCATAAAACTCTCGAGCATCTCCAATCGTTGTTTCAGTGGCTCGAGCTGGCCGGGAGTCAAACCAGAATCGATGATTTTATTCTTGAAAGATTTGTAGTCGAAACCAGCCTGGGTCTCTTGCTGAGCGACCCTCATCTCTCGAAGGATCCGCTTGGCCGTCTGCATGTATAGTGGTATATCTCCGTCACCCTGCGAAACAGCCATAAGATTCATCATGCGCTCCGTATTAAGATCTTTCTGATCGATAAACTAAGGCTCCACGGAGACGTCAAGTCGTGAGTAGGCTTGCTGTAAATGCCGTTAACTGTCTGACAGGACCAAGTCATGACCAAGCGAGATAAGAATACTGACTCTTATGGACCAAATATTAGTGGGGGAACATAGGACCCTTACTTTCACGTCCGGGTGCGATGACAAAAAGGCTGCCTCACACGGGGAGCCAGTCACATCACTGAAAAACGTGTCGCAATGAAACACCAAACCTGTGAGGGGGTTTGGCAGTCTGCCAGCTTTGGACTGGATGAGGCAATTCTCCAGCAAGCATGAGAGCGTGTGGCTTTTGCCCGAGCCCTGTGATCCACAAATAAACACACTCGATGGGTGAGAGACATTGAAAAACAATCTGGGATCAGTTTCCATCGAGTACGGCTCTCCTCTTTCGATGAGTGACAACTTCTGAATCGAACCTGCCAACAATCCGAGCTGGGGGATGCTGTTGGCCCCAGTTTCCTCTCCGTCTTGCTTGGTGCCTACCTCCAAAGCACAGCCTGCGATAATTGGTGCATGCTCAGACTTGCCACGCTCACCATCATCGTGAACCTTAGATCCGAGAAGAGTCATTTGGTATTCCACGCCAGTTTCGCGGAACTGAGAATTCTTCGCTATGGAGGATGAAGCACCAGATGACTGCTCAGTGTCACTTGTGTTAGCAGACTCAAAATATACAGTAGAGAGGACTTATCCGTCACTGCAACCCACATTCACGAATCCGTCGTAGTGCTTCACGTTGCTGTTGTCTCTGTGAGAAGACATGATGGTCCGTGCGAATCTAGTGAAGACTACAAGTCACGGAATAGTTGGATTGGGATGGCAAGTGACGGAGGAAAATGAGAAGTAAGGCGGTAAGAGAAGATGAAAAAAGGGGAGAAGATTTTTCTTCATATAGAATGGGTATTTTAGGGGATCTGTGAATTAAGATGCTATTTGTCGCCATCTTGGTGAACGAAAGTGAGCATTCACGTCCATGACCAACATGCCCATCACTGTGATATGCCCATTGTGAATCCATCATAGCGGTGAAGCGTAGATGGGTAATATGCATTGACACTAACAAATACATACACTATATTCACATTCAAGTCTATTCCCTGCCAAAGACCCCTAGGATGAAGTAACTGGCCATCACCCCAAAACGGAAACTGGTACCATATGGACTAGTTCTATATTAGGCTTAGTGCTGGATGTCTTAATGCCTGAGGCATACACAATTTATCCACCCAGGGATACCGTAGAGAAGTTCAGTTCGAGCCATGATCTTTATACCAAAACCCGTACAAAGTAAGAGAATCTGTAATATATTAATATTAGAATAGCTGACTAGAAAATTGGCTCATGTTCTAAACAGTTTGATCATACATCCACAAACAAAATCATCATCTCATCAACAATACTACCTACCATCCTCTTCCTATTCTGCACACCAAGCACTCCGCCCAAAGAAAAGCCACAACGCACCTAACCCCACCAGTCATTCCATCCATATAATCGCAAAACCAAGCTTAAAGGCACAAAGCTTGAATGCTCCACAAACTCTAATCTCCGCCATCTTGCCAAGGTCTTGGTTCCATCCAGCCAAGCTGTACCAAGAATTGTGGATGCAAAGAGCCAAGCATTGGCATGACAGTGAGTTTGCGCCACGTGCGGCTTCAGATCGGGAATGAGCTTGTCTTGATGCTTAGCTTAGACTAGGTATGGAGATTGGGTGTGGTGGGTTTCGGGATATTGGGATTGTCATTTCCCGGCTGGAGGGTAGATGTTGGACTTGGATGGGGACGAAAGGGGAGGTGGAGTATCGAGGGCAGTTTTGTAATAGAAAAGGCTTCTGTAGGACTGTCGTCAGCCATTTGCTTTAGACTTATGTTCTCAGAATTGGACGTCGCTTGTTGTGACAGCGTGAATCATGTCCTTGATGCTCAGGTTCTGATAGCACTACACTACAAACTTAGATTTACTTGAACAATATGAGAGGCATGAACAATGGATTTAAACATGACTATAGACATTTTAGTTACAACAGGTATGGAGCCGAGTTGTATTGAATTAGGTACAGTAAAAACATGTCTCAGCTCCTCGTTCAACCATTTAGACATCGAATGTATATAAACAGGAAATTAGGAAGTATAAAATAAGCCAGAAGAGATCTCTATCCAACTGGTACTGTGAAATCGGATGAGCGACGGGTATATATGAGGGGGGTATGTGTGGGGTATATCCATTCCATGCCGATGAGAGCATGGTGCAAAATTAGATGCTGCGGTGACTTTTTTACTCCGAGGGCTCAGCCTCAGTGACCTTCTCCACGCTCTGGCTCTTGGTGAACGAGCTGGTGCGGTGGAAGTAGTTGTGGACGGAACCCTCCAAGATGTCATCCTCGACGAAGGCCAAATCGACATCGTCGCCGTTCTTGGTCTCTTCGCTGCGGCGAGCCATGATGGCCTCCCACTCAGTGCGGTACTCCTCAACGCGCTGCTGGTAGTCCAGCTCGGGGTCGTAGTACTTGCCGACGCCACGGAAGCGCTCCCACAAGGACAGGTGCTTGGGGTGAATAGCAACACCGTGGTACTCGTGCTCACGACCCTCGCGGATGAATCTCCAGCGGCGCTCCTGCTCCTTGAGATCCAGACCGGTGGTATCCGGAAGGAAGAAGAAGGTCAGGAACATGCCGAAGATACCCCACCAGGGCACAAAGTAGAACTTGGTCTGAGTGTCGATGTAGTTGAAGAGGATAGCAGCCAACAGAGCTCCCAGCTTACCGCAGGCAGCAGAGATACCGTGGGCGGTGGCACGGATAGGGGTGGGGAAGACTTCACCAGCGACCAGGAAGGTGATGCAGTTGGGACCGAATTGGTTGAAGAAACTGCCCAGGAAGTACATGGCCTGGAAGGAGTGGATGTGGGCGGCTTCGGTGTAGTAGTGGTAGTGGAAGGCAGGCACCACGTACACGATGAAGCAGAGCAAGAAGCCCATGATTTGCATCCACTTGCGGCCGTAGAGCTTGTTGTCCACGAACATAATGGCAGCATAGTAGCCCATCAGGGTGACAACGCAGTTGATGAAACTCCACTGCCAGGTAACGAAGATAGACTTGGTGTTGGGGCTGATGACCTTGATAAAGTCACTGGAGAAGAGCTTGGCACCGTAGAAGAAAACGTCGTTGGCGAACCATCCACCAGCAGTGGCCATAACACGAGGAGTAAAGTACTTGAAAGTGAGGCGGAGAGACTCGGTGTCGTAACCAGTGACCGAGTTCTTCTTCTTGGTGGCTGCCAGCTGCTTACTGGCGGCCTTCATGTGGTATGCACGGTAGTAGATCAGCCAGAAAGTACCAACCATGGGGATGACGAAGGAGATACGGTAGGTCCATTGGGTGTTGGTCTCGCTGATCGGCTCCTCTCCGCTACCAGCGTTGAAGATAAGAAGCAAGATCATGAGGATGGCCTGGTTAAGGACTTGTCCCCAACCCTGCATGGAGAAGACACCAACAACCTTGGAACCACGGTGAAGACGATCCTCGCGAGTAGAGAGCTTGCCGGAACCAACAGCGTTCTCCATACCGCTGGTGGCCGTCATCGGGTACTCACCACCTGAGAAGAGTCAGCCGATCGGCTTTCGAGAGGAGGGCTTCGTGCCGCCAATGCAAAGCGGAAGGTTATAACTTACCAACACCGATACCGTAGATGAAAAGCGACCAAGCATAGCAGATGACCCAGCCGTTTTGTGTGACACCCCAGGCGCAGGTCAACATGACCAGACCCAAGAACATGATCCAGGCATCCTGTAGCAAACCCCAACGACGGCCCACCCAGTCACCAATGACACCAACGAGGACCTGGCCGATAATGATACCGACGATTTCAAGGTAGGTAATGGCGTTGATCCACTGCTTGTTACAGAGTTCGTACTTGTCCCAGCAAGCTGAGAAGGAGTGTGGAAGAGGGTGGAGATGTTTCCGATGGACAGGAGGACGTAACTGTGACAGATCTGTTAGAAAGGACTATATGCAGACCAATTGGAATGGGGTAAACATACCCTTCCAGACCAATACCAGCACCGGGAATGATGGTGTTGCGAAAGTAATTCATCATTGGAGAGAGGGGGTCCTGCTTGATCTCGGCCCAGAGAGCCGACCATTGACGGCTACGTTCCTTGTTGTCGACCGAGGTGACGAACTTGACACGCTGCCCAATGGGCAGATCGGCCCAGTAGACACCCTCTGCCGTGTAGCTGTCATCGGGACGAAGGAGGCGATCGAAGCCCTCCTTTTCATTGGGGTGCATCTCAGCAAAATCCTGCTTGCCGTTCATGTCGGGTCCGTGAGGAGCACGAGGGCCAAAGTCCGCCATATTTGCAGAGGATTCCTCGGAGGGAGGAGGAAGGGGACTTGCAAGGAAGATAGGGATGGTCTGAACTTGAGGTGCAGATGACAAGCAGGGTCAGCAAAGGTGAGCGGCGATCCCTCGCCTTTTAAGTATCAGGAAGGGGATTGATTGAGAATCGCATGCAGGCGTGTGCCTCTCGAGGTGTCAGGCTGTCAGCTAACCGGCGCAGCGACCGATCCATGCATCTCGAAGAAGCAGCATCAGCACGTTTTGCAGAGAGCGGCTGTGGTTGGCCAGGAGGATCGTGATATCGCCGCACGTGGTTGGCGAGAGGGTGTCGCGTAGTCATCATCACACGCGACAGTCTTAAGCGAGTCGAACAGGCCACTGCAGCTGGACACTAGCATAGCGCTGCTGCTAGAATACTAGCATGTCTAGCTGAAGGCAAAAAGGAGGGTGTACGGCCGACTGGATGCAATGGTACCTAGGAGTCCCCCGAGCGGGTCGATGGGTCAATTCGGGGGGAAGTGGGTGTGGATGGGGTGGGGGCAGCACGGCCCCGTCCGACCCGACTAGGACTAGTGGCCTGTTGGTGATGGTTCATATGGCCTATGGAAGGTGTGAGTTGATGGCGGAGGCCGAATCTACAGGTTTTCGGGCGGACCTGAGCCATTGTGCTTGTGCAAGCTGGGCTCAAAAGGTGGTGGACGTGATGCAATGCTAAGCCGGAATCTGCCCTGTCCGTATAACTGACTCGGGCAAAAGAGTAAGTATTTTTCCAGAATCACGGAAGCATGGCCGGTGTAACCTCAAGACGGACACAACCGTCGGCATGGTCCGGGGGTCAAAGGGGATTGGACAGCAGCGCATGCAGATGGTGCATCTGGACGGAGGAATGAGAGGGCGCGATGGGGGCACGTGCTGCAACGCCGGCCGGAGAGAGGCCAAGCTTTCTTGGCACCACGTGCCCTTCCATCCGTTTTGGTCCAACAAGAATAATAGCGATTTTTGGTTGTTTCTCGTATTCCGTTGCTTGTCCGGCCTTGTCTATCTTGTCCCGGCTTGTCATTTCTTTTTCCCATTTGACTTTTTCTTTTTTGCTTTCTTTTCTGGGTCCGATCGTGTTAGGAAAGCCAGGAACAACGCATCGGAAATTAATCTCATGGTGGTCAGACCTCCGCGACCCCCCTTGGTCCACTCCCGGCCCAGGTTGGATCCCTCGTGCGCATCATGCTGCTTCTCTTACGCCCGTTCAATTTAAGACTGTAGTTATTTTTCAGCGACGGAGGGGCCGCCATTGGCCGAGGGAAAGCAGTGTGCGTGTGAGATGTGTCAGAATGTCGATGCTCGCTCCTGTTGAACCTTGAGCTCCAGCCAATAATCAGGAAGATGATTCCTCTCCAGCCCATGCTGCTGCTGCCAAGCTTGGATGGCTCCATTCTGGCTTGGCTCGAACCAGAGTTCACCTGGACCTGCTAACATGACTCTTGTCGTAGACAGAGACCAATTCAGAAAGCTACTATCGCTCACGTGCTCCAGTCCATCACAATTCCTTGGCTACACCTTGGAAACTCAGGATATTTTTCTCATTGGACCTGAGAAGAGTGGGTGATGCTGGCCACAAGGCTTAGTAAGTGTCTATAACGTAAGCGGCAAGCGAGTCGGCCACGTAAGCGAGTCGGCCACCTCCCGCTAGTAGATCATCATTCTGATTTACATACAAAAATGAAGCTTTTTAAACATCTAATTCAACGCTTTAAAGAGCTCTATCTCAAGATACTACTCAATTAGAACATCTAGTACGTATATATTCTATAATATAATACGCGCTACATCTAGAAGATACCCGACGGCGTGATTAATTCTCTTTAGAATCTGTATCTCCAGCTTGTTCTTCTAATATTCTAGCATAGTTAAAAGCCTCAAGCACTTCTTATATAATAAAGTTATTCAAACTATCTATTTAATATTAATTGCGTTTCTGCTTGGTAGTTCGTTTTTCAAGAACTTCACGTAGTTAATAATTTTTATATTTAAGTAGTATTATATAATTTAAAATAATCTCCACATCTTTAAAAATGTGTGATAAGGCTGACTGTATTAGTATAGCTGGTATATCTTATTATTAAAATAATTAAGATAATATAGACTCGTACTTCTTAAATTATCTTAAATTTCTTGGTGTTTTTATAAAGATCAAAGAAGAAGAGGTACTTTAACTACTTAAATAACTAGTTTCTTTAAAAATTATATTTTTTAATATCTTATTAAAATCTAGAAAAACAAGACCTGAAGCTTTAAAAATACTTTATATATTTACTTTAATAAACGCTTGAGTATGGGCTTTTAAATATATATTAAGAAAATTAATCTTCTTAATATAATAATATCCCATATAAATAAGCTGTTAAACTTAATCTTAATAAGTCTTCTTTAAAGGCGAAAAGCATGCAACATTTAAAAACTAATATAAATATAAGAAATTAGCAGGCATACAAATAAGTATAATCTAATTTTAATAATATATATTATTAAATTAAGATGTTAAATGCGAATCATACCTATCAAATACAAGAAGACTATATTGGCCTGTGTCAAACCCTAGGATCGCTCCCCTGTCCCTGTTAGCTTAGCCCCGTTGGTATACGTACCGCCGAACTACGTCGAGGTGGTATCGACTGATGACTATCTGAGAGACAACTAGATCGTGGATGAGAGGAGAGAAGTAAGATTAAATAATACCACGCAGTTATTTGTAAGTAAGTGCGGATGAGTGTTTTATAGCTAAGCTTTCTAAATGTATAGTTACTTAAAGATAGTTGTATTAAGCACGAAGAATAGAACTAACTAAGTATATAAGTAAGAGTTCTTATATATCCTATTCTTCGTATACCATATTATATATCCTTCAGGGTAGATCGGTGGTCGACCCTAAGGTTTCCGTATATTCTGGATATACTTCTAATAGTAGGCCGATGGTAGATGGTTACATGATATGTAGCTGTTCCGGACGTAGTAATAGCAATTCCTAATTGTATTAAATAATAGTTTAGTTTTGCCTGAGTGCTACTCTTATCAGCGCTTTCTATCTGGCGAGTCCGTCTTGCTAGTAGGTTAACTAGCAGGGGTCCGTAACATTACTTTTTCTTCTTTGAGATTTCTTATTTTTAAAAAATATAAAAATGCGTGTCCTCCTGTGTGCGTTGACTGGGCCCTTCAGTTTCTTATTTTTCCAGGATAGGTTAACATGTCTCGTCGCTATATTAATTATGATCGGGTAAAAGAGCGTATTCGTTAATCTGATAAGATTTGTAAGAATAGTTATATTATCAAAAATTCTTATAAATATTGTTTCTTGAAAGATGTTTTCTGTATTATGAATTTGAAAAGTTGGAACTGTGCAGCTTGCACTCGTCATGGTTAGAAGTGTGAAAAGCGATTTTATAATAATAAGAAATAGAATGAGTTGAAGTAAAATTAGTCAAAGATATAGAATAAACTTGCTAAAGCTTTGGCTGAACAGGCTCGTATTTCTGCCAAGATGGCGTGTTTATTTAAATAATAGCAGTTCTTAAAGAATCGTAGTGAGCGGATGCTGGATTATGACTTGAATATATTAAAGCGGTTGGATGAGAAGAATCCTCTAAGTGTTGAGAATCTCCAGAAGCTGAAGTATCTAACTGATAAGCACGACGCTGCTTAATTTATTATTATATTAGATAATTCTAGTCTAACTCAGTTGGTTGGTTCTCTTTTTTTTTAGATAAATCTTGATTTGTCTGTTGGTAGTACTTTTCCACAAGCCGGTGACAGCCTGTTAAATTCTTAATAGGTTTCTATATGTTTTTTGAAGTATTATAGTCTTCTTATTTTACTAAGTAGTGTGATTTACTACTAATTTTCTTGTGGTTTAGAATTCTTTCGACTTCGTATTCTTATTTGGTATTATTGTTAATTTCCATATTTTCTGCGATTCTAGCGTTCTTTGGTGCGGGTTTTAATAATAAGATATAAAATACTAGGTAAATTTTATTTATTAATTTTAGTAATCTTAGCTTATAATTAACTGGTTCTTTTTTTTCTTTGATAATAAATGATCCTAGTTTATAGTGGTCGAGTTTCTAGCTTAATTATTTTATCTTAATATTTCTATGGAATAGAAATACTTTCTTCCCCCTTTTTAGATTAGGTTTTTTTCTATATTAGTAATTATAGTAGATCTTGCTTCGTAGATTTATGAATTCAATGTTTTAGGATAGCTGAGTATGCATATGTCTTGTAAACGTAATAATATCTTCGGCTATATTAGCAACTGATTATTTTTCTAATGGTGTTTCTAAGAATCTTGGGTGGTAGCTATAATTAGTATAAAATAATAAAACTCCAATTATTAAATAGTTAATATTATTATATAAGAATTATGTCATAGATAATAGATCTGTCTAATTATTCTATTAGTAATTAATATAATATTTTAAATATTATTTGATTATCTGGTTAATTCTTTCCATTTATCTGTTTGCCTGAGGATAATAAGCCGTTGTTATTTATTTTTTAATTTTTATAAGATCTACGAGTAATCTCTAGAATTTTAAAATAAATAGCTTGTTTCTATCCGATGTGATATACTTTGGCATTCTATAATTTATAATAATATTTCCTAAGAATAGCTCTGCTATTTATATTACTATTATTATTATTTTACTTAGTACAAGATGGATGTACTTGGTAAGACGATTAGTAATAACCATGATAATATCATATTCTTTTAATTTAGATAATAGACTGATAAAATTAATTATTATTGATTTTTATAGCTGTTATGGTGTCTTTTATACTTATATTTATCCGTAGAGTTGGTGCCTTGCGGGTTTATCTCTAATATATATCTTATATTATCTAATATAATCGCGTATCTTTTATCTGAGATTTGGAATATAGTAATTTCTAGTAATTAATTTTGTGGTTTTTTCGACTTCTAGATAGTCTTTGAGTGGTTTATTATAGTATATAGCTACTATTTCTATTCTTATACTGATTAGTATAAAGATTAGTCTGTGGAAGTAGGCTAATTCTTTCTTATTAATAGTAATTTTATTTAGTGAGCTCTTGCTCATTTCTTGAAGTATTTTATTATTCTTAGTAATATCAGCTAGTTATTTGGTTAGGTCGCTGCTGATTTCTAATATTACTATGAGATTAGCTTTATTATAGCTGATTAATTTATTTTTATTCTATTTTAAAATAGCTGGCTTGATAGTCTTCTCTTCTAATTTATAATCTGGTCTGTAATTTAGCGCGTCTGCGTGTCCATTTTCTATTTTCTTGCAATGCATGATATAGAAGTTGTATTATAATAGAACTTCTACCCATCTTGCCTGTCTTCTGGTTAACTCTTTAATTGTTGTGAAGTAGGTCAAGTTCTTATAATCTGTTTTTATAGTAATAGTATATTTTGTATTTTTGAGATAGACTTTTTATTATTTAAATACTACCACTATAACTAGTAATTTTTTATTATAGATGTTATAGTTAAGTTCCACCTGAACTAACTTTCTCGAGTGGAATATGATTAGTCTAGATTTTCCATTATTTTCTAGCTGTGTTATATGTATATCAATGGTATAGTCTGATGCGTTGGTCTCGATAGTAGTTTCTTTTTCTGGATCGTGCTGCACTAGTACTGGTAATATGGTAAATCAATATTTGATATTTTTAAATGCGTGTTATTATAATTCTTCTTATTTATACTCTTGCGTCCTTTTCATGAGCTCAAACAGCGGTATTATATGGATGGCGTATCCGTCTACAAATTATTAATAATAATTAATTAGTTTAATGAATTGCTGAAGCTCCTTCAGATTTTTGGATTAGAACTAATCCCGTATAGTTTATATTTTAATTTACTTAGTATGGACTTTTTTTATAAATATCTAGTATCCCAGGAACTCTGTCTCCTATATATGGAATTCGTATTTTTTTAATTTATATTATAATCAGTGTAGTTGTAGCTTGTATAATATAAGTCTTATATACCTGACATGCTCTTTCTCAGTTCTTAAAAAGACTAAGATATTGTTTAAATAGGCGATTATGAATCTGTTAAAATATTCTTCTAATATCTTATTAATAAATCATTGAAATGTTGCGGGTGCGTTGGTTAGCCTGAATAATATAATTAAATATTTAAAATATTTATATTTTATTTTAAATACAGTTTTCCATTCTTCTTCTTCCGCGATGCGTATGCAGTAATATGCGTCTGTAATATTAAGTTTAATAAATTATTTTGCCCCTCATATCTTGTTCTGGATTTCTAAGATTAAGAATAGCGGATGACGATCCTTAATTATAAATATATTAAGTGGTTGATAGTCTATGTATAATTATAAGATTCTATTTTTCTTGGCTGTAAATAGAACTTCATATTTTATAAATAACTTGGATAGTCTGATATTATTCTTTACTAGTTAATTATTGATATAATTCTGTAATATCTGTGATTTCTTTTCTAACATCAGGTATATCTTTCTGTATCCCAGGATTTTATCTTCTTAAAGAGGAATAGTGTGGTCATACTTTCCATATTAAAATAATTCAGATTATTCTAGTTATTTGAACAGATTCTTAAATCTCTTATATTATAATAGAACACACGGATTGTTCTTAATCATAGCTTAGAGTTCTTATAATTTTTTCAGTTCTGTGTTATCGTGCCCAGGTTCCCACTCGTTCTAAGTTCTTTAATCTATGTTATTAGATCTAGATTCTTGGATCTGGCTCCCTGGCCCCATGGCCTGATATGCATGATTCTAATCTTTATTAAGACTACTTAGACATAGCTTATAGTATTCTTGTAGTGTGTCCGGTGTCCATTCCAGTAGATGTATTAGCTTATTAATCTATGATAGTTTTATTACTACTAATATCTGTTTTATAATATCTGAGGTGCTACTTTTCTCTGAGTTTCTTATAATATCTAGCGTGTTAGGTTTCCGTGGTGTTTTTAATTTTTTAATAGATTGTTTAGTCCTCGCTTCAGTCTTGTGTTATATAGCGGGCCATATAGATCTAGATCCTATATTTAGTTCTTACTGTTATTATTTTAAATAATTATAATTTGTGAACTAGAGATTTTTAGTTTTTTAATTAATCTATGGATTATGATTCCTGAGCCATGGAATTCCTAATATAATATCATATTATTCTAATAATATCACGTTGAAATCTATGTATTTGAAATGATTTATTACAGCTATAGATACAGTTCCTGATTTGACTATTAATATGAGAGTTTCCAGATTCTCTCTGTTCAGTCCTGTAATTGATTCTAGTTTTGTTTTTTGTTTTCCGAGTATACCAAGCTGTTGTATAAATTATGGATATATATAATTTCTAGTTATACCAGAGTCTACCAGTACTTAAACTGTTTAATCTAGTATAGTTATCTAGACTTTCAAGTGTCTTTCTAATTTAGTAGCCGCCAATTACTATTTTAACTAATTAGATTTATTCTATTTAGATAATTTTCTTGGAAATCTCGATTCTTCGATTTTTGCGGCGTAATGTATCATACATTGGTTATTATAATATGCTAGCCAATGCATGAACTCGTGGTGTGGGTGTCGTTGGTATTTTATATATAAATAATTTAAATTACAATATGGATAGTATTTTTATTTAATTTTAATTATATTTGGTACTTCAGGTTTGTATCCTATGATATACTTCTAGTTATGGTACGTGGAGTATATATTAGTATAATATATAATTTAAAAAAGCTCGTCATGCCTCTTATATCTTGGATTTTTTTTAAAGTATATACACATGCATTCTGGATTATCATATCATGGGTGTATTCCAAATACTTCCTTCTTTTAGTTGACCATGTGTAGTTGCTAATAGTAATTCTTATTATCATGTCCGCAGTGATTATATATTCTTGGATAAGTGGGACATCTTATTAGATGTTTCTCTTATATTTTATTCTATGTTTTCTAATATCTGAGATTCCAATGTGGGCAGTGCTGCATGAGTTTCTTTAATTTAATATAGAATTATATTGGATTTATTTAGTATTCTGTGATAATTCTATCTAATTAGTATATAATATTATTTTTATTTAGTTCTTGGTTTTCCTTGTTGCTGCCTCGCTGCGTCGGGCAGATTTTATTATTTTTTAATAGAATTTTCTCTGGGATATTTAATATATTAATAAGTTTCTTTCTGCTGAGTTTGAGGTCCTCTATTTGTATACTATATTCTTCGTCCAGGAGATTAAACTTGTTTTAAATTATACTAGAATATTTATTTTCTAGAGCTGGCTTATTATTATTAATCTCTGTTAACTAATTAAATAATTTATGGAGTTAGTAAATCTTGTTCTGCTGCTCTGGTAGTACTATTGGCTCATCTACTGGGATTTATTGTTTTAATTAATCTTAGTATGTTCTACTAATTAGTATTAGTAATTATTCTTGTTGCGTGGCTCGTAGCTTCTTGCTATCTTGTAATAGTATTATAGATTCTATCTAAATTCCTGCTGGTCTGATACTAGTGTTATAGACTTTTCTAGTTTTTTTATTTATTTCTGACTAATCTTCGTCTGTTACTCTTAGTTGTTTCTAAGACTATTACTGCTATTATTTGTAATTCTTTGACTGGTAATCTGTCTTGCTATAATTAAAATATAAGTAGTTTTTTTTATGTCTTTTAAATTTCTTCTTAGATACTCTGTTTTATCGAGTCTGATGCTATGTTATATTCAGCTTTATTGATTTTGGTCTGTAGGAATCTTTGTATTCCAGACTTCTAGATTGTGCTGGTCGTCTATTATTAGTTTAGTAGTTCTATTAGTTATTTTATTAAAGTATAAACTTACTGGTTTATTAGTCTTTCTTTTATTTTGTGTTGTACTTATATAACTTATTATTGATCTTAACTGCCGCTGTAATTATTTGTTGCAGTATTTCTGATTGTTTTTATTAGATGAGTTTTTTTTAGATCTCCATCTTGAGTTCTTTCTTGAATCGTGTGATGTAGGCGTTCTCGTTCCAGTCCAGGTGATTGATAACTTGCAAGAACTCGGAGATATATTTAAATGCTAATTCAGTTTATTTGAATTGTTATAGCTTCTGTTCAGCATTGCGTGCTGTGTTGATGTCTCCGAATATTTGTTCAAGATGTTTCTTGAATCTGGCGTAGCTGGCGAAGATTCTTTTAGTATCATTGTTCTATTCGCCTACTGGTTTTCCCTGGTAATCGCGGATGTATGGTTCAAACCAGTTAAATGCCGTTCTAGTTAGGTAGGTGGACGTAAAGAAGATCTTGTTAATTTCATTTCTAAGTTTCTCTTTATTTATATTAAGATATAAGTCTAATTAAGTCAAGAAAGTTCTAAGCCTTGATTGGTTACTATTGAATGGTTCCGGTGGTCGGATCTTGACAAATTTAACTGCTAAGTGATTTTTGAGTAATTGGTTCCTCTGTTTTAAGACGGTGATGCTTTCTTACAACTAGCTAATTATGCTTATTAATTTTTGTGTCATTGGGCCCTGCTGCTGTCCTCCTCCTTGGGTACTGGAATCCTGCTGCGGAGTTCGTGGCGAGCTTGAGGTGGTTGATATAATAGATGGTTATAATAGTAAATACTTGTATTAACTAGTACTTAATATGTTAAATTCTAGAATCGCTCTTCTGTCCCTGTTAGCTTAGTCCCGTTGGTATACGTACCGCCGAACTACGTCGAGGTGGTATTGACTGATGATTATCTAAGAGATAACTAGGTCGTGGATGAGAGAAGAGAAGTAAGACTAAATAGTATTATATAATTATTTATAAGTAAGTATAGACGAGTATTCTGTAGCTAAGCTTTCTAAATGTATGATTACTTAAAAACAGTTGTATTGAGCACGAAGAATAGAACTAACTAAATATATAAGTGAGAGTTCTTATATATCTTATTCTTCGTATATCATATCATATACTCTTCAGGGTAGATCGGTGATTGATTCTGAGGTTCCTATATATCCTGGATATATCTCCGATGGTAGGCCGATGGTAGATGGTCACGTGATGTATGGCCGTTCCGGGCGTAGTAATGGCAATTTCCAATTGTGCTAAATAATAGTTTGGTTTTGCCCGAGTGCTGCCCTTATCGGCGCTTTCTGCCTGGCGAGTCCGCCTTGCTAGTAGGTTAACTAGCAGGAGTCCGTAACAGCCTGTTCTTTATATTTTAATATAAGAAATAAAGTAATCTTTAAGCCATGCTTGACTAATCTCTTGTATTATTTATTTATTTAGTAATATAGTGATTCTCCAGAAAAATAGTAGACTTTCTTTATACTAAGCTTGAATATGTATTTTTACTTTTAATACTAAATATGCTGGCAGCGCCCATCCAGCAGCATTGATATATTTAATTGAAATTATCTATTCGCGATTTCCCAATTATATAAGAAAGGATCTTCCTTGATATATTAAATATATAATAATTTTAGTAGTATCTAGAATATCTATAACAAAGCCAGTTTCATCAAAATTATAGATATCTTTATCAATAATACCGTATATTAATATAGCGGTTTGTACGCGTCTGAATTATATCTGAATAGCTTCAGATTCTTCGCATTTTACTTGTTTATAATTTATTTAACAGCTATATCAACTTTTCAAGAAATCATGCCTTGAAACGTAGTTAGTAATTTATTTTTATCTGATAGAAATAGTTATATTTTAACCGCGCTTTTAAAGTAGTAGATTTACTATTTCACGGACTTGAAAATGCTTTAATAGTGTACTATATTGATCTAATAATATAATCCATTTTTCAAGCGATTCTTTTTCTATAAAAATTAATTTATATGAGTTGGCTCTAATATTCTTATAAAATTTGAGTCCATTCAAGTAATCTTAAAATATTAATCAAGGAACTTGAAAAATACGTACAGCTTTATAAATAAACTTTATATAAGCTTTCTAAATAACTTTAACTACTAAGCAGAGTCTGCCCTCTTATTCCACCCACTTTTTTAATAATTTAGACATTTTTAGTGGTGTAATAGCTGTTTGGATAGCATCGCTTTCGGAGGCGCGGACGAGTTTCAATAAATGGCCGACTCGCTTACGTGGCCGACTCGCTTGCCGCTTACGTTACCATCTAGTTCTGATTTCATATGCTTCGTGGTAAGGCATCATGTTCTGAAACTCATTGATCGTCTAGTTTCGATTCCTTAATGTCAAATTAACTCGGCTCAGTATGACATTCGAAACACTCGAGCAATGCAGATCTTCACCTGGTTGGCTACAGGCGACACAAGTCCTCGATTACTTTTACCTCATCAAGTTCCCGCTCAGCAGAGCAACTGGTCTTCCTAACGGTTCCCCCGGCAGCATCAAGACATCCCACCAGCATTAACTCCGGAAACCACTTCGATGAACCATTTTTACAACCCCGACTAGATACCCTGCATTTGATCCACAGGTGGAGATACCCAATCCAGTCGCCTCTCGGGCGTTCTTGAGACTCACATTGACCTCCCCACCCGGCTAGGTTGAACTTCACCTAGGGTCCTGCAACGTCCCTGGCTCATGGTCAGCACTGCAGCAAGTAGTTAGCATCCGACGATCAGCATTTTATTCGGTTGGTTACTTTGCTTGCATCTAGCGTCTATGCATTTCCCAGTCGGCTCGCCCGAATTCATACCCAGCTGACCCGCCCAAGCCAACAGCACGCACAGCAGGCCATCAGCGATCCCCACCCGTGGGCCTTACCAACATCCACCACACGCGTAAGCAAGTCTCTGCACTAACATCAGGCTACTCGTGCAGGGGCTGTTGCTGAAAAGTGTGAACGTCTGCCAACGAGCTCTGTTTGACCATTATTCCATGTCTCTGCACTTAGATTTTCCTTATAGAGTAACCCTATGAGATCCTGAAATTATACTTCGTACTCATTTTTTTTCGGAAGTCTAGGCAGGGTGAGATATCTTCTAGGGCATTTCGATCTTCCTTTTCGCCCCCGTGCAGGAGCTAATGCGGTTGTTTGATGCCACTGTCGCCTGCGCAATGATCCGCCTCTTCCGGGGCTTTGCCTCGACCAGGAGCAGTCCGAAGACAAGGAAAACTTTGATACCTATAGTAGGCCTTCTATACCTGTGAGTCATGGCACATCACTGCATGGAATTCCTACAGTGGCCATTTTCTCCTCAGGTTATACTACAGAGTCCTCGAACGGTTCCCCGTCTATAGAAAAGAAAGATTAATCGCCATCCAGCAGACAGAGCGTCACCTATCACCAATCATGCCACTAGGCAAATTGCGGGATTCAAAGATAAAAATCCTTTTTGCTATCGTCGATGAAGAGGAATACTGGAAATCCATTTGACTGAATGCGGCGATTCTTCACTCGTCGCTCTCACTGTCGATGACGGCACAGACTCGAAAAGATGTTTTCTCATAGCCGAACCCGAGATTTTCGCATGACCAATCTATGAATCGCACATACCTGAGGTCGTGATGGTTCTTATTAGATTCACCAAATAATTTGGTGTCGATGGCTCTCCAATTCGCAGTTAATGTCCGCGGATTTCGCACTCCATAGGGAGTCTCAACGTCATGCGACGAGACTGCTCTCCCGTCGATGCAACTTACCTTGTATTGTTCGGCGCCGACTATCGCCTTGTGTTACATACCCTACCGTGGAACCCCTTGCGGGGTCCCATCTGTCATTCGGAATGCGGAAAGTGCGCATGCTTGAGCTTCGGATTGTGCGGACGTCTCCGCGACTCTTTCCCTCCCTTCTTATCTCGAATACACACTCGATGATGCTTTGCGACGGTCTTTTCTTAGCTTAATACACGATGTGTTAATCTACTCCCAAATACAGCATTGCACATCGATGGTTTGTATACCATATTCGCTTTGATTGCCGACGCAGCGTGCATTGTAAACTGCAGAAATCAATGATAGATTACAATTGCACGTCGTCGAGCCAAGCAACGACAAGGTTTCTGGAGAAAATGTATATAACAACTTACAATCGAGCCGAGTCCCGAGTCTAAAACCCTATATGACAGCTTACCGAACACGGGTTTTCCTTCTCCGGAAGATGTATCCGAAGCTCTCCGGTATATGTCACTTCAAACTATGCAACCTTATGGTGGCAGTCGCTCCGCACGGGAAGTCTTTGACGTAAACACCAAGCTTCTAACTGCATTGATGTAGAACCGCCCTCCACTATGTGGGGTTATTTTACTGCTCGTTCCTCCCGATCGGAGGAATTTTTTATGAGCTCAGTCAAGACAGTTGGCTGGCCATTGTAGCTGTCGGAATTCCGACGGTGACTTGGATCAAGATGCTTTTGGAAATTTGCTGGACAGCTCTTGTCCATTTTTTCAGCTTTCAATCTTTGTTCTCGTCCCAGCAGTATCCGCTTCCACCAAATGGGGGAGTAGAATACCCAACCTCGCCTACTGCGGCAGCCGGTCAGGCTGACCCGTCAGATATGCTGGAATTCCCGCCCCTTGGTGCCATAGATGGCTTTACATGCCAATATCCGGGACTAAAGAACAAATACATTGCCCTACCGGATGGAAACCAGAGTCTTTGGCTTCAGCCATTGGAAAAAGACATCCAGGACGAGCAGTATGATATTGATACGGACTATGAGATAAAAGCACCCACAGGCGTAATTCGAGATGTAGGTAGGGAAGTTTCTTTAGTTCTTAGAATACAAGCTAACAGCAGAACCTCCAGGTCTACGTTAACGTGACTAAACTGGCGTCGGATAAAGCGCTTAAGCCCGATGGTGTCGCTTTCCCGGAGGGAAAATACATCAACGGCTCGTATCCTGGTCCTCGAATTCGTATGGTCCCCGTGTGAGGAAATCCAAGATTAACCGTACTAATGAAGTATAATAGAGGCGTGCTGGGGCGATACCGTTCGTAAGGGTTACCCCTATCCATCACCAAGATTGCATGTTAACAAGCACCAGGTGTCCATGTCACGAACAAGGTGGATAAGAACGGAACTGCAATTCATATGCATGGCATCCGTATGTTAAACACCGGTTATTCGGATGGTGTTCCAGGTGTCACCCAATGTCCTATTGCCGTGAACGATACCTTCACCTACGAATTTCAAGCGGTTCAGTATGGCACAACCTGGTACCATAGCCATTACAGTCTCCAATACACCGATGGCATGCTTGGCCCGTTGACTATCTACGGACCTGCATCGGTTTGAAAAGTACGATGAAACTATAGAGCCTTTGATGCTAGCCGACCACGTTCACCAGAGCGCCTTTGCAAAATGGACTTATCAAGTGGTGGAAAAGCATGGTCCTCGGATTCCGATGGCTAGCATTCTCATCAATGACAAAGGTTGGTATTGGTGACCTTTCATGCTTGTGTTTGGATATAGTAGTAACCCCATTTAGGCAGCTTCGCGGGTCATTATCAGGACAACCGATACAAGACAGACAAGCTCAAGCCGGTAAGCTGAAACTTCCCTTGGGCAAATGCATCCATCCTAATAAATGGCCACAGGGCAAGAAGTATCTTCTTCGTCTAATTAATGCGGCAACCGACACTGCATTCATTTTCAGCATCGACGAACATAAGATGAAAGTCATCGGTGCAGATTTGGTGCCCGTAGAACCTTATGATATGGAGTCAATATATATTGGAATTGGTTGGTCTTTCCTGGGGAGTGATTGATAAATTTTCTCACAATTGATTCAGGCCAGCGATACCACGTCATCGTGGAAACCAAATCCGAGCCCGAAGATACAAACCGGAATTATTGGATTCGAACTTGGCCTGCCACGGGCTGTCACAATTTCGACTGTGAACCAAATGAAAGACAGGGTATCTTCCAGTACAATCCCAATGATACTGAGGATCCCATATCCACCCCATATAGACCACCCTATGGAGGACAGTGTCGGGATGAAGACCATGACAAGCTGATTCCGATGTTCCCTTGGACTGTACCGAAGCCAACACCCGATCAACTGAAACGGGTCACGTTCCCGTTTGACGTCCTGAAACAAGATAATTTTACAATGCCCCCTGAAGGATGGAATGGTACCGATCCGACATGGAGCGCATGGGAGGTCAACGGGGCACCTGCCTGGGTGAACTACCAAGATCTGACTATCAATCACCTGGACGACAACCATACCTGGCCTGCAAACGCTGCTCTCTTCGAATTGAATTCGGACCCAAACTCGGACGAACCAACTTGGGCATATATGGTGATAGACGGTGGGCATCAAGATGAGGAGGAAAAGCCCCCGGGAGAGAGTATTATTCCTGCGGCGCACCCGGTAAGTCTCTCGAGCAGGGTGGTTACTCTCTCATTAGGGCTACGTCCCTACGCACTACAAACGAATTGGGCTAATGAGATTGATGTCACACTAGATGCATCTGCATGGCCATGACTTTGCTCTGCTGAAGCAATCATACGATTCATTCGACGATGACGTTGCTCGCGATCCTGACGCCATGCAGGGATTCATCGAAAGCCTCACGTACAAAAATCCAGCTCGTCGCGACGTTGTCTTGCTACCCAAAAATGGGTATGTTGTGATTGCGTTCAAGCTTGATAACCCGGGCACGTGGCTGCTGCATTGCCACATTGCCTGGCATGCCTCCGGTGGCTTAGCTTTGCAGATCCTTGAAGATAAGGACAAGGTTCAGGAGCTATTAAAGAAAGATATCAATCCAGACCAGACCGCAAGGGCCCAAATTGACGATGGGTGCGCGGGGTGGAAGAAATGGTGGGACAAGAAAGAAAATCGCTGGAATCCAGATGCGCGATTCCAAGATGATTCTGGAGTCTGAGATGCAACTCCAGTCTTTGACGGGGGAAATACATGGTGGGGGGGCAAGAGTCGGAGGAGTGCCTTCCCAGGGAGCATCCAACTTGCAATTACTCACTTGGTTCCGCTGAACCTCTAACCTAATCATCCCTTCGTTATCACCACTTGTTCAGTCAGTCCTTCGCTCGCCCAACATACGAAGCAATCAAACATGATCATTCCATTAAGAACTATCCTTAAATTAAAAGAAATTATAAACAAACCCCCCTTAAGTCCTAAACACCCCTTAAATCCCCCGCCGACACCATCGCATCCCTAACAATCTCCCTCTCCGCCCTAGCCCCCGCATCCCCAAACAACCCATCAATCTCCTCCAACGTCTTCCCGCTCGTCTCCGGCACCAACAGCACCGCCCACACCCCAGCCAACGTACACATCACCGCGAAAAACACATACGTTCTGTACCCGATATCCGACAACATGGAGGGTGTCACCACTCCGACAATAAAATCCGACAGCCAGATAGTGCACGTCGCCAACGCAACGCCCTTCGACCGCGACGCATTAGGAAACACTTCCGCCGGCAGGGCCCACCCCAACGGCGAATACGACACGCCGTAGACCAAAATGAACACAAATGCCATGGCCACGCAGGCCCAGCCCGCTGCTACATGTCCTGCCCAGTCATCTGAATACAGCCCGGACAAGATAGCAATGATGATGTAAGCCACGGCCATTCCAAAGGCACCATAAATGGCTAGTGCGCGGCGTCCAACTCCCTCGATAATGAACGCGCATATCACTGCCGCCACAGCCTGGATGACATTGAACACGCCAGAAAGAATGGTGGACATGCTATCCGACTGCCCTAGGGATTGGAAGAGTGTCGGCGCGTAGTAGATGAACGCATTGATCCCCGAGAACTGTTGGAAGAACCCCACGCCGCAGGCCACAGCGACGCGTTTCCAGGTACTTCGGGAGAAGAGGTCCAGCCAGGAGACGAGCTCGAGTTTTAGGCCCGTAGCGCCGAAATGACGGCGCTCCTGGACCAGACGCTGGTAGGTGACTTCGGAGACAATGGTGCGGAATTCGGCCTGGATGCGGGGGTCGGTGCGTGGCAGGCCCCGGAGTTTGGAGAGGCTGGAGAGACAGTCGTCTTGGCGGTCGACGAGGGCGAGCCAGCGCGGAGAGTAGGGGTAGAGGTGAATTCCAATGCCGAGGAGGGTGGCGGTCACCATTTGGAGGCCGAAGGGGAGGCGGAAGGAGGCTTCGCTGGGGATGTAGCGTGTCGCGTAGGTGATCCAGTAGGCGATGACGACGCCGAGGGTGATGGAAATGGATTCGAGGACCAGGAGGGTTCCGCGAAGTTCGGGGGGTGAGGTTTCGGAGATGTAGAGGGGTGCACCCTCCAGAGGGGGTTAAGGATCAGTATGTAGATAGGCAGGTGGAAAGGAGGCCGCAGGAGGGAAAAGGGGTACGTACCATGGCCAGAGTGCCCACGCCAATACCGCCAATAAAGCGGCCAGCAACTAGCATGTCGTAATTCACGGCTGCAGTCTGTAGAATAGCGCCGATGTCGAAGATCACCACGACAACTGTGATGGCCCACTTTCTCGAGATGCGATCTGCTAGGTAGGACATGAAGAGACAGCCGACAAATGCACCCAGCAGCAACATTCCTGTCATCAGGCCCTTTCCGAATGCAGATTCGGAACGAGGGTATACTGCGTGGAACTGATCCATCACATTGATAATGGAAATGACCCCCATATCATACCCCATGGAGAATCCGCCCAGTGAGGCCAGGGTCGCCGACCCGAAATCGTACCCTATCGGTAGAGGCCGCGGATGCCGCCTACGCCATAGGCCACATCGGGGGTCGACTCGATCGCACCAACATTCTCATCATGCTCGGCAGTCGCGATGTCTTTCTTCAATTGGAGTGATGATCGGTCGGGTGTGTCATTGTCTGCCATGATTGCAGGAGACTAAGATGCAGTGAATGTGCTACTAGTAGAAGGGGGTGTGGATCAGCTGAGAAGCAACCCACCATCCCATACCCAGAAGGGAGTAGGCATATTTATATCGGAGTCAATTGCCGATCCATAGTATAGGGTTGCGGCTAGTTGGATATGCAATCGCCGATTAGGTTGTTGCTGGACTCTGGGGGAGATGGGGTATCTTTCCCAGTCTGGAATGAGTGTGAAGTACCCCGGATTTCCCCGCATTCAGTCCCCGGGACGAGCCGCCCACGTCAAGTCATTGGCTCAGGGTTGGTTGCATGACATCGTCTAAAGTCCAATTGGGGCTGGTCCAACGAATGCGGAAAATGATCCTGCTTCGGTCGAGGCGGGTATTCTTGCCCTTTCCTTGGGACTGGCTGAGCTGATGAGGTCATCGCACAGATCTTGTGCTCGTATAGGTCGACGTTGGCGGCCATTTTATCCTCATCTGACGTGTTCAGTCGACTCTCTGCCGTCTGGGCGGTGTTAGGGCGGGATTTTCTACTGGTTTGGGATTCTGGCTTTATTCTTCATATCGGATTTCTTGATCAAGGATAAGACATTTAAGCATATAATAGCCGCTTTCGAAAGAAGATACGATGACTGTGAGCTCGTCCAGATTCCAGTTTGGGCGTCAGTAGAGTTCGGATAGGGTCATGTGATCGCATTGTTGCCTTGACCTGCCTCTCAACCTATCTTATGTTCTCCCATCATAACAATGATTCTATATCGGATGTAATACTGTTTGCGCAGTTTATTGTCAATTAGGGACTGGTTTGCAGCTTTACCTGGTGGGAATGACTGGCTGAGAGGCAGTATGGGTATAGGGGGAGAACCAAGTGAGCGAGTAGGTGAGCAGAAAAGAGGACAACAAAAAGCAAACACGATACGAGCTATGAAAGAGCAAATGCCGCGCGTACTGTAACATCAAACCCGCACAGTGAGCAATGTCGGGTTGTGGCAAGGCCACTATTGCCGAAATCTGAACCAAGGTTGGCCAGAACTCTGCAACGTTGACAACAACTGGAAGTCTGGCCTACTAACACCCAATCATTGATAAGATAAACATCAAATTGGTCAAATCTGATTATCTTCAATGTGCCCCTTTTCTCATCAACCAGACTGTCAGACTAACTGTATGCGGTGTAGCCTGCGCGATCCTGTCCCTTAGCCAAGCGCCACGTGACTAGTTTGTCACAAATCAGCCACTCACGTGTCAGGGCCGATTATCGCCTCATCATGAAACAAGTCATCGCTGCCATTCCAACATTCCTTCTCTCGTTGAGTCTCTCGGCCAATTTCTTTTGTGCTGCTAATATGTTTTCTAAGCATCATTCAGCTGATTGACCTCACGGATGATGCTGGCAATATGCGTGCTCCTCCCTCCACCCATGTGAGGGATGCGGTAATTGGTCCCTTGAGATCGCGGCGGGGTTGCAAAACCTGCAAGTAGGTGCTTCATATCCATATCTCTGCGGCGCAAGCTTATAAGTATCATCTCAAGGGTCCGGAGAGTCAAGTGTGGACAGGAAAAGCCAAGCTGTCTTCGATGCAGCAAGACAGGCCGTAAATGCGAGTATGAAGGCCCAAATTTAGGCACGTTTTCCTCCACACCTGCGACTCTTTCAATTCTCGACAAGCCCCTATCATCGGCACCGGATACAGTCTGGAAGGAGCGTCGCGCATTTGCCTACTACTTCCAACATATTGCCCTGTTTATCGGCGGGGGTCTGGAAGTTGACTTCTGGAGTACCATCGTTCCGCAGATTTGCCGCAGCGAACCCGCTGTGTGGGATGCCATCATCTCCCTGAGTACCCTGTTCGAAAGCCCGGAGCCATGTCCAGACATAGCTTTTCTACGCCAGAGAGATGTCCTTCTCCTCAACCAGTACCACCGAGACGCCATCAGCTGGTATTCCCGCTCAATGTCCCAAGTCCGTCAGCGACTAGAGCGCGGTGACGGGGATGTCTTGGTCGGACTGGTAAGCTGTATACTCTTTATGTGCATTGAAGGTTTCCAGGGTGGTGCGGCACAAGCTACTCGGCTTTACTGTCAAGGCGTGCAACTCATTGTCACCTTGCGTGGTCAGATCGCTTCCGGGGTCGTATCGTCATCGAAAGCTGCATGGTTGGAGGATATTATCGTTCCGATATTTATCCGTCTCGGGGCGACAGCGCTCAACTTCTCCACTGTTCCAGTCGGCGCTTTACTACCCGATGTTCAGCATGTATTAACACAGGGGTTTACTTCCCTCAAATCGGCTCGCGAGGCAATTGTTCTCTTACTCACAGAGACTCAGCTTTTTCAGCGTGTTTGCCTACCACATTTGCTGAAGTCCGATGGCTTCCAGCCACCTCCTGAGCTAGTCAATCAACGACTCGCTCTATTTGGTAGACTAAAGGTGTGGCACGCTGCGTTCACGGACTTGATGGAAACCTTGCGCATGAAAGGGGCTTTATCACCGCAGCAAATGAGCACTGGCGCCCTTCTTCTCGCTTATCACGAGATGCTATACGTAATGATCGGAACGTCCACATGTCAGTTGGAGACCGCAAACGACGCATACCTTCTGCAATTCCAGAACATAGTGGATCAGTCTAAGTTCGCGCTAGGTGCGTCGGCTCGATCAGACGGTTCCCAACCTCCACTCACGCTTGAACTCGGTATCTCAATACCCCTGTGGTTCACTAGTCTAAAATGCCGAGAACCCAAGCTTCGACAAACAGCACTAAGCCTAGCAGGTCAAGCACCTGCAGTGCAGGCGTTCTATAAAGTGAATACTGGGGCAAGGTGGTCGCACACAATAATAACAATCGAAGAAGTGTGTGCGGTAGCTATGAAGTCAACTGAAGGACTACCGGAGTCGACGAATCAACTCCAATACTCACATTGTGAAGACTCTGATATTAGCATATTCGGTTCAGATCTTGGAAGTCAACCCAGCACTCCAGGACTGGAATTTGTGCCAAGCCCATATTCGGTGGATTCGGATGTGGATGCCGGGACAGCAGTCACAGAACTCGTCCCTGAAGAGGCACGCATCAGACCCATAAACCTCTTCCGCGTCCAAGACGGCTTCCCTCCGGGAACAACAGATGAAGAGATCGCAAGGTGGAGTCCTTACCGTGAACAAAGCTTTCTGCATTATTTGCGAAATGAGCGTGATCCAATCAGTGGTGCTTGGAAGATAGCCCATGGATTTACTCCAATCGATTATTGAGATGATAATAGAGAGTCCATATACCCAGTTTAGATGCTTGAGGATAGTCATATACTTCCTGCGATAATCAAGTGGATCAATTACTTGTGTCCTCGGGATTTCCCCACAACCCGTCACTCAAATGACTGCACACTTGATCAAAATCTGAAGAGGCAAAAAAGAAAACCAGAAAAAAAAAAATAAAAAGGAAATCCCCAACGCGGCTTTATACACCCTTAACGACCTACCTTTCAGTACATCCACACCTCCGAACTCCTACGACACTGTGTCTGCGGAGAACAAGCACGGCTAAGCATTAAGTGTCTCTGCGTTGGTCCACATTGCGGAGACTTGCCTTGATCGGGATGTTAATAGCAAGCAGCCGACTGACAGGTTCGAGTCCCTGAAGGATAATGGCAAACCGAGCCTATCAGGATGATGTAAATGTGGGCGCGGGTGGGTATGCCTTCACCCCCACACAGCAATCTGGCGCACGGTGCACTAAAGCATCGCATCCATCTCCACTCGCCCCCGCCTCATTCCCCGCAACGTGCTTGAGTAGAAAATGGGCCAGTTCCACCCTGCAGATGTCATCATAGCGGGGGTAATGCGGATCAACGGACGGCAAGAGCAAATAGCCTGATAAAGGTGTAGCATATTGGCTAAAGCAAGATACTTCTGGGCTATAAAGCTGCAATGTGTGCCGCTGAAGCCAAATTTGTCTGACTCGAAGCCATAGGAATCAATCCGTAGCAGGGCAACAGGATGTTTATTTCTCTCAATGTTCTGGCGGCGCCCGCTGTATTTATCGCGGCAGCCGTTGCCACAGTGCCAACACATGTACATGCCACTGGTGACACACGGAGTGATGATACGACTGTCTTCTTCGAGAATGACGGCAACTGGACATCTCATGGGACTAAGCCTAGCGCACTATTTGTCAATACGCCCTCAAGTTACGCCGGTGCCAATGCGGTGTGCACAGAACAGAATGAGACATTGCTGAGCTGCAAGGAATACGTCAATTTCGAGAACTTATTCAGCTATCAGCAATATCTCGGCAGGATCACCGCTGATCAGCTATTCTGGTCATCATGCTCTTCCTCATCCCCTACTTCATGGCGCGGTGTTGTTCAGAGCAGCACGAATTCAAGCTCCGACCTCCCCTTTCTGTGCACCAACAGCGCCCCTCTTGTTGACAAAGTAGATACGGATTACTCTGGTTTCCCCCGTGTGAATGTCACTTACAATGGTACGACTTTCGAGGGCATGAGGGACCACATGGCTTTTCGCTTCGCTGGGATTCGCTTTGCTCAGCCCCCGACGGGAGATCTGCGATTTCAACCGGCGCAGCCGTGGAACCATACTATTCCATATGTAAACGCCACGAGTTACGGACCGGCCTGCTTGCAGTTTGGATATTTTGATGGCAACTCGTATGGTCTGAGTATGTTACACACCTAGAATATCTTAGGAATACTGCTTACTTCTCAGACCCCTGGGGGAATAGTGAGGACTGCCTGTTTCTCAATGTCTGGACGCCACACATTCCGTCAAGCGACTCCTTGGATCCTGACAATGGAAAGCCCGTCATGGTCTGGATATATGGTGGTGGGGATACACAAGGCTCAGCAGCCGACTCCACTTTTGATGGGGCTAGTCTTGCGTCTCGCTCTGATGTTGTGGTTGTCTCGTTTAATGTATGTCCTTTTTTCCCAATAGCCATTATCTCTATTGCTAAATGGAAGTCAGTACCGCGTCAACATATTCGGCCTTCTGGCTCTCGATGATGGTGAGCTCAACGGCAACTACATGATGACCGATAAGATCCAAGCATTGCGCTGGGTTAGGCAAAACATCGCTGGATTTGGAGGTAACCCGAAAAACGTGACAATCTTCGGTCAATCTGCCGGCGGATCATCAGTCAATGATCTGATCACATGTCCCGCAATCATGGGCGAAGACCTCTTCCAGAATGGTATCGTCCAATCCGGAAAGTCGAATGTCGCTACTGCCGAAGTCGCCGCGGCTTACGCCTTACCCTACATTGGGGAATTCTGCAACGGCACAGCCACGCAGCGGGCTTCCTGTTTGCGGTCTTTACCCGCAGAGACACTGCTTGACATCACCAACAACAGCATCAGTTGGTATACTGTCATTGACGGCCACTACTCTGCCGACTACACGCAAGCCCGATATGCACTCGGAGCACAGTACATCAACTCGGTCAATGTGCTAACGGGCAACATGCTTGAGGAATACCAATCCCTCGCAACCACAACTCTCTGGCCCAGTATGAGCAACTTCAGCGAGGCATTAGAGATCCTCATCAGCGACGCCGCCATCAACGAAGCCCAAGCAGAAGCGGCCCTCAACTCAGGTCTTTACACAATCACCAACAACACGGTGTACAACGGCAGCACAACCTACACCTCGGTCTACAACGCCTCAGTCCACCTCGGCACTGAGGGCCAACTCTACTGCGACGGCACCCTACTCCAGTGGATCGCCGCGGCCTCATGGGCCTTCAAATCCCACTGGTTCTACATCCACAACCGAGGCTACGCACTCAGCTACTATGACTTCTACGATTTATGTACCTTTCCCGTGGGAGAACCAGATACTCCATACTACCGGTGTCATAGTAGCGATCTGTACGAGGTGTTCGGCACATACTATATTTTTGATCAGCCCGTGCGCGTGCCTGAGGATATTTACTACACCAACGCTGTCCAAGATATGTGGGGTGCGTTTGCCCGGACTGGGAACCCAAATGTCGATCCGGCTTACTTGAAGGCACGATCGTATGATTCAACTATTGACTTCTTCTTTGGGTTCGAGTGGCCGCAATTTACGGTTACTAGTCCGAGGGTTGCGTCGCTACAGTACCCGGGGCCAGAGGTGTCTTCGCTGCCGTATCAGGAGCACTGTGAGGTGCTGTTGCCGTATGTGACGAATCCAAGTGCTCCTAGTGCGAGTGCACAGTAAGGATTATGATACAAGTGATTGAGCAGCGCATCCGACGCTGTTTACGCTTGACAATACATATACCCAGTGTATAAAGTAGCTGGCCAGTTATTATTAGTTTCTCAAAAAAGAAAAAAAAATATAGAGGTCAGATTCTCTTTTTATACTTTGGCTCAGAGAACTCATTTTCAGGAAGGTGGTGGTGTAAACTGCGGTGGTCACGTGAGCAACCACACAACCGGTGTGCTCCCAACGTTATTCTGCATTTAGGCAAAGTGTCACTTGTACCTTCTAAGCCCCTATTATGAAAGCCGAAAGAAAACACGGAGGAAGTTCCAGAAAAACTTTATATCAGTAACTAATCACCTGCCCTGATCGCGGAGATGACTCAGCAACGACAGGGAGGAGGCTAAGGGGATGACAATCATCACTATCCCCTGCTGTATTAGGCGCCCCTGGCTTCACAGGCAGTCTCCAACTCCCTCATTACTGCTGAGCGCATTCCGCACCCATTTTATCCAAGACATGGATATACTCACACGTGCCCAAACGGGCTTTCTGTCCTGGAGACACGGAACACCACTTTCATCTGGGGCCTACGCCTCCCCAAAGTTCCAGTCCTGGCATACTTTTGACCCTGTCCAAAGTTGGATGGCCACTTGGTCCGACATCGATACAAATTCACCAGCTGACCCAGCTGGGAGTGGCGATATATCAAGGCTTGTTCTTCTGACATGGAATATTGATGCAACGTCGCCTCAGACCGAGAAACGCGTTACGGAAATTATCACGTGTATTATCGGGTTAGATCCCCGAGTGGATATCATTTTCCTCCAAGAAGTGTCAAAGCCAGCTCTCCAGCAAATCTTGAAAGACGAGCGTGTTCGCGAACTCTGGCTTTCGAGCGAATGTGATGACACGTCATGGGGCGACCAATCGTTTGCAGTGATGATCTTACTGTCTAAGGCACGTTTCACGACAAACGCCGCCATAGGACCAATTTGGAGGGTGAAGTTCCCTAGTCACTTTGCTAGGGATGCTCTCTGCTGCGATATCTTCGTCCCTTCGCCTAAGGAACCTAAACCAGCACGGATACGTCTAGTTAATGTTCACCTAGACTCTTTGCCAATCAAGCCTTCCCACCGACCAAAGCAGGTATCTATTGCTACATCCCTCCTTCGCGTCGCAGGTCAAGGACTAGTCGCAGGTGACTTCGATCCTGTCCTCGATGAGGACAACGGCCTTCTAGAAAAGAATGGCTTGGTGGATGCTTGGGCAACTCTTCGGCCCGAAGAACCTGGCTTCACTTGGGGCCTCGATGGCAAGCAACCATTCCCTCCCAATCGGCTTGATAAAATAGGCATACTCAGGCTCCGATCGCATGAGATTAAGACATTGGAGCCGAAACCAATAAGCGGATCTTCCGATGATGAACCCTTATGGAGTGATCATCATGCTTTGATCTATTCTTTTGGCTTGGTCAATGAATGATCATCAATACCATGATGCCTCAATACTCCTATCTACGAACTTCCTCGGACAGTAGACGCGCTCAGTGACTTCTTGCACCCATTTGCCATCATCCACTCAGTAGAGATGGTGGGATTACCAGGGGTTCCGCCACTCTCGAAGGTGAAAGACCCCGATGGTAGTGAGATGGAGGAACTAGACCAGCGAGACTATGTACGGTTCAGTCACCTCCCTCATTGTATTCTGGGATCCGACAAATCAAGACTTCTGGCCCCTGGAATTAGACGCCTAATTCAGTTTGAGAGCCATGCGATTTTGAAGCATGCTTGACGCCCGGCTGTCTGGGGTCAACACATGGCTCAACTTTTGGGGTGATTCACTCGCCTGGCTGTGGGAAATGATCTGAGTCTTTTCATGAGATCATAGAGCCGACGCAGGTGAATTTGCCCACTGGCTTTAAACCCATGTGGAAGGAAACAGCGTTCAAGAAGCATTGCACCTCCGCTCCTAGATAAATATTTGATTTCTTGGGGGGAGAAGCGTATGCTGCATGTAGCTAAGACAGGGACAGTTAGCTATTGGATTCCCCATCCATAGCTTATGCCATACCATCTGTAGCAGCAAATCTGCCCTCCGATCATCAATCCCACCATCTGAGCCAATCCTAATTATACTGAGTGATCCTTAAGTGAAACGACAATCCCACTACTCCTAGCACACTCACCACCATTACCACCACCAACACCCACCCAACCCTACCCTAGCCAAGAATAATCCACCCCCCAAACCAACCCGCAAACAATACCCCTCCCAAGAATAAGATGAATAATATCTGATGCAATATCCGCGTAACAAGCACCAGCGATGATTGGCACCCACATGT